ATCCCAGTGAGAGACGGAGACAGGGAAAATATATCCTGTCTAATACTAAATTATTTGTATTATCATATGAAGTAGATTGTCATGAATGTGTAAAACTATTGCATTTATTCATCTGATGGCTGCTTTTCATTATCCTTCAATCACAGAGAATCTTACACAGTCATTTGGGGTTGACAGGTGTAAATCCCGCCTCACGCACACACACACACTCTCTCTCACACACACACACACACACACACACACACACACTCTCTCACACACACACACACACACACACACACACACAATATGTGGTCAAATCTCAGTTATCCCCCAAAGTACAAATAATCTTTTATATTCTTTTGGATGTATTTTTTTTATTGAGATGTTAAATCTGAAGGATGTGGATTACTTTACTTGATTATATTGGATTTTATTGTAGATTAACAACTGATAAAACAAAAGCCACACCTAGATTTTTTTAGGATCAGCTGGACTGGACACAGTACATTTAGTCACGTGTGGTTATGTATCTGGAATAAAACCTAAACAAAAACAAACGTAAATGGTCAAGGATTTGGACACGATCCTCCTGCTGTTCTGTAACACTCTTAGAGACGACTGTTGTTGAGATTTTGAGCTGTACAAGAATTATTGATTTTGATGAGTAAAAGGGTCAAAGCAAAAAAAGTGTTGAGGCTTAGAGTAATTATTTACACCCATTTAATAACATGCCCAGTGGCCATCATTACAGCACTAAGTAGGGCATTTCTGCTGCTTCACAGCAGGGTTGAGTCAAACAAATGATAATGGCATTAGGACCAGGGTAACACCTCGTCATATGTGCTGATGGGATTAGATAATCCAATAAAGTTTCACCAAATACGATACTGACTGGATTTAGTCATCAGAGATCAGGCAAATGATAGAGCAGCATTTTCTGATCCCTCAAACACAAGTACAAAAGCATTTTACAAACTCCACGTGTTTAAGATGTTTATAAAACAAAACAATCTTTGATGTTCCCATGAAGTCAACATGTAAATCCAACTGGAATCATGTGTAATAGATAGTTGAGACGTGAGGTACGGAGAGAAAACAACCATCTTCTGTGTATTCCACTGAACAGACAGACAGACAGACAGACAGACAGAGAGATAGAAAGATAGATAGATGTTTCCTTCAGCCTTTTAACACAATTAACATTTTCTGCTGCTGTTCTGACATAATTTGCTACAACCAATTCCATTTCAATAGCATTGGATTCTTAAGCCTGTGTTAATGCCAGCCTTAGCCTAATGACAAACTACTATAGTGATTTGCATTTAGTGGAGCATGAAATTGGGATGCAAAAAATATATATGTAGGAACACAGCGTAAACAGTTTATTCTGTGTTGTTCTTAGATAATCTTGTGTGTCTGTGGTGCAGGAGTTTGACAATCCTCTCAGTCCATCATATATCTTAAGACTAAACTTTAAACCTGCTAAAATAATGCCAAATTATACCTATACTTGTACTCGAATGGGGGGGGGGGGGGCAAAATGACACTACATACAAACTCAGACCTAGACATTTACAGTGAAAAAGTGCCCGATTGGAGTAAGATGGACAAGAACTAAGAGACTCAAGAGAGACATATAATCTGATGGTTGGGAGCTGCATCAGTCCATAGATGTGTTTGGTCACATAATAGTGTGAAAAGACATAAATGGAGCCGAGATGAGATAAGTGAGAGATGATTGAAGGAGCAGCCTGAGGGCGAGGGGACCGGGTCGAGAGGAGGCCTGTGAGGTTAGAGCCTCCACAGTCCTGCCAGGAAGTGTCTGTCTGAGCCAATGAGCAGAGGGAGAGGAAGAGCTGAGTCAGGAGGCTGGTGAGAGCCCTGTGGCACTGCTGGTATCTACACACACACACACACACACACACACACATACATACACACACATACAAATACGCACACACACACACACACACACACACATTATATGAACCCATCAATGACCATACAGTACATCTAGCACAGAGGGGAGGTACTGGCACTGCCCTCCACAACAGTGTGTGAAATTAAAACTTTTTTTATTCATCACTTTGCGGTAATTATAATCCGCGTACACACTCTGGCTTCACTTATAATAAATGCATTGTGTGTAAAATGTAAATACTTTATCATGAGATCAACAACATAGCTGAAAGGGACTAACTTGTTGTTTTGTCTGAATATGAATCAGCAAACCCCAGGGCAAAACCTATGAATGAGTTTTACATAAATGTGGATTGGTTAAAACTGAATGTTGTTGTGATTTTGAAAAAAGAAAAATATTCTTTCAGCGCAAAATTCAACTCAAAATGAAATAAATCTCAGCACCTCAGATCCAATGAGAGCCTTTGGAGGGCCCCAGTTTGGCAGCTCAGGATTAGGGTTTAGATACATTTGGGCATGTTTTGACTAGTATTAAGGATTGGATTGGTCTCTAAAAAATGAAATCTGATAAGCTGCGTCCAAAAATCCAAAATATGAGTGTGTGTGTTTGTTCCACGCAGTTTCAAGAAGCCAATACTCGAATAGGAGACTAAGAAAACGTCCTTTCCAAGTGAAAATCTAGTGTGTTTTCTTGACACTGGATCACACAGAGGACGGGGTTTTACAGCAGCTGTGACACGGAGCTCTGCCTTTCAGCCGTTTACACAAAGACCCAACACAGGGCTCTTATCTCTGCATCTTTCCATATTGTGTGTCAGTGTTTCTGTGTGTGCATGTGCGTGTCTGCGTATGTGTGAATGTATTAGTGTGTGTATGTCAGTCTGCGTATGTGTGTACGTATTAGTGTGTGTGTGTGTGTGTGTGTGTCTGTCTGCATGTGAATGTGTTAGTGTGTGTGTGTGTGTGTTAGTGTATGTGTGTGTGCGTGTGTCTGTGTGTGTGTGTGTTTGTGCGTGTGTGCATGTGTGTGTGTCTGTGTATGCATGTGCGCGTGTGTCTGTCTACCTGTGTGTACGTATTAGTGTGTGTGTGTGTATGTGTGTGTCTGTCTGCATGTGAATGTGTTGTGTGTATGTGTTGGTGTATGTATGTGTGTGTGTGTGTGAATGTGTTTGTGTGTGTTAGTGCATATTTGTGTGTGTGTCTGTCTGTGTGTGTGTTTGTGCGTGTGTGCATGCGTGTGTGTGTCTGTGTGTGTATGCGTATTAGTGTATGTGTTAGTGCCTGTGTGTTTTTCCAATGTGGTTTTACTGCAAATGGCAAATAAATGAATCTGAATCTGAATCTGTTTATTTGCATGCATGTGTGTGTGTCTACATGTGTGTGTGTTAGTGTGTGTGTATGTGTGTGTGAGAGGGGGGGGGGCACATGGGTGAGGCAGGTGAGGTTTGAAGAGAAGGTCACGAAGGACAGAGGAGCTGCATCACTTGACGCTTCCATCGCTTCAGTAACAATTGATCGGGTAAGAGATCGTTTCATGGACCTTTAGAAAACTTTTGAAAAACAGATCAAGATTTAAGATAAGAAATAGTTTTGACCCACATTGTACAAAGGTAAGTCCATAGTTCTGGCATCTCACTTTGCTTTTTAATAAAACAAAAAAAGGTTATAGGAATTCTAAGAAAAAAAGTGATTGCAATCAGTGTAACATAAATCCTATTATTGAGTGAGGTGTCGGTATTTTGATATTATTCCAAAGCCTATTTTTATAAGAAAAGTGCCACATTGCTGAGTTTACAGAAGTCTGGATAATGCTGCGTTTGAAGAAAAACTCTGAAATACACTCAATCCAAAATGTGGGAGATTGACCTCCACTGGTCTTAATCTCCAGGGCATAAATTAGCAGCACCTAGAATAAAGTCTGAGATGTCCGCTGGAGTTTGCAGTTGCCCGGGCTCCACACAATGCAATGACTGCGCCTGTCATGACTGGATAAAGGAGGTTTGTGAGACAGTGGAGCTGCAAAGACAGGAGCGGAGTGGGCAAAGGAATGTCCTGAATAGAGGGTTACGTAAAAACAGAGCCATGAGAACAGAGGAGACAATGAAGTTTGACTGTTCCGACTGAACAACAGTAACAAGACTATTCCCAAATGAGCCTGGGTTGAGGGAGTGAACTATCAAAGTTTGAGATAAGGCAAGCATGTTTGTGTCCATGTTATCAAAATGCACAGTAAAACACACTGCTGGGTCATCATACAGCTGCTACATTATTATTGCAGATGATCAGCTCTATAGTTTTATTGGGAAACATAATATAGATCTATGTCGAGTGGATCCATTTGAATATTTTTCCCTTTAGACTACAACAACAATGGCTTGACATGAGTTTCATAACTAAACTGCAGAATAAGTGTAACACCTTATTTAAAGAATGACATATTTTTCCACACACGTTTTTTTGTCAGCAGTGAGAACCTCTGTGACCTGACCCAGATATTAACCCTCCAGATGTGAACGTGCGGCGGGATTACAACACTGCGTCAGCCTCCGTCAGCCTCCTCCACGCTGCTCTAATGAAGCATCCTAAAATGACCCCTTGGAGACGGCGCACTGGCCACTGTCTGTCTGCTCTGACACCATTACTACATCCAACACAGGGGAAAAAGAATCCTTCCACTTTTCAAGCAACTTCTCCACTAACCATGAAATAATAGAAGTTGTAATGAGCCACACAAGTGTCCAGACTGGAGGCATGTGCGTGAATGTCATAGCCTTAACTTGTCCCAATGCCTTCTTCAAGGTGGCCGTCGCCTGCTCCACTCATGACCTGAGCAGATGTTTGTAGAATCACTCTGACATTACAGGATTTAACTCCTTCTTTTCATCAATGTAGCTATTGTGGCCGTGACATTCTTTGGCCTCAATTTCCAACTTGTTTCATGTCTGTAAGTTGCATTGAGGCGCAAATGACACATGTGCTCACCTGACTGTGGAGGCGACAAACTATTCACTTTGATCGGTTTCTCAAAAGCTGACATTTTGCCAGAGATCATGAAGCGACACAAAAATAAACAAAAATGCAGAGCTGGAGCCTACCATTTTGATCCAGTGTTGCGGATCTCAAAGGAGTCCCAGAATAACTCCTTTCGCAGCAGTTTTGTCTTCGCCATGAAAATGTCCGTGGGATTGTCACATTCCCTCAGTTTGTGCTTTATCCTGAGCTTTTCCTGCCGAGCTTCTGTGGCTACATTCACACAGACAGAATGCAGAGGCTGCTTCTGCGGGGGAATAGGTGATTGGAGCGCGGGGATCATATGGGCTTTTTGTCAGACGGTTTAAAGAGACACGCTGCTGAAAAGAGTTGGAGACAGGACGCGTTTGGCGTCACTCTACTTGGATGTGTTTCATGTTAGTGTGAGGTGGAGGTGACGAGGAGGGACCAGGCCCCTGTGGCGAATAATGGGTGCGCAACTCTGAAATGTGCGCACTTGGACGCGGGTGACGTCACAGAGCAGACAGATGCGGAGGTCAGAGGGTGCGCGTCAATAGTTGCCGGTCATGTATTGTACACATACTTATATATAATTATACACACCCATTATTAGTTACTTGATTTAGTTCCAAAATACTTAAGATACTTACAACATTTATATTGTTGGTGATAATATAAGATACATTATTGATCTCACACAGGAGATTTACATGTCACATCTGGCATGGATGGAAACACTCAAGAAGAACAAAAACATTTGCAAAGAAATAAGTGTGCAAACATGTTAAATGCAGGATATATTATTTACAATAAAAGTGGCAATTAAGAAACAGTGGCAATAGTAGTGCAGGGTTTTGTTTTTTGGAACAAGACAGGATAAACCAGTTCATAAACTGCGGAGATGTTCTGAGATCCATTGATGGCTCCAGTGTTCATGAACTCTGGTTAACCCTGGTGCTATCCTTGGGTTAACTTGACCCGCCAGGCCCCGGGTAATCTAATCACTTTGGTGGGTCATTTTGATCCGATCCGAGGGAAGCACTAGGGTTAACTCAGGACTATCTGGCAACCCAGAGGCTCGATTCTTCATAATTGATTAAAGACGGAACTTCAGGATTAAACACATTTATTGAGTAAAGAGGTACAGAACATCATTTAAAGTATGTGTTACGTTTATTACAAACATCTATTTTTTAGGACCATTCTTTACCAACTGTTTATAAACAAAATCTGTCTTCCAAATGAAACACCAAACCCTGTTAACCTGATTTTTTTATGCAGAGCGAGACAATAATAAAAACTAAAAGAATGTTCATGTAAATAGAACTTCTGAGTGCAAACTTTAAAAAAAAAAAAGTTTTCTTCTGCTCTCAGTATTATGAAAATAACGATAGATCATAAACTTTGTAAATTAAAACATGGTGTGGTCCAGTACAGTATTGAACAGTATAGGTATAAATGCATTGAGCTTTGCATACAGTGTCCAGACTATTGCGGTCAAAAGAAGGCTCAGCTGTAGCGGCTGCTGCGGCTGTGACTGCGCCTCCTGGAGGAGCTGCGGCTGGAAGAACGGTACGACCTAAACAAGATCAGGTTCATGTAAATAAAACAAACAAATATATAATATATATAGAATATACACAGACTGTAACACAATAATAAACAGATACTTGGGTCACATGTATAGACCTGATAGATCTGGTGTTTTTATTTCTATATTGCCTTTGTTAATCCAGTTATGATCTGTAACAAAGGACCAATCAAGTGCCTTCCGTTCCCAAATTTGGTTTTAGCTAGCGAGCGGGAAAAGGGCCGGCACCACTACTTATTGGGTCTATACGAATCACAAATTTGCCTCTAGGTTCCTGCTCATTGAGTTTGTTAGACTGTAGCTCTAAATGGCTTCTTTTCCGCAGTGAGGCAGATATGGGCGATGTCAGTACTCCTTCTACAGTCTACGTCTGCTGCAGCTACCTTGAACGGCCGGAGCTCCTGTAGCTGTCACTTCTGCGTCGCTTTCGCCTCCGACTCACGCTGCGACTTCTACTGGAGTAGCTGTCGTAGGAGTTGGACCTGGGTTCAGAAGACGACTGTGAGAAAACAGCTGATTGTGGAGAGAACGAGAGTAACACAGAAACAAACCTGGATCTGCCCCGGTGAGTGCGAGAGCGACTTCTGGAGTGACTGTACGAACGACTGAAGAAAACATCACACAAAACATGATGAGATTATATAAGCATAATTCGGATCACTATTTAATTGTAAGAACCAAAATATGATTATTATAACAAGATAACATTAACACATTTCCAATAAACTGAAAACGGAACACAAGCCCCAGTAATATATGTTTCAGTTTACTATTTTGTAGTAACTTTATATGGAAAATAGTGGTTTTTCTATCAGTGTAATTGAAAAGTAGCTGTAAACTGAATATAGCCACTTAACAAAAGAAAAATATGTTGGTATTTGATCAAGATATTAGATATTACCGAAAAAAACAAATTAAACTTGTAGTGCTGCATGTCAATGTGTTTTAATATGATTTAAAAATACATAAACAAATAAGAAAATCAAAACTCCACTATACTATTATGCAAACGAGCAAAATAGTATTCTGATCGGAACATATATTCTAAGGCAGATATCCAGTATTCTGTTAGTATTATATTTTCTAAGTAAACCCGAACATGGCCAAAGTAGTTTACATTAAAAACACAAGGAAATGTTTCATGTTTACCTCCTGTAACCACGATACGTGCTGCTGCGGGAGCGTGACCTTCCTCTTCGGTGTCTACTTCTGCTGTGGCTTCTAAAAAAAAGAAATCACAAGATTCAAAATAAACACTACAAATATGGGCATCATTTAAAGTGATTCTCTGACGACGTTCAGACCTGGAGGAGTAATTGGAGCTGCAAGACCTGCTCCGCGAGCGGCTGGAGGAGTGGGACCACCCCCTGGATCTGGACCGGTGTCTGGACCCAGACCGGGACTTTCTGCTCTTCTTTGAGGAACGTGATGCGTTACTGTTTCTCATTATCACGGGGGAGTTTTCCTCACTCGAGCTCTCCTGGTTTCTTGGCCTTTGATTCATCCGCACAGTTTTACGTACTTCATCGAAAAGTGAACCAGGTTTGATGCGATTCTGGCTTTTGATTTCCATTCTGACTGCATGCTGTTTATTAGAGGCTTGGTTCTTTGGGGTTTGAACTGTTTTTGCAGTAACAGGTGCAACATTCACAGTTTGGGGAGCTGACATTCCTTTTAAGGGTTTCCATTTCAAGGTAATTCCTGCGCCAAGTGGCTTCACTGTTTCAGCATGCTTTCCCCCCACAGGTTCTGGAGCAGTACTATCGAGCTCTTTGTTCGGAAGCTGAGGTTCAATATCTTCTTTGCTCAAGTCGCCTGAGGACTTTGACTTAAGGTTAGAGTCACAGCTGTTTTCTGAAGGCACAAGCTCCAATATTGTGTCTGCATTGTGCTCAGGAGTACAAATGTCCATGTCATCCACTGCCTGCTCTCTGCTGCTCGCCACGTTCACTGTATCATTTTTCAACAACTTTTTTTCTTTTCTGGGACTTTTCTCTATTTCTCTGACCACATTTATGGATCTTCCAGGTCCATCATTGGCTCCCCTTGGGCTAGCTCCCTTCTTTTTAACATCATCATCATCCTCGACCTCCTCCTCTTCCTCTTCCTCTCCAAACTCTAATGGTGGCTGCCAGTGGAAAGTCTCTTTGACATTCTTTGGATGCTTTCTTTTTGACCTCTTGGTTTTACTTTTACTGTGTTTATGTTCGCTCTTCTTTTTGTGTTTATGTTTACGTTTGGATTTCTTTTTGCTCTTGTGCCTTTCTGGACCTGCGTTTGACCCCGGAGATGCCATTGCTGCCACTTTACGCTCAAGAGCATTCACCGCCTCTGATGTCCTTTTGAGTAGTTCATCCTCAGACTCTGAACTCGCTTCGCCTTCTTCTTTCTCAGAACCTGCGGACATCCGGATGTTCCCATTTTCACTATCAGAGTTCCATCCAGTCACAGCGGACAGCTTTTGGTCTGGAAAATGATTGGGTTGAATTGATTGTGTCATTGATTGTACAATGGGATTGCTGTCACTGTCCCATTCAGCTCTATTAATAACATATCCTGACGCCAAATTACCATTGTTTGTATAATCTATAGGTTCGAGGGTTATATCAGGACTGTTCTCATCCCTGCTCTTGGATCCAGGACGTGAAGTAGCTATAGATAAATACTTCTGTATTCTTCTCAATGAACTATAGTAGTTTTTCCAATTTTTGTCCATTGAAGAATTATTTGGCACTGCAGGTGATTGACTTTCAGAGGATATTCTATCATTTACTTTTGGTGACTTTGACCTCGACCTACTACGACTCCTGCCAGCAGAGTGACTGCTGCTGCTGCTTCTTGAAGAACTACGAGAGTTAGGACGACCTTTGCGACTTTCTCCAGAGTTTGGGGACGGTTCCCTCGGTGCAGTAGCGCTGGGAGCCTTTTTTGCATCATCAGTTTGCCCGGAGGATGATACAGCTTTACGAGATACTTTGGCTTTGATTTCATCGATGTGGACATAGGACGGCTTCCATGGCTTCTGTCCAGGTTTCCAGCGTGAAGGCGGAGGACTTTCACTAAGGGGCATCACAGGGGCACTCTCAGGTCCTGGGGCAGGGGGAAGTCTTGGACCAGGTCTTTCTTTGCTTTTAGGTCTCTTTTCAGACTTTGACAATCTGTTTTTAGAAGATTTTCTTTTTCTTGAAGAATTGCTTCTACTTCTGGATGTGGACACCGATCTGGACCTATATCTGGATCGAGATCTGGAGCTAGAGTAAGACCGGGATGTGGACCGCGACAGGTATCTGGACCTGGATCGTGACCTGTAACTGGAACGACTTTGAGACCTGGACAGAGTTCGAGATCTGGACAGAGTTTGAGACCTGTACCGACTGCGAGATCTGGATCGACTTCGAGACCTAGAGAAAGACCCACTTCTAGACCTTGAGCGACTGGACTCTGATCTTGAGTTTGAACGTGAGGAACGTCGGCTTTTCTTGTTGGAATGGCGCGGACTAGAGGAGTTTGACCGGGAACGAGATGGGGAATGTTTTCTTTTGGATTTTCGCTCGGGAGACGGAGGTTTCTCGACATCTGAAATATCTTGTGTGGATTTTTTAATGAGCTTATTCTTATTGGGTTTTTGTTTTTTGTTTTTCCTCTTGCGTTTTCTCTTCTTTTTCTCCTTTCGCGGCTGCGGTGAGCTAGAATGTTCCAATTTGCGATCAGGATGGTGCACTGTTGACCATGCAGAGTTGCTTCTGTCATCCCATCTGCTGGCAATATGTTCATCAAGCCTGTTGAAAAACAAGCATGCAAATTATACATTTCTTATTGTATCAGCCTAGTAATGCTCAGCTCATACTTGTCTCCTTTGCTCCATCTCTCTGTGCTGGGAGGCTGATAAACTGTAGTTCTGTTCATCTCCTCTTTCCAGTGTGGAGGGGTTTCACTACTTCCTCGTTCCTCAACAGAGACAGACCGGGATTTTGATCGAGTAGGAGTGTGGTATCGCTACCAGAAAAATATGATTATACATTTATTTATATTCATATCTTATAAAATACATAATGTAATTCATACATATACTAATTTAATTTGAAATGAACACATTTAATCTAAATCTGGATGTACCATTGTTCCTCTGCCTTTTATTTTTCTTCCTGATTTCGACACTGAAGGCTTTTGTTCAGATGAAACTGTATCTTCACTCTTTTCAGGTCTGAAAAAGATAAGAGAACCTTTATTCGTCCCACAGTGGGAAAATTTCAATGTTGCAGCGCACATACAGGACACTAGTAAGAGCACACAAAATATACAAAATAAGTAGCTGCTATGCTTCTTAGCTAGCTTAAAAAAAACAACTTGCACAACAGCTCTTGTGACAAAAAATGCATTAACAAATTATAGGACAAAGCCAATCAAACTCACATCTTGGGTTTTGATTTTTTAGGTGGCATGTCTCGCCGAAGAAGAAAGCGGTTCTCTGGGACCTGGGGTATATCTTCAGGTCGCAATACAAGTTTTTCTCTTTTCGAAAAAAGCTCTTTTTCCTCTTCTGATTCAATCTCCTCCTGCTGCGTGCTGTAAGAAAACAACCAGATACTTGAAAGACCTGTCTTAGCATTTAAAGGCTTACGTAAATAATTCACAAAAGTCACCTTTGCATTGACTGCTTCTTCACATGGTCCTTCTTGAGATTGTTTCGTCGTTTTTTGACTTGTCTACTTTTAACCACTTTTTTAAGCTTGGATTGATTATTTGCATTATTATCATTTTCGCTTTTTGATTCCAGTGATGGAGTGTGTGGAGGGTCCGGAACGTGTAATGAATCAGTATAGATGGATTCTTCTTTCTCCATGTTTTCAAGGACTGGTTAAAATAACGAAGCATTCATCATGATAATGTTAATAACAACAAAAATGCACCTAAAATATGGTAATGATGCAGAAGAAATCTAGACACTAACACATGTTTTCCCCCCATTTCACAAAGTCGGGTATGAATAAAACCAACCGTCATTAGCAGACTTCGTGATGAGCTGTCCGCAGTCCACCACCCTGACGTCAGCATAGGGCCTGCTGGCTGAGTCTGTCTTTAGGCCTTCAATCTTTTTTATCACTTCGAATCCAGATATGATCGATCCAAAAACCACATGGACTCTGAACAATAAATTTGTTTAGTTAATTTTCAATTCACAAATAAATGGGGGATGATTATGGTTAAACGTACCCATCCAGGTGGGGTGCTGTGTGGGTTGTGCTGTTTGTTGAAAAGGTAGCCAACAGCAGGAGCAAACATGAAACAAGTAAAATAAAAGAGAGGGCTGTAGAAATGCATCTGCAACCATTTGTGTAATCGCCACAAAATATCAGCTTTCTTGCATTCTATAATTCAGTGTAAAATAGATTAATTCTGGGAAGTTTTCTTTTATCATCTAAAAGTTCTAAAAGTAAAGTGAGAAAGTACTTCCATTGGTGAACAGTTACTATTAACATAACATCTGCAGTATAAATGACAAGAATAATATAGTCAAGAGAGGTGCACAGCCTTGGAGACACATTACCTTTGAGAAGCAGGATGCTAGAGATTCTGTAAATTTTGCACAAAAATGGCAAGAGAAAAAATGTAATATTTGTAGGTAAAAAGGTACGATTCTGTCTCTTAAAATAACACGATGACAGTATCAATACTTGACATGTCTACTCTAAGCTTTAGAGAAAACAGGAAAGGGAAATAGATAAGAGGCATAGATCATATGTTAATTCTGTTCAAACTCACATAAAGAACTGGGAGCCGTTGGTGTCTTTTCCACGATTGGCCATGGAAAGCAGGTAGGCCTTGTCGTGTTTCAGAGTGAAGTTCTCATCTGCATGAAGCAGAAAAACAGGAGTCCAGGTCTTAGCATCTTTCATTCATTCAAAATAAGTAATAATAAGCAGCAAAAACTTGAGTGAATATAAGAACACTAAAATATCATTATCACACCTTTTATATTGGTTTATAAGTCAGTAATTGTCATGGCATTGTGATTTCAACTACTACTAAAATAAAATATAGAGGAAAAAAAAGATTTTCCACAAGAGACTTCATGTAGAGACTCTTGTGCCATGCATTGCTGGATAGTCTGGCCACATTATTAGAATGTGGTTGCTCTAAATACAACACATGTAATAGTGTCATATGAGCTGTAGAAGGCTTTCAGGGTTGAACAATCGGACTTGCTTGTTCACTTGTGCAAAACTGTTGCACTTTGTAGACTAAGGAAAGTGGTGAGTCATTGTTGGCATGGTGTAACAAAGCTGTGTACATCTCTTACCTTTTCATTTTGCAAAAGACCACTCTATAAATGAAAGAATATGTTGAACATTTTAGGCAGGAAGATTGTAATTTTGAATAAACATAATGCCTACTCTCCATGCTGATTTGACTGATTTGATAAAAGGCCACAACTGGATAAAGTACACTTAGAAGGTGAAGGTCAACAGAGTCAAAGAGGAATGAAAATATGCAAACATGCAGCATTCATGCACAAATTATGACACCCCCCCTCAGAGTCGAGAATTATTTTAGGATTACCTTCAAAGTAGCCACCATAAATTGATTCCCCTCCCTTGCCGTTCCCTGTAAAACAGATGAGTCTATTGTAGATCAAGTAAAAATGCTTGCATTTGTGATTGGATCAGAATATAATCTTATAAATACCATCGGTGAAGTCACCTCCCTGAATCATAAAGTTCTTAACAACTCGATGAAATGTAGAGCCTTTATAGCAAAGCTTTTTCCCTGTTGTTTTGCCAGTGCCTTTTTCACCTGAAGAGAACAAAAGAGAAAATAGACTGTAAATTATTTAATGTATCATATTAAGTTTTCAATATCATAACATTTTAAAGGAATGCATATTTTATTTTTATTTTTCATAGACTGAAGTATATGTACTTTGGCCATTGAAGAAGTTAGGAATACCAACCAAGTACTACAGCAGTTGTATTAAAACGAAGCAAAGGCTCAGACAAAAGCATGTTATTGTCTGCATGGATTATAGCCTACTGCAAAAGATGCACCTTGACAGCCTCTATTTGGATGAAAAAGTTGAACTCAGACTGCATACGGCAGTTTTAATCACTGTGGTCACGTGGTCAGAACTATCATTTGCAGTCTGCATTCCACCTCCACAGCACTCTGAGATTGGTCTGAGCTGATTTTATTATATTCAATACTCTGGGTTTCTTGCCGCCAATGTACAGTATGTGTTCCCGCATGTACTCTGGGTTATGGGTTACAGCCATATCAAGTAACATGCACATAGTGGTACATGTTGTACCAGAGCATTGGATTGTTCCCCCACAAATAAGGAAACGTGAGCTGGATTTAGACTGTTGACAGACTAGGTAGTTCTACTTTATTGATGATATGCTGTTGCAGTAGTTGAAAGATTACGATCAACAACACATCATTAGTAGGGTAAAACTAACTTGTCTGTCTCACAACAGTCTAAATAAAGCAATGTCAGGGGACATTGCCCATAGACCATCCAACCCAGCACACTATCCATTACTAGATTGTTTCCTTGTGTCAGGATTTGATCTGAACATGTTAATAGAGGCTTGTACTTTCTCATGCCCTTAAGCACAACACTGAAAAAGGAAAGATTAATAATATTGAACAAAATTGAATATAATACGTACCAGTGCACAACCAGAGAAAGTTTTGACTTGTTTTAGGACATACATCAGAGAAGAGTTGAAAAACAATGCGCCCCACTATGGAAAATAAAGCATACCCAATTCAATTCGTAGTGCTTGAAAAAGTAGCAGGATCAATGAAAACAAAATGTAGATCATTTGTAACTATGCACACAATTGAGGTAAGGTATGAGCTTAAAATAATTGTGAATATGTAATGTATAAGATATAAACAGATTAATTACCTGGCTCCCGGTTGAGTTCAACATCAAAATAACACTGTGGCTGGTCTTTTCCCCCCATTGTGACCAAACAGAGATCTCAGAGATCTAATAAAAGTGAGACGAACAGAAAGTGAGTCAAGCTGTCAGTCTGTCTATGTGCAAACCCATTGGACAGACTAGTACATTGTAGTGTTGGGGGTGTGGAGAGGTTGGAAACAAATGCAAAATGGGGAATAAAGTCTATTAACAAACATAACAACATTATTAGTACTTGAACGCAACCAACCAATGCACATTAATGCAACTGCTCGACCAGGAAGGAAGTGTAAACCATGATATAAAGTAGACAAACTCCCTTTCACTAGTTTTGTAAGATTCACTTTAAAATAAGCCATTGTATTTACCTTGGCTCAGGGCTGTTGACCAATGTGATACACAAGCAAAGTTTTTAAAAATCGTCGTTAGCAAAGTGAAGAACAGGTATGCTAATGGTTCATCGCTAGCTAATGTTGCTAACATTAGATACTAGCTTAGATGCTAGCATCGCCACATTGAAACAAAATGCATGCACGCCTTGTTTATCACTTATGCAATAAATAACTCACCTCGTTCTCCACCCAAAAACACTAGTTTACTGGTGGTCGAAGTTTTGTACAGCTATTTTGTAAATGTGATGAATTACGCAGTGCTGCGACGAGCGAAACATACACGAAACTAGATATGTCCCTCCCGGTTGCCGTAGAAGATTTGTTGTGGTTGTCGCTGTAACAGCAGGAAGTCTGAATTGTTAGATCGAATTGCTTTTTATAACCTTGTTTTAGTAGGTTTTAACTTGAAGTGAAATTGCTGATACACGTAGTTAGATAGTAGTATGTCATTACAATGTTAATAACGTTACTGCATGGGATGAAACGAATAAGCTAACTTAACAGGTGCAGACAGAGTAAAGCTAAAACAATGCTACCGAGGTAAGACGATATTGTTTATTCTGATCGTATTCACTGAATATGCTTCTTATCTGCAACCCGTTTGCTCTTTACGGGTTAATAAATAGTCTAGAATTAACAAAACTAGCTTCTAGCCTTCTATTATTGCAAGCATAAACTATCATCACCCCCCAATGTTTTGACCTAAAACAATAAACCTTGCGATATTAAACCAACAAAATAAAGATGAATGTAGACCCAGCTCCCCCCCCCCCATGTATCACAGTCAACTAAACCTGATTACACGTTGCTACAGCAGAGGATGCAATACAGAATGATTGGCTCAGAGAGATTCCTGTGATGCTCATTCTGAAGATAATTGACTTGATTACCAAGTGGTTCCTTGTATTTGACCAGTTAATGGTTTAATCTTCTCTTCTCTCACTCCTGTAGGCACTGTGTTCATGGGGTTTTTGGATGATGTTGATCCTGTTTGCTTTCGTGGTTCGAGTGAGGGATGGACTCCCTCTGTCAGCCTCCACTGACTTTGAACACAATCCAGAACTGCAGGAGCGCAAACACCAGCTCCGAACTATCAGCAAGGCCCTGGCCCGCTTCCCTAACAGAGGGACTGTCAAGGGCCAGCAGCTTGACGTATAGTGAGTATTAATCATGGCTGTTAGCAGTGGTGTAACTATACACTTCCAAACACTTTATCTTTACTTAATGCAATTATATGTTTGTTTTAGATGCTTATTTTCAAGACTATTGTGATCACAGAATGCATCAACATTGTCAACAGGCTTATGCGCTGTCCTTGTTAACAACCTATTAAAACAGAATGTGACTAGTATTTTACACATACTAAAGTTCTGTAAATCACAAAATGTTGAATCTAAAGAGCTACTAGCAAGAAAACACATGGTTTACAGTTGGATCTAAAGCAATTATTACTTATTTCATTGTGGGGAAAAAATAATGGCCCATTACTATTAAGGTCTACCAGATGTAGCACGACAACATTGCTTAAATGTCAGTTTGGTTCTTGACATTGTTGTTCCTTTCAGCTTCAGCTCTTCTGAGGGAGTATCCTACATGACCGTGTGCCACTGCAGCCTCCCTGTAGCTAAAGCCTTCTGCTTTCTAGAAGACTTACGCTGGGAGTTCACTGCATGTTTCAGCAGTGCCGATGTTTCTCTGGCAGTCAGGCCATATCCGTTTTTAGAGTTTGGTAGGTAAAACAAACTGCTTATTGTTGTATCGATCCAAAACTGTATGTAAAAAAAATATTTCAAACACTATCAAACAGACAGTACTATTCAAAAGCTGAAGCAACAATACAACCAGCATGGCGGTCCAGCTCTGGAGGTGACACTGGCTGAAGTCCAAGACGATCTGAAGATCCACCCACCGCAGGTCGTCACCTTTGAAGAAGTGGAGTTAAGCAATGGCATTGGTAACGGACATGTAGAGCCTGCATCTGGGTCCGGTAAGAACCAGAGTGTTTTGTTTATACAGCATTTAGCATTTACCGGTAGTATAAATATGGAATAAAGTTGTTTTGGTTAAAGTTTTGATTGACGCAGGACAAAATGTAAGACTTGAACCAGTAACCGCTCCTGGAGTCCTTTCTCTGGTCCTTAATATCGTTTGTGCATCTCTGAACTTGATCCGTGGAGTACATCTTTTTGAATACACATTCCAGGTGAGAAAAATATCATATTGTAATTATATATTATATTAGATAGAAATTTGTATTTAATAAACTCTGTTTAATAATCTCTACTTAGGATGATAACGATAGTTTCTGGAATGTTGTGGCATTTTTTCTTGCATTTGTCTGCTGTATTTGTCAGGTAAAAAAAAGTCTTTATTTTTTTAATTTGAAAATGGTCTTATTTGTGGCACATCACTCGTATGTCTTTTCCCGTAGTGCCACTTGTACGTGTTCCATTCGTCTCTGAAGAAACAGAAGTCTTTTGTTCTGCTCAGTGTCATCGTCTTATGCAATGTTTACCTGCTCGGCTTGAGGAACTGGTGGCAACTGCTTTTCCACATTTCAGTCTCTTCCTTGTCCACCGTCCTCATTCTGTCGCGCAGACTTCAGGATAAGGTCAATGACTGCGGAGTGTAACGCGTCCATTATTCATTTGTTTATTTCTTCAGATCAGTAAAGCGCCAACAGGGTTTTGTTAACTGGTTTTCAGGAACAATATATATTTGTTTTTTCCTTTACTTTAAAAACCACTGTTCTCAATGTTATTGTTTAACAGGGCATTTCTTCCAAAGCTTGTAAGGAAACTAGCTGTAACTTTCCAAAGTTTTATATAAATAGTATTTAGAAACAAATGTGGCACCTGCTTTGTACAATGACAACATCCCACAATATTTATGTATTTAAACATCGAGGCCGTTATCAATAATATTTGAAATCTACAGTTTTTTTACTTAATTGAATTTGGATGAATTTAAGTTATATTAAATGTAATTAATTGAACTCAGCTGCACTAGTGTTTGTCATATCAAAAGTTTTGAATGTTTTTAATGTCTGCAAACCAGAGTTCAGGGTTTTTGTAAATATTTGTTTATGTTGGAGGGGATGAGGATGCATAGAAAGAGCTGCTATCTGCTAAAATGTATAATTATAATTTGTATTTTTTTTCTCTTGTAATAAGACCCTAGTTGCACTATTAGTTACTATTACTACTTAACTTTTTCACACTTTCCTGTAATTTTCAACATATTGTCTGTTGTACTTTGTTTCTAAACAGCTAAACAAATAGAAATTCTTATTCTTGCTTTATATTTAAAGTGGGTTTTCTGGAAAGTGAAATTAATACAATGAAATAGAAGTGTAAGTACTCTGCACTGAAGTTATTATGAAGGCTCGTCACTGATGGGGATTGAATTCTAATCATTTCCTTAAGTTGTTTTATCTGTAAAATACAACTGCCAAATACAGTTTACATTACTTTGTCTGTTGAATGAAGTCTGACATTTGAATAATAAATCTAGTCTTTTCACAAAGTATTGTATTATTTGCAAGTTGGGTTTAACTTTCATTTTGAGTGAAACCACCAAAGTGTACATGGTTTCCGTAGTTATTTATTTCATTCACATCTCCAAAAGTAGTATTACGTTTTCTTGCAATTCAATCAAATTCTGTTATTTTTTTTGTATAGCCAAAGTTATAGATTGACCAACTACATATCAGAGAATCAAAAGTTGTTTCCAAACACAGGAAATGCGATAATAACAAACACCTAGAAGCCTTTTGTTCATAGGGATGATCAGTATCCCTAAATGTCCCGTATCACCTGTAGAAGTGGTTCACTGAACTCTCACTTTGGACTTAAAATAATTTTGAAATACTTATAGTTACTAACAAAATAGTATTTGTCCACCAGGGGGAGATATATTACCATACTTGCTTGAGAAGGCAAGTATGAGCCCTGAAGCTGCTGGTTGTACCATCTACGTGTGTGTGTGTTGGGGATTGGTGGTGGTGGTCAGGTCAGATTGGCAGCCTTCCACTGTCAGTCTGCATCAGGGCTGCCATGGCTACATCATCAGGTTACTTATGGTCCAGATGGGCTCGAGACACTGAACTGTGGCATTGAAGGATGTGTCAAATGCAGAGGACAAATGAGGACTAATTAAGCATTTATTGATTTAAAGTATACCTTAACCTTATAATAGAACTTTGTGGAAAGAATGAGCACATGTTTATTTGGAGAAAAAAGGTTCATAATTTCACAGAATCTTCCCAGCAATAAAAGGTGGACATGCAGTGGATCCTCATGCTTCGGGGTTGTGTTGCAGGCAGTGGCACAGAGGACATTGTACCTGCAGCTAACGCCCTCTGTGAGAAAGCAGAAGTTAAACAGAGCTTCATCAAAATGCACAATGATCCCAAACAATCCTCTCCTGGTCGAGCCAAAACATATATAATTCAAAGTCTGCAGTGAATTTACCTCAAAAGAGCAGTGCAGGATTGGCATGAAAGCTGCAAAAAGGCTTGTTAATAATAGTGGTATAACACTCTGAGGTGAAATAAACATTCAAAATATTACACATTAAAATATGTAGTCGGGGGTTGTTTTTTTTGCTCTTCGAATATGTGACCTACTTCATGCTTTTTGGAGGTTGTTTCCTCTCCCTCCCTTGTCTTTCTAGCCATTGTATCCAACACTTTGAATATAGTTGACCTGGTGATTAGACAGTATTTGATCCACTTCCCATCAATTCAGAGAAGTATTGACAATCACAAAGCCTGTTGATTTAATCCAATAACGCCACACGTCACATTTTGATGAAACCCTCCCCTAGTTCAAAAGGGATCCAAAAGGAGCAGGTTAGTTATTGTTCAATCACATTTTTGGCATTGAGCATTTATGAGTCACTGCAGGATTAGACGCGTATGAAATTATATTTATAGACATGTGGTACATGAAGATGTGGAGATGGTATTGCATTTAGAACCTGACAAGCCGTAAGCAGGAGGAATTGAATGAAGATTATGAAAGTGAAAACCCCCTCGGGTCTAGACACTGATGGTGGTGGAAGCTGAAGTTTAGGCGGTGATGGGGAGGAGGGAGGTCGCTGCAAGAGCTGAAAACCTTGAAATGTGAAGCATTGTTGAAATGCGGCAGGTGAAGCAGATACTGATGAGCAGAGACACAAGTTTGCATTTGTGACTTATCAAAGCAAGATTTTATTCACGGAGATAGTCTTCCAGTCTGAACATTCGCTATAGCTCCATAACAAAGGGATAGAGTTTGCACGGCTCTGGGGCAGCTTTATGTGCAGATAGAGTTTGCCTCCTGCACCTTCCGGCTCGTCTCTCATGCTTATTACGAAGTATGGCACGATTCCAATCCGTGACGTTTGATGTTCAGCACCCAACCTTTGTAAAACGGACATAATGGAAATTGAAGAATATTTTTACTTTCTGATTCATGGTGATTTTTGAGACTGCAGCAACAACAGAATAGAATACAATTTACTTTTGAAGAACATGCATTACTATTGTCACAGCTCCTGTATACAATTCAAGGTTGGGATGACAGAATAATTACATGTCGCCCTTTATGAAATACTGACGCCTGAATCACTGCATTAACATAAATATTTACCCCCACATTGTAAATATTGTTTATGTTTGTGCATGAAGCTTTTTTGCTGCAGCCTAATGATGTAAATTAAGGTTCTCATGCAAACATAATTATCTCATTAATAAAAGTGCTGGTGCTGACCCGTTCAGAGAAGTTTCAACACAATGGCTTCACACGTCCTTATACTCTGCACAGACATGAGTCAGGCTTTCCCTGATTGAATAACAGATGAGTGTCAAATGTGAAATCACCTCCACCATTGAAATGAACGTGTGAATCTACTTCCTTCAGCCTGTTTACAGCCAAGAAATCAAAGAGCTGGACCTCAAACACTGTGAATGCTTGCAATGATTAGCGCACACGCAGAGAAGAATAGCTCTGCACTCGAGAGCGCGGCGGATAAATCACTGCTGCATAGACGCAACAACAATGCCCTATTAGAACCGGGAGGAAAAAATAACGGTAAGTCAAAGAGTACGTCAAACTACAAGAGAATGTGCTCCAAAAGAGGCCTGTGCTGTTTCAAAGTGTCTATTTAAAAACCGTTTGACTGAAATCCCCTTAAGAATGTTGTGTGGTTCTCTTGCTGGGTGGGCACTGGGCACACAAACTGTTCTTTAGACACGTGCTTGAAACCTGCTGCTTTATGCAAGTGCAGAGGTAAGAGTGTTATAATCCAATTGGCAGTTTAGCTTTTAAGTACATTTTGACAGCCATGGGATTATGATTTGTGATTATTATTGGAGAAAAAACAGAAAAAAATCATAGTATTGCAATGATTTTCTGTTGATTTTATGAGCTCACTAGTGTTTGATTCATTTATAAGCCTTAGTCACTTGTTTATTTTGGCACTTGGGTTTCATCACTGTTTGTGGCAGAATATTGAAGATGAATAATAAAGAAGCTGGAACAACATCTGTCTCTGCAACTTCCCAATCAATAATCCTTAAACGGACGGCTTGTTTGATGAGATCTGAGAGTTGAGAATCTGTAAACTGTACTGTCAAATATGTACAGTTGAAGTCCTCGGTACATACACCTTTAGCAAAAATGATTTCCCCCAAGTGTTGATTAAATTCTTGACATTTAATCTAAGTAAAACTTTCTGTGCCAGGTCAAGTAGATCAATATATTATGTTTTACAAAGTTAAATGTCAAGAGGAAAAGAGGATTTATTCCATTTCTTATTCATTACATTACAGGTGAAAATCTGTCTGAAGATTAGAATTGACATTTGTCATTCTACTTACAGTGTGAAGCTTATATATAATTTTACATGCAAGTGAGATATATCAAACCTGTATTTGTTATTGTGTTGATAATTGGCTCGAAGTTTGTATAAAGCCCAAACAAAATATCTCAGAAAATTAGAATAATTTGATATTTGACTGTAAGCCTTAATGATAAGAAAATATGTCTGTGCAAGTAGTGTACATCTTATATTGGGAACACATTTTAAGTTGAATCATAGAAATACATTTATTTTTGAATAAGTTCCCCCTGACATGATTAGAGGGTCCTCAGATGTATTTTTGCTTCAACTATACCACTATACTGTGATATAATTCCTCAGCAATAGATTGTACATTACATCAGTATCTATCTTTATATGAACAACATTAAATGATGTGTACATCATAAATATTCACTTGTATTTCTGTGTGTACAAAAAGCGGTGAGGGGAGGATGTTTGTAAATGGTTTTACACAGAGCAGCGCAGTGAGAGGTCTGCATGGCTCAAAGACAGCAATAAATCTGAGCTACAAGCGGGATTAGCTGAAATAGCTGAGGTTTACGTGGACTATCTGTCCTTTAAGCAATGGGCCGGGCTCATAGACTGATCTAAGGCCGGGCCAGACAAAACAACCAAATACCCCCAGTCAAGACGAGCCAGAAGACCGGCGACGTGCTTGGAATGGCGAAGGCGCTGATGAAGAATACATTGGGTAATGAGTTGTCTAATTACAGAAGCTTGTTTTGGCACGTTAATGGATCTCAAATGTCTAAATGAATAAATACCTCCATCATCAATGTTGTCTAGAGCAAGGTTTTAATTTCTTGTGTGATTTTAATGTTTTTAATTACCTGTGTGATTTTTAATTGTGTTTTAAATGGTGATTTTGGTGTTTGTTTTGTGTGTTTGATTTGGGCCTTGTGTGATGTGGACTGTGAGGTGCCTTGTGTTACCCTGTGAAAGGGGTTCTTACAAATAAAGATGGATTGATTGATTGCACTCAGTTCATTGAAATAAATATAGGTTTTTTTACTCTGCTTTGAAAAATCCAGACCTCCAGTTTAAAAAGAGGCTTCAAGCTCTTATTAATGTTGCTTTGAGATCAGCGGGAATCTCCAGCTGTGTTGACACATTGAAAAACATGGTCACAGTGGAGGGTAAAAGGTATTAAGATGCAAATATGCACAAGAAAAAAATATCCTTTTAAACACCTGCGATTAGCATATGAGCTTGGCGGGAACTCTGGGGAAATGGTAGGTCAAGGCCTTGTTGAGAAATACAAAAGCAACTCTAAACCTCTGAAGGAACTATCATAATTTATTCAATCACGAGTTCAAGTGTAATAAACGTATATATATATATTTACTGCAATACATCAAAAGGAAATATAAAATTAAATATCAGGTGTACACAAATGTGGTCTTTAAACACAGTACAATGGCAGCGTTACAGTTTGGATTGCTGGCAGCGTAATAGCATCACAGACATTGCACAAACTAGTCATTTTGCACATAACAGAACACAGCACCACTTAACGCTAGTGGAAAATGGGTCACAACAACAGCAGGGTAACCGAATGCATTTTGTGATGAGCACGAACCTATAGTTACCACAAAACATTGAACTATTCACAGACATTACTTTGCTTTTACTGTCCTGTTCGGTAAAGTGCTGCCGGAAATTGTAAACGGACCGTCACAATATTCTATCCCAGGCCTGTGGACCATTCGTAGCTGATTGGTAGAAACTGCATCAAAACGAGAAAGAGGAGATTGTTTGAATGTAATCAGCGACGGACTGACTTTGTCTCGGAGTCAAAGTGGAGTCTGGATGTTCCTTTTGGATGAACACACCAGTGATTTCCAAGCACAACCCCGGGAGCCCAAACTAAAGATGTTTTTCTCGCCGTCTTTCTCTTTAAATACAGAATCTCATCTTTTCTTGGTCTTCTCTTTGTCCAAATATTTCACGTCTTCATGTTTACCATTGCACAACAAAGCGCACATTGACACACACAGAATAATTGTATATACTGTATCCACTTGTAAGCTGTACAATAAGGTCCAATGTTCATGGAAATAATAACCACATAAGTTATTTTAAGCCAAATGAGTGATTTCTAAAAAGTGATTGATGGGTAAAAGTCATATTCGTCTAATAGTCTAAACCCAATGTATGAATGAACACACTTTTTTTTTTTTATCTCTTGGAGTGAGAGCTGATTGGCTGAGAGGGTGGTCCTCACTTTTTTTTTTACTTCTTCTGTCTAAAAAAGGTGATCTTAAGATGTGAGAAAGGCCCAAAACAAATGCATGCGATGAGATAGAAACAAACTATTTTGAGAGTGAGGAATTTACTTTGTTGTGGTTTTAACGTTAGGTACCGCAGATTCATGTAAAGTAATTGTTTTGCCTCTGATTCAAAAAGATAAAACATACATATAACTGCTATATGGTTTTGACCACATATAGACAATATATATAACTGTTTTAGCTAATGTGTACTAATATTTACACTTTGAAATAAATCTGTCAAACAATTCCTAATGACATTTTTCTCTTTGCCAATATTTACGTGAAAAGAAACCTGCGTAAAAACATTTGAGGCTTAACGATAAGTAGTCTGAATGTTGAAATCCATGAACTTCACAAACAAGTCTGTACAACGTTGCGTGATTCTGTCAGCGCGAATGTAAACATGTACGACAGGCATTTCCTCGTCCGTGTGTGGTGCGAACAGCTGGTGAGTGGAGAAGAGAGGGCGCCATCGTTCGAAATGTAAAGCCTCACGCCGTTGGGCAGGGGGCGTCGGTGATAAAAGCTGGGAAGCAGTGGGTCTCTGATGTGAGGAGTGTTGGGAAAAGGCCATGGTTCTCCTGAGCCATCACGCCGGATCACATCACGCCGGCCATCGCTTTGCAGCACAATCTGTTTGGCATTTATGAAAGTCCACTCCTCAGCTGGTTATCTGATCTGTTTTCCTGTTGGTTTTTGCAAGGTCGCCACAAACCCACTTCTGTCTCTCTTAAAAACTTCTAAAATACATTCAATAGTCAGACCGCCGCTGCCTTGGTCTCCTTCCTCAACCACAGCAGGGTCACGTTTCCTCTTTCTCTAATAGCTTATGTATTTGCACCAACATGGATCCTCTTGTAGATACAGTATTCGCGTATATAGGAATCCGATAAACGATTTTAAATTATCCCATAATGCGATCACACATGTTTGCTGCTTGTGGACCCCTCATTTAACAGCATTACCACGGCTGAGCGACCACCGGCCACTGTCTGCACACGCCATAAGCCAATAACGATTGAACGTATATGTGTCCACAGTCATACAAAATATAAATGTGCGTTTAAAAATGCAGATTTATGGTCCGCAGTGATATGTGCAAAAGTGGTGTCTGAGATTTTTCCCGATATACAAAACACTTCTTGCCATAGAGGAGGAATGGGATAAGTTTAGCGGCGGGTTGTGGGTCAGATGCTGGAGAGGTCGTCGTGGCAGGAGGAGGAGTTGCGCCGGGCTTTTGGGCTGCAGCGGGTCAGCATGGTGATCTGGGTGCTGAAGTTGTTGCTGCTGCCGATGGACGGGTGCTGGTACTTGGTGTCGTGGCTCATGTATCGCTGCAAGTGCCACCTCCTCCACTTTCTCTTGATTTCAGCCTGAACCTACGAAAACACAAATCGTGGATTAGTGGGAAATGGGTGGTTTGGAAAAAGGACAAGGCCACCTATACTGCAATTAGTAGAGTGTGGAGTGAGTATATACTGTATTTACTGGAAGAAGCCATGTCATTATGAAACTATTTACTTTGTCATTTCAAGTTTTAGAATGTGAAAAAAAAAATTAAGTGGAAAATCTATGATTAAACAAGTATGAAGGGTGAAGAATGCATTCTGTCTGCAACTCCCTGTACTACCACCAGAGGGAGATTTCTTGCGTCTATTTCATTTCTTTTCAATCAGGATAATAACCAACTGCTAAAACAGCCTTGTGATTGTAAAGAATGCTGATAATTTACTAAAACTAATTTATGAGCAATACTTTTGTTTTAATAGGCAGATAACCACTCTGTGACCGAGTGTGATGTCATAGCGGTACAATGACATCATTCTAATACAGGACTAAGACGAGATTTTATACAGAGGTTAGATGTTGGTACCTGAAGTTCCTGATGCGTGAATAGATCTAAAAAACAACTCAAAGTCTGTCTTTGATGAGGGAAGAATGTTGTAACATGTTTAAAAGATCAAAAATTAAATTTATCATAACCCGTCTCTTTTAAATATATATTGCACAAGTTTTATGAAGGGGTGGCTTCTTTTCTTGAAATGTGCCTTAGTTTGATTTAAAAAAAACTTGTACATATTAAATTAGGCGCTTTTACTGCTCAAAAATCTGAATTATTATCTATTTCAACATGTCTGCATTGTAACTCCAAATAATGAAAAACAAGCAGACACTAGACAAGGATTCACATGTTCTGATTTCACATTAAGTTCCTGCGCCACAAATAACTCAAGCACATCCCGAATGGATTGGAAATAAGCATGAAGATGAAAGTATAAAAACAACATTTCAAAAATACTCCACAAACAATGTACTTTAGAAGCAGAGAGTGGGAGAGAAAGGCTTTTTAGTGTATGAATGAAGCGTGAGAGCCTTGTGAGAGCACCGGAACAATGGACACGCTTAAAGAGAAAATGAAAGATGCATAATGAAAGGTTTGAAGCAGATCAAAGCGGTGACATGGGACAGTGGAGGACTCTGGGTAATTCATACTGTATGCATATTTAGTTTTAATATAATAATAATAATTGTGTTTAAAAATAACACTTGAATATAATTTGTTTTTCCCAAACTTTCTCCTGCGTGACAGTTTTGTAGAAGGTTTTAAATGGGGAAATGTTGGAACTAATGAGCTTTCAAAATTCCAACACCGACAAAGCTGGTTTAAAAAATGGTAATTATTGAAAATGTATGATAATTACTTTATTGAGTTGAGATAGTTAACTTTGTGTCTCAAACATACATAAAACATAAATGATTAGACAAACAATCTATTTCTTTAGTCAACTGCCCCCATGGACCGATATTTTATTCCTTGTATACAAGAATACGTTGAATGGAATTGAATTGAATTTCTATATTCATTAATACCCTCAAATGTAAGGTCATCTCTAAACTGTTTTTCAGCAATTTCCTAAAATCTTGGTTGGACTTGCGCAATGTCATCTTACTCATCCCAGAGATGAAGTGCCCGCACAAAAAGAATAATGTAATTTCTAAAAGTAGCCTCTGAGCAACACTAAAAAGCTCACAGCTAAAAATGCTTTTACTGCCCGGCTGTCCTTTTGGGAAACACTCCAGAAATATGCCAACAGCAGAAGAATCCTGCAGTGACTCAGAGGCTGAATGAATGTGTTTACACAGAAACCACTGATACAAAATGTTATTCATATTGTTCAGATGGTCTCAACTCTGGGTGTCATCAAAGACCATCTTTATCTTTGCAATTTACAATTTCAAACACAAATATAATTTCAAGTCTGAAAAATAACATATACCAATACATAGAATCTGATTTGACACCATAGTGATTGAATGTGTGGAGAAAAGAGATCCTGACTTTGTACAGTCAGCTATTGGCATGAGTTGTATATATAAATATATAAATATATGTACTGTATATACATGTATGTGTATGCGTATGTAAAGTGTTTATAATGGTGTGATGTCACAAACACATCTCAGGCCCACGAGGAAATCTGTCTGTTTAAAGTGTGTTTACATAACAGTGAGAAGGACGTACCTCTCCGTTGAGGAAGCAGTAGAGCACCGCCACCACAAAGCCCTAAATGGAAAGAAAAGACCAAAACAATTTGTATTAAAGTTAAACGCCGTATAAAAAGTGTTTATCTTATCTACATCCTGTCTATCAAGGCACATTCTGTGAGCTATAGTGTGCTCCATGTTCCACCTAAAGACACTGAAAGAGCCGGTTGGTACGAGTGCTCCCTCGTTTATCGCGTGGGTTTTGTTCTAAAAATAACCCGCAATAAGTAAAATCTGCACCGTAGCAGCTTTATGTTTTAAGGCTATAAAACTCCTCACGACACACACTTTTCTAATCATCTGAACTCACGACTTCTGAAATGCGATGGCGGATATATAAAACCGGTTTGTTGTAGGATTGAGCGCTGCTGCAGCTGTAAAAAGCCATGCATACACAGGATTAAAGGAAGACCGCGGTTATATCACGTTGTATATGATGCTGCAGGAGAACACACGTGTAGCAAGAGAAGCACACTGTATGAAAAGCGCACAAATAATCTGGGAAAAAGCGAAGCCATGAAATTTGAAGCACGTTAAACTGAGAGACCACCGTAAAACTAAGACCAGTAAGAAGAGTCCAGAATCAGGCAAATGTGCAGTGTCTGCTTTGGATTTATTATTTAGAGGCGGTGGTGTGAAGCATGCACAACTCTTGGGCATCTCGAAAAGTAGAACAGGGTCAGTCTTAAACGGCTTGAGGCATCATTAAGTTTTATAAAGTCACTTTCTAAATTAAAAGTAGCTCTAAGCCAAGAGGTTACAGCTGAGATCTGTGGAGAGGCAACCCTGCTTAATGTAACTAAATTGAATAAAACTGCTGAGAATGTAATACCTCTTTTGAAACATGAAAATTCCAGATGGTACCATAATTGTTTCTGTGTTTATGTGACACTCTGTTATCTTTTTTAAAGCGCCAGTCCAAAAGATGTACCTGAAAAGACCCCAAGATGAGATCAAAAACTAGTCGCAGCTCCGTCTTTACTTGCTCAGGAATGAATGCAAAAATGATGAAATTGATCCCAAACAGAGGAATCAGCAGCAGCGTGGATTTGGCCAGTCTCCTGAAATGACAAGAGGAAAACAGATTATTGTTGCATCGGGGCTTTCTCAAACCAATTTCCAATTTGTCTCTATTTGTGACAGTAACGATATGCTATTGCACAACCTCTTTCATTTTATATTTGGGCTCAGAGATGGAAAAAACAGATGAAATGTGTCAGCGGGAGAATTTCCCCACATTAGGATCTTATGAGAGGCTCTATCATGATAAATCAGTTTGTGCGTACATCACCAGGCCTCCCTCGCTGCGCTCGTTCCTGAGCAATGGGATTTGTGCATCTCTGAAGTCTGAATCCTATCAGTAGTGCAGTAAAGCGTGATAAAAAACATAAAGCTGTTTGCTTACAGGTACTGGTTGGACTCTTTCCTCCCAATATCTGGACAGTTAATCTTCTGACGGAGTATTCGAATGATGCAAATGAAGAGGGAAAAGTTAATCTGAAAAGAAGGAATGGAATCAGGAGATTAGAAAATGTCACTGGAATGTAATCAATCACAGTAACAGCATTTCACTTTCTTCAAATACAGACGTGTCAAACTAAGGCTAAACTAAAAAAATAATATATAGAAAGCAACCACTGTACAGACAGACACGCACACACACACACGCACACGCACACGCACACAACACAAACACATCCTATCAATAAGTTCACATACATATTGTATTTTTGCATATACATATCCACGCAGACATACTGTATATTTGAACCACACTTCAGCTCTTAGGTTGCGTACATTTTTTATAAAGAAGTTATTACTGAAGATTTAAAAAAAGGGAGCAGAATGTTACGAGTCAGGTCTGTTTTATACGTGCATGTTTTAATTATTGTGGGAGAAGCATATTCTCATGTCCATTTCCCATGTCCAATGCTCAGCAGCTGGTGAGGAGAGCAGGAGATGGAGTTATGCGATCGGTCAGTCTGCTGGCATTGATCCTAATGCGGATTAGCACCGAGGAAAACTGCTTTGACAACAACTGCTGCCAAGTGATGACAGACAGGTGAAAGAGCAGCACACCACTCAGATACAGCCAACCGCTGAATCACCAGTATTGTCAAAGTAATAGAAATAATTACAACCTGGATTTTATACTTTAATGAAGGAATATTATACATTATTTACTTGTGTTTCATGTTTTAAAATGTAGAAAAATATGGTGAAATTATCAAGGCTAAAACGTGCTTTTCACCTATAAGTCCCTAAGCTAACACCAGAATTTAATTTTTTACATGTAAAAGGCGTAAAGCTGCTCTGAGCGTGATTTCAAAGCTACAATGACATCACACAGTTACAGGACTGAGACAGAGGCTTTTCATGAGAAGGGGTGAGTTGTTGTAGGCTCCAATAATGATAAAAGCTTAAAAAAGTAAATTTTGTACAATATGTCTTCTTTAACTATTTCAGTTCAGGCACAAAACTTTTAAACAATCATCATAAAATGTCATATTATTTATATTCCATTTTTCAAACCCCTCTGTTTAGATTGGAGTCAAAAGTCTTGAGACTGAAAACTTGGTCCAAATGACGACTTTTGAAAACTGTATGCGACAGATTATGAATGAAAGCTTACACGGATTTGTTTTAAAACAACATATATATATTTTACCCTTGTGCACAAAGAGTGTTACTCTGGAAGACAAAACAAAACAGGCGACAACTTAAACCCGCCTGTTAAAATGAATAATCCTTCAAGAGTATTCACTTTAACAAGTTTATGGTTCTGCTGAACTTGTTCTGTCTGAAACGAGGACAGCGAGTTTGTCCTCACCTCAGACGACCTGTCCAGAAAAGCACTAAGAGAAATAAAGTTCAATTTAAGTACTTGCATCCAGAGCCAAGAGCGTAAAATGGTGTTGGCAGAGACGAGAGCTTTCTTATGGACAACAATTGAAAGAGTCCGCTCTAGTCTTCATCATCAGTTTTTAACAATGTATTCTTCATCTTTTTGCACTTGGAGCAACACGAGGGAGAAACCAAACAAATCAATGCCTCTTATCCAACTTTAATTCTTTCAATTAATGTTTTACAACTCTTTTTACCGTCTTTAGTTAGTTGTGTTTATTGTCACAGAACAAAACACACGGCAGAAGAATAGATCATACAGTCTACGGTTCATTGATTAATCAGAACTGATGAAATTGAACAATGAACAGATAAAACATGACTGTGTTGTTACTATTCACCTGAAGATGGAACTTTAAAGCTCCCATTATGACTGAACTGTTTTGATTCAAACAACTAATTTAATAAATACTGTAATTGGCCAACTAAACGATGATCATCAGTGTGTTCAGTCAAACCGTGTTGATAAAGCTGGGTTCACGAGGGTCCATGTTTTCTCATAGACTTATAGAACTGTAGTATTCAGACGTTTAAGATGTTTATACCAGAGACTTCTTTTATGCAAAAGGAACATCATGTGTACTCCAATTATCCCCACATTTATCTTCAACTGAGAAAAACATTGACTCCTCCACTTACCAAGATTGAGGCCAAAATAGGCGTTTTAATGATCCACCAGAACACGTCAGTATTTTCAATAATATCCCAGCACCTGACAACAGCACATGAAGGAATGCACATTGTAAGGTTGATCAGGGAAAAAATATAATTTCAAAGCACATTCCTTACCCCACGTCGTTATAATAGGCTTTTGCAATGCTCCAAGCTGTGATGAAAATGATGGGGCCTCCTGCATCAAAAGAGACAAAAATAAAGGTGTTGCTACAGTGATTACGGCACAGGGGCCATGGCCTCGGTCTCATCCACAGGAGAATCTCCCACTGTGAGCCTTAGACACAGTTAAAGGTGCAGAAGGAAGGCGCTCACCCCAGCCGATGAGGATGTACGCCCAGAAGTACTTCCTTTCAGAGAAGAAAGACACCGCCAACAGTGCATGGAGATACAGACCCTCCACCAGCAACCAGAAGAAACTGGCCATTATACAATACTGAAAGAATACCATCACAGCCTTACAGCCCACCTGCCGAAGGACACACACAAATATCACACATTTATCACACTTACAATCACTTTCAGAATCAACTGAACCTTTATTCAAGTTGTTGACACCTTTTGAACAGAGTAAAGTGCTGACCAGGAAGAAAATGAACAGGAAAAACAAGAAGTAAATTGCTGCAAAAACACAAAAAACACAAAGGAAACTTTTGAGCTGACAGGGGAAAATCATGTCTCCTGCAACCACCCACCTGCACTTTATAAACTAATGCTCAGCTGCTCACAGAGTATAAATAAAATAAAAATATACAAATCTTTAAACCATTGGCCTCTCCCACCACCAACCATTCATGCAAACACCAGACACACACTACGCAGCTACAGCTAACCCACTGTGGCACCTGGTGTTCCTATAAGTCTCCCATCAATGTATTAACCAAGTCCTGCTGTGCTTAGCTTCAAAAGTCTGACAGCAAGTTAAAACGCTAATTTAATCAAAGAAGTTGTTCATAAACTGAACACTTGATAAAATAAGTCCGGTCAGCTCCTGCTCGGTTCTTTCTAGAATGACTTTGACAGCCACGACATAAAATAAGCGAGTAAGTGGAGCTGCAGCCAACACAGCGGTAGATCAATGCCTGTGCGGCGAGGGGAATTAAGTTTGTCCAAAAAGAATGAAGGACAAACAAAGACAAATAAGAAGGTAAACACATAGGGTGTTTATCTGCATTTTTTTCACTCACTCATTTAAAAAACATAAGAACATGGAGCACGTTCAAAAAAACTCAATTCAGAGGGATTATCTAACAAGTCTGGTGAGTTTTGGTCTGTCTTTGGATGGTTTTTTCATGTACTTTTTCAGCTTGTTTCATTTTTGTATTTGTCTGGTGCACACAGGGGTACTTTTGGGGTACTTGTATTCTAATGTGGTTTTACTACAGGTGGCAAATGAAATTAATTTCATCAGAATCATCCATCTACGTCCAAACACACATATTTCTACGATCAGTTTGTCTTTTCCCAGTGCGCTCAAATGCATCACTGTCCGACTACATGAGGCGCACACCAGCACCTCGTTTTTCACACCTCCTTCGACACACACCAGTTTACATACGTCTTTATCGATCTAATTCAATTGGAGTAGGTGGAGGATTGGGTTTTCACGAGGGATTCGTAAACCGGCTCAGTGGTGGTGAAACAGGAATAGTCTGTGTAGCGATTACATGAATGAGAAGGATTAAAGATGCATAACTTAAAGCTGGGATGAAAATGTAATACTCTTGATTGTTCCAACAACAACAACAAAATCAAACTAATCAGACCTACACATTCTGTCTTCTTTTGCATCACTGTTGTAAGAAATGTCTGGGAGTCACTAATTGGGCTGAGAGCTGCCTTGGGCTCAGTGAGGGTGGTCCTCTCTTTTTCACGTTTCTGTCTGCAAAAGCTGATCCTGAGAGATGAGGCCAAACATACGTACATGCATGTGAAACTAGCTAGAAAACAGCTAAGATCAGAAGAATAAATCAACATTCTACTAAGAACATCCGAAAGAAGAAAAACACCACAATCAGACTGAAGTTACAGTGAACATACCACACCTTTCCCCTGAACCTACTCTGCTAAGAATGACAAATGGGTGTGGAAAAAGGCATGAAAAATAAACTCCATTGTGTGGCCTGAGTCTGCGCACGGACTGTGAAAGCCATTAATCACGATTGCGGGATGAAGACACACACCGCTCAGTCACGCTTTTTCCTGCTCTACAAAACAACACCACTTTATTCTTTCGCTCGGACGTGGCAGAGCGTGCATGAAAAAGTCAACACGGGGATGAGTCTGTACGCAGGATAAATGGCTAATCTAATTTACACACAGGACAATTAAGTCATCACACATTCCTGGGCGGTGCGGGTGGCATATAAAGTTTCAGTGACGGGAGCATGGCAGCTGCGAGAGGAGCTGGAAGCTGGAAAGTGGCATTTAGACATAAGCTAATTCCCCCTTGGCAATGCTTTAGGCAGGGAAATGCACAGGGATTTGCTGCCTGAACTGTACGGCTCATTGTAATGTGTGCAAATCAGGACAGATTACCTACTGGAGCTCCATTTTCTGCCAGTCCTCAATGCCATGTGGAAAAATGATAAGAGATTTTGGCTGCTAGATGTGATCTCTCCCACCGTAATGCATGGAGAGGTGCTTTAAATCACGCATAAGTGAGTAGCTTCCTAATAGCCGTAATGTATGCATGCATTTACCTAATAGGGGAAATGTAGGAGAGGGCAACTGAAGCAGATAGGTCTACTCCCCCGCTCTAAACAAGACAGCGGTCAAGATGAGCGCCGTGCCACCAGGGCTGTCACTACTGTTTATTTGAGTTGTAGCACGGCTGGGTCTTGTCAATGCACCACTTCCATTAACATCCCAAGGCCACGGCTACTGCTGAGAAATACACTGTGCGCTGATACCATAAACTGGGCTGGAGTTAAGTCTACAGCCCTGAGCACCACACATCAATGGTATGTGAGAGAGGCTGTTGGAATGAGATCTGCATGTGTAGAAGTTGCCATGGGAACATAAACTTCATTTCCATTTTCCATTTGAGATCATCAACAAAGAATTTTTAAAACTTGGGTACACAACTTTTTTGTGAATAATGCCAACAGAAAGCATTTTTGAACAAATAAAACCACAACATTCTGGATTTATTTCATTATTTATTTGTATTTACCTTTATTTAACGGGGAAAGTGTCATTGATATTTCAGAATCTCTTGTTCAATGGAGTCCTGACCCCAGAGAGAGGGGAGCTATTGTACATATTTTCTTATTTTTCGAGAACCAGAGCACCCAGAGGAAGCCTACACAGACATGGGGAGAACATGCAAACTGCACTTGGATAGGACCTGTCTGGAGGTGGAATCAAACCCATCCAATCCATCCACTTTATCTATATAGCATATTTTATAAAACATGTTTCCAAAAGTACGCAAAACCTTTAACATTTTGCACACTTGATTGGTTGAGGGATGTGACAGGCCAAAAATACAGGCATGTGAAAACTACAGTGTTAGAACTAAACTGTTTGAGGGCGAGAGACTAGTTACATGGAGTTTTTTATTTAGTTATTTAAAAGTAAGGTACCCGAGCTTTAGCGTCTGCATTTGGATTAGTATTTCTGTGCACCTTTTACTAGCTAGTAAAAACATATATAATATAACTTGTTATTATGTTCACAAGTCAAATGATAGACTTGGTCAAGTAAAAAACAACAGTTAGACAGCTGCTTCGGAACATATTCGGTGTCAAAACGCACTTGATAATCGGCGACTCGTGAATTCAGAAAAAGACAGTCATTTTTCTCGACATGAACTATTCAAGCACCATCTATCCCCTCATCCCCTTCATCCAGGAAAGCTGTCATTAGAACCCGTAATGTGTTTAATTATGTTCATCACTTATCCAGGGCCAGACTCTCACCTGCTGCGACCTCAGCCTGACTTTGTAAACGCTGAAGGAGACGGGGAAAAGATCACAGATGTCTAACTTTAGTGCCGGAAAATGGACTCACGGATCCAGAGGAGCAGTTGTCCACCTCTCCGACCTCGTAGAGCACCACGTCTTTGATGAAAACGGCGATGGCTTTCAGAATGAACGACACAAACAGGTGCATGTGGATGAAGTTCCTGGTGCAGTGGAGTTTCCTGGAAAAAATAAAAAGCACCATTATGTAAATTTAGTCACTTTGTCCCAGACCCTCAAGTTGCTAACGTGTACAGATGTAAACATACAACTATATATTACTTGAACTAGAATACTCTTCTTTATACTTGCTTCTTATTATGCTAAAGATAGATATTTTATTCTTCTTTATAATGCTTAAGTTTTTTGTACTCTTTATGCTTTTATTCAGTACAGAGTTATTGCTCATTGATCTTGTGCTCCTCATTCCTACAGTTCTGTAACGGTTGATGCTACACTGAGATTTCCCTATTGTGGGAAAAATACAGGTTCTAAACTTTTTCCTCGCACACGCATCAACTTCATATGATGCGGCTTGTTATCCAATGTCCTCGAGTTAATTGTGCACAACGACAGCAAATTACAGTCCTAATCAAACGGTAATTAAAAGCTCGCATTTTCTTTAACAGCGAGGGCGGATCGACTGCACTCTGCTGATGGCCTTTTGTGGCTTCTCACACCCAATTACTGCCAGGCTTTCCCGCCTTCACAGTTTTATCTTGAATCAATTTTTCTGAGAAAATAGATTCATTTAGATAATGTTCTCTCATATTTATTTTCAACTCACAGAATTTTGTTTTAGCATTTATAGCTTTAACATTTACTCATGGCCAAACAACAATCGTCAGTTCAATTGAATGTATTTTGTAAAGCCCTCCATCACAACATCACTCGTATTGGGGACATCACAAAATAGTCAAAAACAGATTAAAGGAAACAGAAAAAACAGGAAGTGAATTGATAAAACAAACACGTACAGTAGAAGCGATTGGTCCAGAGGGAAACAGGATAACCATTTGAAAGTGTTTAGAATAGGATAGACTTTACCTTTATTTTGTCATTGTCAGACACACAACAGTTCAGCATCTCTCTGGCAGACATCACCTTTGCATAAAACAGCAGCTGCAGTGAGTTGAGTTTAAATTATGATGCCTCACAAACGGCCAGATCAAGGCGTGCACCTGAGTCCGCATCAATGATTACTTCTTTCAAATGTGAGGTCTGACCGTGGAGATGCTAAATTCTTTTTGAGTGTTCTGTATCTGACAATGACAAAATAAATTTAAATTTGATTTTCTTTTATTCTGTGACCATGTGCAGCAAAACTGTATTTAATTAATTTTTTAAGACATTTTATTTTGATTCATTCTCGCAGTGAGAGACCATAAAACCATAACATTGAACATACATAAAACAAACACATTTCTTATCATATATACCAGGCATGTCAAACGTGAAGTTAACTCACAGCTCTGACGTAATGGGCTCCTATGGCATGTTTTACCTCGTTTTAAAGTTAATTCTCTCAGGAAAAATGTTTGCTTGATTCTTCAATGTAAACCCAACAATTAATTAAAAGTTAAATGAAAATCACTGGTCAATTAGTCTTCAATTGCCTCTCTTCTTTACTCATGTTAATTAAAAGTAATTTGCTAATACACACCCACACACGCACACACCCACACACACACACACGCACATGCACGCACACACACACACACACACAAGCAGAAAAGGGCTGAAGTTTATCTAACTAGAATATAAGAAAGTTATGTGTCTCAGCTAGTTTTATACGTAAAAGCAGATAATGACAGTATTAAACATTAAGCCGGATTAGCAGCTGACAGACACAAACATCAACATCCAATCTTAGCTTCACACCGTGGAGTGTTTGATAAAATATATGCTTTTGAGTCTGATGTGTTAGAAGGAACCGTACCTGAAGACGCAGAGGATTACAATGGCCGTAGTCAAAGAGATGAGAGAAACACTATGGCCCACAGTGTAACCAATCTTCACTTGCCAAAAAAACTTTCCCTAAGAACAAAACAAATGAACAGTGAACAAAATCAATGCGTTTGACTTCAGACAGGACTTTTTCACTCCGCTGTAATTGTATTGACAAGTTCTTCAAATTCTATCTATGGGTGTCAAGATTAATCATGGGAATTTTAAAAGATGGAAGCGAAGAGGAGATGTTTAGAGGTAGAAAAATGTATTAATCCAAATGAAAAAACTTTGACACAGTAGTCCAGAAATGCAGAATAAATACTAAACTTATTATGTGACTTTAGATAGAATAGAATATGTTAATTACACATCTTAAAGAATGCTACATACAAGTGAAAAATGAATCACACACTTTGAAAAGTTAACTTGACTGACAAGCCGAAAGTGCTTTAGTGAGTGATTTATTCTATATTTTTGGTCACAAACTGGAATACAGCAATCCGAGATAGTGAGTTACTCTATCTCTTTCTACATAAATCTAGTAAATCCTTTGAGTATGGTTTGACTGTCAGTAGTGGGAGAGTCGACACAGTAAGTTTGGATGGAAATGAGATAAAGCTCCCCCCGGTTTCACTGCTGCGATGAACTATGCAGGACATTGATTTCCTTTTAGATGCAATGGCTCACCGCGTCCAATGTGGAATACTAATCAGGCAGCGTCCACCAGGAAAGCTTTTACCTCCTTGTCGAGAACATCCAGTTTTCCCCTAACATCAGCTCATGGGCAAGAAGTGCTCTTCCACCGGGCAAAAAGAGCCCATTACAATCTTTATTGCTTCTCGTTGCCACAAGTACCTGAACAGCCAAGACATTTCCATACTGATTATTTATAATTACCTGACCTGACCTTTTGTTTCACCCCGAGAGCAGGAGAGTACTTTTCATTTGCGACGTTTTTCACATAGAAAGTACTTATCATATATTAATGGATCAAAACCAAAGCCTACTTATGACCCATCCATTTTCTTGCACTTTATCTGGTGCCGTGTCGCAGGGGCTGCTTGCACTAAGCAGAGACACCAGATCTCTCTATTAGCACACTTTACGCGAATGATTACACTTGAAGTCACTTTGTGGATCTTTATTACATCAATATTTAATCTTTCTACCAAATAAAACAGGGCCACTTTTAGGTTAAACAGGCTGAGGCTTACTTCCATCGAATAAACACGATAATGGTTCATGTTTTCATCCGTGCCTCGGCTGCTGAATCCCACGGGTATCACTAACTGCGGTCGTGAATAAAGGGCCAGTGAAAACAGCTTCAGTACATGACTCACTCGAAACGCAACTTTGGTAAATGAGAGAAGCTCTTAAGAGGATATAATATGTCTCTTTTAACCATTTTTATTACATAGATTGTGTATTTTTTTGGTATTAGCATTCACATTGATGGAATTCGGGCGTTCTGCTCTCCCAAAATTTCATCCACTGAGCGGCGCTGTGATCAAAAAATGACACCGTTTGTTGCCCATTTCACTTCCGGTTGATTTCATACAATGGCGAATATGGCTCACGAAAACAACAAACGATTGACAGTGCCTGAATTGCGTGAAAGGTTCGAAGCGAAAGGGTATTTGCAGTGTGGGAAAACGAAAGGAGGAATTTTTGTTGCTAGTTCAACGAGCGGATGGTGTTTATGAAGATTTAGAAGAAGATGACAGCGAGCAGAGTGAACAAAAACGGCTGTGTGTGCGAGTGACAGATGGTAACAATGAGAATGAAGTTCAGCTAAGAGGGAAGAATGTGAATTGGACGGATGATTTGCGCGATATGCCACTAGTTAGAGACGGGAATGTATTTGCATACAGAAAATGACGAAAACACTCAACCATTTAGAGAAAATGCGCCGGGCAGAGAGAACCGGAAGTTGCGAAGGCAAGTGTTACCCATAATGCAACGCAAAATTCAGTCGCTCCCCCGCCCATCGGATGGAATTTTGGGAGAGCAGAACGCCCGAATTGCTCTTGCAGCCATCACTACTCAATATTTGGAATTGTACATAAGATAAGATAGACTTTATTGATCTCACACAGGAGAAAATTACATGTCACATTCGGCATGGATAGAACCACTTAGATTTGTGTAAAAATATGATTTGGGAGGCTCCACTGCATAATGTGAAAATGAATTCATTCAAACATGACATGAAAGAAAAGTAATTTAGCAAACAGCATCTCAACTGTTGAGTGGCAGTTCTGTTCCTTTTCACCTATTTGATACAAACCATTGGATTGTTTTTATTTCAGTGCAAAATGTTCACAAAAGGTACCTTAGCCATCAACGCTTCTACAGACAGGGTTCTTCACTGAAACTTTTTTCTTATTCTGTGAAGTTAAGGTCTTAAGTGAAGTGGAGGTCTTTTTAAGCCACACAACCCTGATTTACTGGGAATGAGTAAAAAAATGCTCCAGCTAAACAATCGATATGTTGAGATAGACCTGGCACTCACCCGCTGAGGCAAAAACATTCTATTTTTGTCAACCGACTGGGCCCTGCTATTATTGTGTGCAAACCGCGGCACAGAAACTCATTCGTTGTGCAGAGTGTGTTGCTCCGGGAGGTGTGTGTACTCACGTCGTCGCTGGTGCTGTTCAGGTTGTAGCCGCAGTTCAGGGCGATGTCAATAGGATGCATGTCTGTCCACCCGTCCACGGTGCATGTCTTGGAGAGGTTACCTGAGGGTTACGTGGACACAGGAAGAGCTCACAGCTATTATCACCTCACCCAGATAGTTTTGAGCAGTCCAGCAGAAAAAGCCATGACATTCACTGAACCAGGACCAAAACAGGCTACTGCAAAAACAAACCACACACTAAGACGGCTCTCCTTCAAGGGATTGATCAAGTGTAAGCATCTATCCATTAAACCAGTGGTTCTCAAAGTGGGGGGCGCAGAGCAATTGCAAGGAGGGACGGGGGACGAATTAATGCACAAAAATACTGTAGGCTAAATGAAACTGCTAGCATAAGATGGACAAATTATTGACACATTACAATCAGCAGTTAGGGCTGAGGTTTATATTAATTACAAAGTGTGAATGGACCCAAATTATTTATTTTGTACATAAATGAAATCTGTGAAGTTCTTAATAAATCACGATGCATCTTATTTGCTGATGATACCAGTCTGTATTGTTCTGGAAAAGATCTTGGGCTGCTTCTAAATACAGTAGGAAGTGAACAAAAGATATTTAAAAAATGGTTTGATGTAAACAAACTTTCCATAAATCTGCATAAAACTAAATATATTATCTTTGTAAAAAGGGAAATAATAAAGACCCCATGTAAAATCAGTATTGGGGAGGTAGACATTGAAAGGGTGTATGAAACAAAGTTTTTAGGAATCAATATTGATCATAAGTTAAACTGGAAAGTGCATATAAACACTCTAAAGACTAACATTTCTAAACTCATTGCTATACTGTGTAAAATTAAAACTTCTGTAAATCAAAATGCTTTATATATACCGTACAATTCCCTCATCCTTCCATACCTCAGCTACTGTGTGGAAATATGGGGGAATACAGTGCCTTGCGAAAGTATTCGCCCCCCTTGAACCTTTCAACATTTTGCCACATTTCAGTCTTCAAAAATAAAGATATACATTTTTTAATTTTTTGTCATGAATCAACAACAAGTGGGACACAATCATGAAGTGGAACAAAATTTATTGGATAATTTAAACTTTAAAAAAAAAATAAAAAACTGAAAAGTGGGGCGTGCAATATTATTCGGCCCCTTTACTTTCAGTGCAGCAAACTCACTCCAGAAGTTCAGTGAGGATCTTTGAATGATCCAATGTTGTCCAAAATGACTGATGATGATAAATAGAATGCACCTGTGTGTAATCAAGTCTCCGTATAAATGCACCTGCTCTTTGATAGTCTCAGGGTTCTGTTTAAAGCGCAGAGAGAACCATAAAGACAAAGGAACACACCAGGCAGGTCCGAGATACTGTTGTGGAGAAGTTTAAAGCCGGATTTGGATACAAAAAGATTTCCCAAGCTTTAAACATCTCAAGGAGCACTGTGCAAGCAATTATATTGAAATGGAAGGAGTATCAGACCACTGCAAATCTACCAAGACCCGGCCGTCCCTCCAAACTTTCATCTCAAACAAGGAGAAGACTGATCAGAGATGCAGCCAAGAGGCCCATGATCACTCTGGATGAACTGCAGATAACTACAGATGAGGTGGGAGAGTCTGTCCATAGGACAACAATCAGTCGTGCACTGCACAAATCTGGCCTTTATGGAAGAGTGGCCATTTCTCAAAGATATCCAATAAAAGTCTCTTAAAGTTTGCCACAAGCCACCTGGGAGACACACCAAACATGTGGAAGAAGGTGCTCTGGTCAGATGAAACCAAAATCAAACATTTTGGCCACAATGCAAAACGATATGTTTGGCGTAAAAGCAACACAGCTCATCACCCTGAACACACCATCCCCACCTCAGCTGTAGTTATCTGCAGTTCATCCAGAGTGATCATGGGCCTCTTGGCTGCATCTCTGATCAGTCTTCTCCTTGTTTGAGATGAAAGTTTGGAGTGACGGCCGGGTCTTGGTAGATTTGCAGTGGTCTGATACTCCTTCCATTTCAATATAACTGCTTGCACTGTGCTCCTTGAGATGTTTAAAGCTTGGGAAATCTTTTTGTATCCAAATCCGGCTTTAAACTTCTCCACAACAGTATCTCGGACCTGCCTGGTGTGTTCCTTTGTCTTCATGGTTCTCTCTGTGCTTTAAACAGAACCCTGAGACTATCAAAGAGCAGGTGCATTTATACAGAGACTTGATTACACACAGGTGCATTCTATTTATCATCATCAGTCATTTAGGACAACATTGGATCATTCAAAGATCCTCACTGAACTTCTGGACTGAGTTTGCTGCACTGAAAGTAAAGGGGCCGAATAATATTGCACGCCCCACTTTTCAGTTTTTTATTTGTGAAAAAAGTGTAAATTATCCAACAAATTTCATTCCACTTCACAATTGTGTCCCACTTGTTGCTGATTCATGACAAAAAATTAAAATTTTATATCTTTATGTTTGAAGCCTGAAATGTGGCGAAATGTTGAAAGGTTCAAGGGGGCCGAATACTTTCGCAAGGCACTGTACCTACAAAACTAATATAAAACCTATCTTTATCTTACAAAAGAAAGCCATTAGAGTGATCAGTCATGCAGAATACCTTGCTCCAACATATCCACTATTTATTAGACATAATATTCTAAAATTGTATGATCTTGTTGATGTTTACACTGCAGCTGTGTTATACAAGGCTCACAACTTCATGATTCCTCACGGTTTACAAAAGATGTTTCATAGCTACAGCCTCAGAGGAACTGATCTGCTTCAGAAACCCAGAGCAAAGAGTTTTACTAAGAGGAGATGTGTATCAGTCAAAGAGTTGATCTATGGAACAGTCTATCTGTTCAACTTAAGGGCTCAAGAACTATTAAAACATTCAAAAAAAAGTATAAGTCAAATATTATGGAGAAGTATAGGACAATTGAATTGGACTATGCTTAATAACTCGTGTTTATGGAAGTTCATGTTTTGTGCTTCATGTTACCATTGTTGGTATATGAGAATCTGTATGTTGTGTCATTTATAAATTTGATCATGTATAACATAATTTTGATTTGTTGAAGTGCAAGTTTTTGGTGCTTCATGTTAACATTGTTGGTATATGAGAAACTGTATAATTTGTCATCTTTGGACGTATTTTCACATTGTATTAGGGGTTAGGCAGTATAAGTTTCGACTTCAGCCTAAACCCTTTCGGTCAGGTATTGTTTCGCACAAGGTCCTTTATGGACACATTTTGGTTCTTTTTTTTGTTTTTATTTTATTGTTGTAAAAAGTAAATGTGATCTCTGTATCCGTGTGACCCGAGGTTGGGTGTACATATTGGCCGAAGAAAAAAATAAACAAACTAACTAATGGACTCTGAAAACAAGATGTGTACGTCTGTTCTTTGGGGGGGGGGGATCACTGCATTAAACCATATCAAAATATTCTTGACTTAGAACAATAATCTAAATATCCGAGATTCACAAAAAAATATTTGAACTCTGAACCTTGTAGCAATTTGAATGACCTTGGTCAGTAAAATGTGCTATATAATTAAACATAACTTGCCTACTTACTTGCAGAGTGACAGCTATAGCGCAAGTTTTCAGTTAGTGCATTACTGCCCTAAAAGCTAAGGGTACCTTTAACTTCCTAACCACAAACATAGAAAGATATAATAAAATCCATGTAGTTGGTTCCTCAGTCTCAGTTCAGCTTGGTTCTATCACAGGTTTTCACACGCATGTATCAGACAGAAAAATGACCAATCTTTTCTTACAAATGTTTACAGGTTTTCGAATAACATCATTTATAAAAAAGTTTGGGTACCCCAGCTTTATGGAGAGACATATGTCACTATATTTAACCACTGAGCGTAAGATGTGCCTTCACTTGCAGTCTGTTCATGTTTTATTCATCACAGCTCTAAATAGGTTCTTGTAAACTGCTTATCCAAATTGAGCCTTCTGCAAAAATGACTGCATAAACAAAAGAAATTAGATCAACAGGGGTTCATTTGCACGTTCATTTATTGTAGAAAGTAGTAGACAGTTAAACGTCACAGTCTCTCTTACTTCAGTGACTTGAGAAGAGTATGATATAGTTTTACTGATCTGATCCTATCACTAAGTATCACTACATATTGAGATACACAACATTGTATACTAAATAAAAATCTCCACTATTTATTTTTCTAATGTATTTAGAAATATATATGTATAATTTTAATGTAGATATATATGTGTATGACATTACATCTGCCTTGCCAGTCGGTATTCATAACACTGTGATGGAATTTTAAAAAAATGATTTGCTTAATTTATGTTAATTCATATTTTCACAGAATCACAAACAAAGAAAACTCATGAAAGACGAATATCACTACGATTATATTACTGTTGCAATAAAGATGATGACCTGGATAAATGTGCCTCTGTTTTTAGAGTGAAGTCGTCCTCCTCAGATTGACCACGAAAGAGAGCTGCTAAAAGCTTATAAGAAAAAAGCTTTATCCTCATCTCAACACTTTCACCAGTTTATCACAAAAGGTGATTTTTCCTTTTTTCATACAACATTTTCCAGACAATATATTTAGAGCAACAACACCAACCTGTGAAACACCAAAACTCATGCTATTTGTGAAAAATAGGTTTAGTCCTATGGATCTTTGAGTGTGTGAGATTGACAGGAGCCAGGGAGACTCAGCAAGATGTCCAGCAGACTATAACCTAAACCTTAGAGGAGGAAGCTGGCTGAATAATACTGTGCATGTGAAAAATGACTGGTGAGCTGAATGCTGTGTGTGTTTAAAGACGGTCATTTTCAAATTTGGAAAAAATATGAATAGCAATTCCATCCCTCCCCTGGTGGTAGCATAGGGATAATGCATTTTAAATTCTAAAGCATGAAATGACAATGAAAGAGTCATTTCATTTGTAAAGGCTAAAACAAATTAATTTCTATATTTATTTCATTGTGATTCAGGCTGAACCTGAATCTGGATGGATAAATAGGAGACAAAGGTTTAGCAACCCACAAAAATAAATAAAATAAAACCTTTACATAAAAAGCTTCTCTGTGTAATATTAGAACACGAAATACAGCCAAATGCATGTTCTCCCAGCCTTGTCAACAGGAGGGTCACAGTGGGTTGTACAGCAGGTGCATTGGAGGAGCGGGTAATGAGAGCAGGAGAAAGACCTGGGTCCGGGCTGAATAAAGGATGCCCCCATTTGAAAATGGGATGACGGTGAAAATGGGCTCTGAGATTTTGTCACAATGAGGCACAAAGCATGAAGTGTGTCGTACAAAAACCTAATCTGATGGGAAATCATTTTCCTGAATTTAAAAGATTAGGAATATGATGGTTAAAATGAGGTGGGTACTTTACTGGAATATAAATCAGATGTAGCAGAAAGAAAATAGATTAACTGTTCACGGAATAGAAAAAAGCATAACCAATAGATTAACAAAAGAGAAAGCCAGTTTTTCTTTTGCGTCATGAAAAATATACAAACCAGAAAGTATTGCAATTATGATAATTATCTAGAAAACGAATTGCATTGTAAGTGATGTGGGAAGCGTCATGGTCATGGTCCAATCTCTAACTTTTCTCTGAGGAGTTGTTGACTTGTAGCAATTTGGTGACCCTAATTTTCCTCTTTTAGTTAAGTGTAAGGAGCTGAGATGGTGACATTTTAAAAGACTCAACAAAAGTTACTGTAATTTGCCTGACTTCTAAATGACTGTAAAAGCAGTTTAAACTCGTGCCACTACAGCAACACGGCGACAGTGACGAAACATTATTCACAGAAAGTGGCAGACAACTTTGCACAAATAGATCGATCTCAAAGAGCTCGCACATAACAATAGCAGATTCAAATTGAAACAAATTGTACATACAGTCAATACAGAAATAACTGCTGCAGTTGCATGAATGGAACATACTGTTAGGGTTCACTATACTGAGCAATATGGAAGAAATGGGAGCTTGTAAAAGCTCATGCTCATCCTCTTTGAGTCCACTTCAAAACAAAGGATAAAAGATTTGTGGGAGATGTGTGTGTTTTCATAGAGTCCGAGTCTAAACTGTTGCAGGCGTTCAGCGCTGATCTCTTGTGTAGATCAAGTCTTCACACAGTACATGAACTGTTACTCCGGCATAAGGCACATAGATATCTAATATCTGAGAAAACATGTTTCCCCCAATATCCACTGGTTCAGATAGTCATTATTTATAATGGACACTTTGGTATTCTGGGGCTTCACATCACAAGAAAATACTCCATCATCTATATCAAATAGCTCAGGGATAAATGGTTATGAATTCAACTGATTAAACCAGTCTTTTATATAACAAAGGCTATCTACATACACTACTGTGAGCGCACTGCTTTATTCCCATCTGAGTTTGCCTTCGGCTTTCTGCAGGGTTTCTCATATGTCTTTGGTTGGCCGCCGGAGATGAGGGTGAAAATCACACTTTGATGGCTCTAAATGTCCATTTACATGCAAAAGCCAGAATCTTCATTCACTATCCCTCATCCTGAAAGCTAGTTCGGATGCAAATGCATTGAACGGCTATTTACACTGTAAATAACCACATAATGTCATATTTGAAAGTAAGTAAGTAAGTAATCTTTATTTATATACCACCTTTTCACTGCAGATCTGAGTCTCAAAGCGGTTTACAATTGTAAATTTTTTTTTTGGGCATTTGTCTCTCACTCCACACAGAGATGGGAGCAGGGTCACCAGTATAGGAGGCGCATGCCAGAACTATTGGACATATTTTTAGTGGTAGGGGAAACCGGAGTACCCGGAGGAAACCTACGCAGACACGGGGAGAACATGCAAACTCCACTCAGAAAGGCCCTGGTCCGACCGGGATTCGAACCCAGGACCTTCTTGCTGAGAGGCGAGAGTGCTATCCACTCAGCCACCGTGCCGAAAGGTCTATAATACTGACTGTTCAGGGTTGGTGGATGTTACTTAACCAATGCTTGTTTGATTATTATTAAGCTCTAGTCTAAATACTTGTGGAAATGTGTTGATAGAAAACGTCTTTGGGTTATTCTCTAGAATATGTAAAACTACAGTGGCGCCTGATGATAATGTGGTTTACCTTTTGGGGCCTTACTGTTGTGCATGCTTTGTTTGTACAGCACACTTCTGTGTTCTGTGTCCCGATGGGGGATGAGGAAGCAAAACGTTCAGAGTTTAAACAAGTGAGAAAATGTTTAATTGTGTGTTGAGTAAGGGTTTTAAAGCCTTAAAACTTAAATAATGAGGGACCACTGTACACAGTATAAGCGTATATATGGTTTCTTATATGTTCTTGTAATGAGGCACTTACTTCATTGATTACTATAAGTAAGTAAGTAAGTAAGCTTTATTTATATACCGCCTTTCACAGACCAGAGTCACAAAGCGGTTTACAATTGTTATTTTTTTTTTTTTTTTTGGGCACTTGTCCTCTCACTCCTCACAGAGATGGGAGCGGGGTCGCCGAACAGGAGGCGCATGCCAGACCTATTGTACATATTTTTAGTGGTAGGGGAAACCGGAGTACCCGGAGGAAACCTACGCAGACACGGGGAGAACATGCAAACTCCACTCAGAAAGGCCCTGGTCCAGCCGGGATTCGAACCCAGGACCTTCTTGCTGAGAGGCGAGAGTGCTATCCACTCAGCCACCATGCCGCCCACTATGGAGCCCTGAAGGGGCATAGTAGAGTAAAAATAAAAATTAGATTACAAATGCCTTATCAAGGGGAAAATGCTCTATTATTGCCACATTCAGTCCACAGTGGTAACACCTTGTGCTTCTTTCTTTTTCCTCGGTGTACTTCAACATTACTGGATTGTGCGACAGAGACAAACTAATATTTGTCCCATTGGCCAACTGCTGACCTTTCAGGAAAGGCCACAAAAAATTAAGACATATAAATATTTTTGTGATGAGCAAATGCCCCAACCACTGTTGGGAAAAACACATTTAATGAAATTGAACTTTGCGTAATGTCACACACTTCACTGGTATCGGGTCTAAGGGAGCTCAGGGATTTGAGGATTCGTACCTTTGTGCTGGTCACTGAAGTAGCTGAAGTATGTGGGGCAGGTGATCGTGACCACTTCCCCGAGGCTGGCGGAGGGCCAACAGGCGATGATGTCCCACGTGCCTTGGCAGCCTGACAGAGCAAGACAATGCTATTAACATGGGATCTTCATAGAAAACTCACTGCTCTCTGTCTACTTAATTATGATTAACCTAAGACTCAGGGCATCATGAGGGAGGCGGTGTGCATGTCCGGATTATCACTCAGCCGTGAGATAAAATCTAAGAGTAAAAATAGCTACATACTTGACTTATAGAGACGACAACATTCTAATTTACTGCAACTATAAATATCGAACAGCGAGTCGATAGCACACTTGACGTTGTATGAGGCACATGTTTACGTCAAAGGGTAAGGAGGATAATACTACCTCCGGCTGCTTGATCGTGATAACCATAATAGTTTAGCTCAAAATGTAAATTAGAATTCATTCAAACAATGACTTTTATTATATTAAAAATAAAAACTCTATAAAAAGTATATAGATTATTCAGGTTTTACGAAGGGTTTTAGGAATGAAGAGCAAGCACACATCCTGAACAAAATGATGTATTTATCTCCTGCTACTTGAATACAGAAAGAGAAATCTGGATTTTTCCTCATTTACAAGCTGAGGTCAAATGTTTGTTCTTAATTATATTGTATCTAAATGTTACTTAAAAACAAAAAACCACTAGAATGATGTGAAAAATAAGAGCATCCACAGTTAGATAGTTTCAAATGGAGTTGTTGTACTAGTATATTTATATGTATAATCCATCCATCCATCCATTTTCTACCCTTTAATCCATTTCTGGGTCAGGGGGGTGGCAATCAGAGTTGCCACCCAAGTCTCATAGCACCAGCCCCTCACTGACCCTCTGCAGGTGGTGAGTCCACAGGAGGACGGCTGCTCTCTGAGTGTGAGCATAGCCTTGATCTTTCAATGGGGGCTTTGGGCAAAGTGGGGTTAAGTGTCTTGCCCAAGGACACAACGACAGCAGTCATCAGTGGGAGTCGGTGGAGAAGGTGTAGAGGTGGGAATTGAACCCACGACCTTCAGGCCTAAAGGCCAATGCTCTACCAACTGAGCTACTGTCGCCCTAAGTAGTTTCAAATGGAGTTGTTGTACTAGTATATTTATATGTATAATCATTCACAAAATTCACGTTTGATCCACAAGTCCACATTCTGTCTGCCGGACGAGCAGGGCCCCTGCGCTGTGCTCTGGTGAAAGTCAACTCACACTGAGCAGAGGTGAAGCTGCAGTGATGCTGAGAGACGTCAAGGAGAGCACTATGCACCTCTGGCTCTGGGATGGGCCTCTGACGGAAAACACCATGGAGGCGGAGGACACCATGGATACGGAGGACACCATAGTGGCGGCGGAGACCATGGAGGCGGCGTACACCATGGTGGTGGTGCTACAGTCACGACACAAGTCCATACGACCCGAATAACATCATTTCAACTACACATGTAATCATCATGGACGACGATGCTCCAGCTCATGGAGGTCACATCATTAAAGAACGGTTTCTGGGGTGAGTTCTCCAGGTCTGAATCCCTTAGAAAACCTGTGGGACCATCTGAGTCGCCGTGTAGAAGCTCGTTACCCTGTTCCACAGAACCACAGTGACCTGAAGCTGCCAGTCAAGAAGATGTCTCAGCAGACAAAGGTTTTTTTTCAAGCTGTAATTGATGACAAGTCATGGAGACATTGTCTTTTGTAGTGGAATACCAGCACTGCTGTTGGAATGTTTGAAATGAGGAAATCACCAATGCACAACTTTCATGATCAAATACTCAAATACTAATTTAGCACGAGCTTTCCAGTATCCTGTTTTGTGTACATTGTGTGTGTATTTACAACTCATGATTACATGTACAATGTGGAAACTGCATAATGTGTAAATGAATCATTACATTGATTAGGGACGGAGTTGGATTTTTTTGAGCCCATTCTGATTTTAATGGGCGACAGTAGCTCAGTTGGTAGAGCATTGGCCTCTGGGCCTGAAGGTTGTGGGTTCAAGCCCACCATAAGACCTACTTCACGACTCCCACTGATGACTGCTGTCGTTGTGTCCTTGGGCAAGACATTTAACCCCACTTTGCCTGAAGCTCCCACTGAAAGATCTCAGCTCCTGTGGACTCACCACCTGCAGGAGGATCAGTGAGGGACTGGTGCTAAGTGTACTGGGTGCAGCTCTGACTGCCACCCCCCCGACCCAGAAATGGATTAAGGGGAAGAAAATGGATGGATGGATGGCATTCTGATTTTTACATGCTGATACAAACACAACTGCATAATCTGAGAAAGTATAGTTTAGTCCTTTTGTTGTAGACCAGTTATATTTAACATTGTTTCTATAAAGAGTGAAATAAACCTTCTGAATTATGAGTTCTTTACTACAACACACAAGTCCAGGACATTTTGGAATATTTATATTACTTTCTAATTACAGCTTTCAGACAGTGAGAAAAATAAATCAAATGTCTTTTTACACAGTGTAGATAAACTTCATGTACAGTTCAAGTCTTATGGTGCCACACCTGTCTCTGTGACCTACAGATGTCACGGCCTCCTCTGTTAGACAAAGATACAACTTAAAAATGAGGACGCAGTCTGTTTAATGTGAATAGACTCGTCCTTATCTCCACTGTGACCTCATTTTTCTTAGTCCTATCTGTTTCCTACAGGAAGCTCAGGGGCCTCATCTTGTATAAATCAATTTGTACTGTTGTGAATGCACTGGTGATAAATACCACACATTTACAGCGAATAGTACAATCATATATTCACAGCAGAGGTTTTGATGCAGTTATGTTGAACATTTATATAGTACTTCCCTCAAACACAATTCGACTCATTTCTTACAATGAATACCAACTTTTAAACTCTTTTCAATGTTGTTTCTAACAACTTTTGGCAAATATGTGCTTTTCCACTCAATGTGCATTGACCTTCACTTCTGGCTTCTTCTTCAGTACGGACTGGACACAATGCTCAGCGCAGTCTGACTGCACATGGGCAACAATTGTACGTCCTGGATTCAACAGCTACAGAAGTTAAGAAGATACCGCGGAGAATTTCAGGTGTTTAAATTCAGGTTTGTATTGTATGCACTGATTTTGTACTTTGGATCTCCTCGTGCACAACTTCTGCCAATCAAATAAACTTGCTTTAACACAATAAATAAATAAATATACCTCACTCCACCACTTTAATGCATCGACCACAGCAGCTGCTCACACTTTTGTGTTTAAAGTGTGTAGTGTGGGGTTTTACAGACGTAAACCCGCTTCAGACTAGACTGGTTACCGGGGACATTCTATATGTGTATGTATATATATATACACACATATATACACACATATGGGTGTGTTATAGTATCCTGACTTTAGAAGGTTATAACTGTTATAACATTTTTTTTAAAATACTTCCAACACAGACATATCAAAGAAATATTGTGGATAAAATCAAAAGGAAAGATTTCCAAATGCATTTTGGGGATCAGCCTCTGATTTGATCATTCTACTGTGACGCCAGTTCCATAAAAAATAAAAGGGTATCAGTGACAAAGCGACAGATGATCTCTCACAGATCAACATTCACACAGTATTTAAATCACTTGATTTAATAATAAATCATTTTAGAAAAATAATCAATATAAAATTTAAATGACCCTTGAAAAATGTGTAACAGATGTGATGATTTCCATCAGTTTTTTTCAAAAAACTAAACTTTAGAAAAAATGATTGTTTTACATTTACTCTGTGTAAAAAAAAAAAAATTATTAATCACATGTGGACATGTGATAACAAACTTCCGCAGCTCTTTCCATCGAAGGCATCACGTCCGTGACACAGATAAACAGCCACTACAGAAAATGTGACTAATATATAAAAAAGTTATTTTCTAGCAACTAATAATGGACAGAAGAGGAATTTGGCTAAATGAAAAACATTTTTGTCCTTGTGTCACACTTTTATACCCTTTAGTGTAAACAAGCCCATATGCCCATATATATATATATATATATATATATATATATATATATACAGTGCCTTGCGAAAGTATTCGGCCCCCTTGAACCTTTCAACATTTCGCCACATTTCAGGCTTCAAACATAAAGATATAAAAATTAAATCTTTTGTCAAGAATCAACAACAAGTGGGACACAATCGTGAAGTGGAACAAAATTTATTGGATAATTTAAACTTTTTTAACAAATAAAAAACTGAAAAGTGGGGCGTGCAATATTATTCGGCCCCCTTGCGCTAATACTTTGTAGCGCCACCTTTTGCTGTAATTACTGCTGCAAGTCGCTTGGGGTATGTCTCTATCAGTTTTGCACATCGAGAGACTGGAATTCTTGCCCATTCTTCCTTGCAAAACAGCTGGAGCTCAGTGAGGTTGGATGGAGAGCGTTTGTGAACAGCAGTCTTCAGCTCTTTCCACAGATTCTCGATTGGATTCAGGTCTGGACTTTGACTTGGCCATTCTAACTGGATACGTCTATTTGTGAACCATTCCATTGTAGATTTGGCTTTATGTTTTGGATCATTGTCCTGTTGGAAGATAAATCTCCGTCCCAGTCTCAGGTCTTTTGCAGACTCCAACAGGTTTTCTTCCAGAATGGTCCTGTATTTGGCTGCATCCATCTTCCCATCAATTTTAGCCATCTTCCCTGTCCCTGCTGAAGAAAAGCAGGCCCAAACCATGATGCTACCACCACCATGTTTGACAGTGGGGATGGTGTGTTCAGGGTGATGAACTGTGTTGCTTTTACACCAAACATATCGTTTTGCATTGTGGCCAAAAAGTTTGATTTTGGTTTCACATGACCAGAGCACCTTCTTCCACATGTTTGGTGTGTCTCCCAGGTGGCTTGTGGCAAACTTTAAACAAGACTTTTTATGGATATCTTTGAGAAATGGCTTTCTTCTTGCCACTCTTCCATAAAGGCCAGATTTGTGCAGTGCACGACTGATTGTTGTCCTATGGACAGACTCTCCCACCTCAGCTGTAGTTATCTGCAGTTCATCCAGAGTGATCATGGGCGTCTTGGCTGCATCTTTGATCAGTCTTCTCCTTGTTTGAGATGAAAGTTTGGAGGGACAGCCGGGTCTTGGTCGATTTGCAGTGGTCTGATACTCCTTCCATTTCAATATAATTGCTTGCACAGTGCTCCTTGAGATGTTTAAAGCTTGGGAAATCTTTTTGTATCCAAATCCGGCTTTAAACTTCTCCACAACAGTATCTCGGACCTGCCTGGTGTGTTCCTTTGTCTTCATGGTTCTCTCTGCGCTTTAAACAGAACCCTGAGACTATCAAAGAGCAGGTGCATTTATACAGAGACTTGATTACACTCAGGTGCATTCTATTTACAGTATCATCATCAGTCATTTAGGACAACATTGGATCATTCAAAGATCCTCACTGAACTTCTGGACTGAGTTTGCTGCACTGAAAGTAAAGGGGCCAAATAATATTGCACGCCCCAATTTTCAGTTTTTTATTTGTTAAAAAAGTTTAAATTATCCAAAAAATTTTGTTCCACTTCACGATTGTGTCCCACTTGTTGTTGATTCATAACAAAAATAAAATTTTATATATTTATGTTTGAAGCCCGAAATGTTGAAAGGTTCAATACTTTCGCAAGGCACTGTATTTATATATCTATATATATATAGATATATATATATATATATATATATAGATATATATAGAGAGAGAGAGAGAGTTTTATATATACATAAAACTCTGTTTACTCGAGCTGGTTCCAGCCTCCTCTTAACGGCCTCTCACCACCAAGAGTCTAGACTATGAGTATGACCTGACGTGACGTTGGCGGAGGTGGTGTTCCTGCAGCGCTGCTCCTCCAGCTCGATCTCGTTCATCACGTCACACATTTGAACGGACAGCGCCTGTGAAAGAGAAGCACACAAGGTCAGAGATCAGCGCGCTTCTCAACACCACTGCACAAAACATTCAGTGCGGAGCGGGCAGCAGGTGGTACTGAGAAGGGGCTGGGGATGTTTTGGTCAGTCCTGCTTCTTTGAAAAAGAGTTTTTGTTTAGATTATATAGTTTTACATTTTTTCATTGTTTTGGTCAAATTTTTTCACTCATTGTTAGTGGTTGTTTATTGTCAAATCATTGTGTTTTCTGTTGTCATATCATAAACATAAAATGAACTGTCCTTGGGAGAACTCAAATGAGCAGTACATGCAAGGTGGTCCAGGAATTTACACAAACTGGAGACTTTTTGCCAAGAACAATGGACAGCGTTACCATCAGAGAGGAAAAAGAACCGCATCCATAACAATCTCAAAAGGATCCAAGCTGTTCTAGATGTTAAAGAGGAAATACATGGTGCTACAGTGAATGAAATGTGCTTTATAAATAAAATGGATTGATTGGTTGATTGAACTGGGTCATATTCTGTGTTTATGTATATAATGTAATCACAAGGAATATTTGTTTGATTAAATTATAACTAATTATTTATTTTCTTACAATGAAAAATGTGTTTGGAAATTCTGTAAGCTCTGTGGATCTGCTATACGTAACAAATGTATTTTTGTTATTTGTTAATAGGGTTAGGCGAAATAAGTATTAAAGTGATAGTCTGGAACTCTAAATAAATTACAAATTTTAAGAATTGTATTAAATTGACCTCCTGGCCTTAAATGTTGGTATAAAATAAGTCATTTTATGAATTCTAATATTACGGGTAAGTCCCGCCTTCCCTTCTCTTAGCTATAGCTTAGAATCCACAATGCCGTCCACGTTAACCAATTAAGTGATGCCAAGGGCTGTCAATCATCGCGCTGATGCTCGTAGCTGCTCATGCTCAGTTTGTTTGTTTTCACGGAGCCTCCGAATCAAGCCTCTTAGGCTCTGGAACTACATGAAAACTGAACAAAGAATTCTGAACATCCGCGCTGAGTTACCCATTTATATACTGAACCTATATCCATAATCATTTATATACTGTCGTTGTGTCCTTGGGCAAGACACTTAACCCGACTTTGCCCAAAGCCCCTGCTGAGAGATCACGGCTATGCTCACATTGACAGAGCAGCCTTCCTCCTGTGGACTCACCACCTGCAGAGGATCAGGGGCAGGTGCTCTGTGACTTGGGTGGCATCTCTGACTGACACCCCCCCCCCCCCCCCCCCCAACCCAGAAATGGATTAAGGGGAAGAAAATGGATGGATGGATGGACCTATATCCATTACCATTTATATACTGAACCTATATCCATAATCAGATCCTCTGCAGATGTGTCCTATAATGTTCAATTCATGATAATAGCTACTTCCCGGTTTGCCGCGATTGCTTTTTTTGTGCATTAAAACATTATTTTTGTAATGAAAACGTTAACAAATAATTCTGAAAACCTCTGTGCATGTGTGTTAATAATGTTTATGTATAACGTGTTCTCCGATTAACATTTAAATGTATTAAAATCAAGTTCCTCTCTCTCTCTTTTTCTGACAAAATCACTTTAAACTTCAAACTAACCCTTTCGGTCTTTAAATAGTTTACAAATATGTGAATGTCAAATGTTTTCTTGTTTTCTGCTGATGGCCGAATAATAAAAGAATGAATGAACTAATGAGAGTCATTATTGAGTAGTTTCCGTTACATTATAATTTTAAATTATGACAATACATGGCTTCACACATTAACAATGAGTGAATAAAACATTGTGGTATCATTCAAAATCTTAAACTAAGGCAAAAATATCAATATTTTTGCCCAGGTGAGCTCATGTTTTATTTAGTAATGTATGTGGTTTGGACAAAAAGTCTATGAATATTTGAAAGAATTTCATAGAAAGTGTTGAAAATAGAACGTCCTGTGGGGTGTTCCGAGCAGAAGTCAAGATCAGTAAAATGTAGTCCATGTGGCAAACTGGTGACGGATGATGCAAGCGGGGAATAAAGACAGTGTGCTCAGATCCATATTTTTCCAATTCAAGCTGTATTTTGAAAGTGAGAGCAGGCACAGGGCCAATCCATGAATAATTTAGAAAATATCAGTGTGACCGCCACGCCACACATTCTGCATTATCCTTGTTTCAACTCAAAATTAGTTTTTTAACTCATTGGGTTTATAATGACATTATCTTTTATGATGATGTGAAACAAATCTCCAGGAAATTTGAAAAAACATGAAAAAACATGAAATCACATGAAGAAACAGGAAACTTGAGGATGAAAATTATTGGTTTTGGTAATAGTTTGGACACCCCTGCAATAGTGGTGGAGTGTGTGGAGTGAAATAATGATAAGATGCTTTGAGTGTCCTGGAAAGCACTATATAAAACCAATGCACTATCATAATTATTATTATTATCATTATTATGATTATTATTATTATTATATTACACTTGTCTGTTCTGTAGAGTATTGTTATTCAAAAAGGCTCAGAGGGATATTGTATTGTGTAATGCTTTTTTCCATTGATTCATTCCTTCGAGCAGACATTGATATATTTTTTCCAAGTGCACATATAGTACACACTCACAAATGCATAGATATATACATACAGACAGACATACATATATTATCAGCTCAACAAGGGAGAGGGAAGAAGAAAAACGTATAGACTCCCACCACATGTACATAATTAACGTATTTTTCATGGATACAGTTATCAAACATTGGAGAATAATAATAGTTTATTATGTACAGGATAAGGTGCTATATTGTCATGCATTGTATAGTGTTTAGTGCATTGTAATGTATTGTGTTGTCATGTATTGTGCTGTGTATTGAATGAGAGAGAGGGGATTGGACTAAAATAAGCATCTATGTCAGATATATATTTGTGTCTGTTGTGTTTACAGTCTAATCTAATCTACATATTGTACATTTTTTAAATCCTGTCAGCTTTTATTGGTAAATAGACTCTATCAGCAAATTCTTTGAGGAGTCGCTGAGTAATCTAGTGGATTATTCCATGTCTACCGGAGCAGAAGAATGCGCTTTGACAGTCCCCCTCTTGGAGCAGTGGGTCAATGCAAAACGCCACATTGAACTGAATGAGCAGTGGCTCTCTGGAGAAGGTCATTGGCGTTGAGGACAGATGCAGCTGCAGTCTCTTTCCAAATACTTACAAGATCCAAAGATGGAAAGGTCAAGCGCTGGCAGCTCCTTACATGCATTATGTACAACACTACCCTTATGGAGTTGCACCATGAACTTTCTATGACACGCACCTAATGGAGTTTTCAAACAAGAAAGATACGTAAGTCATTCAAGACCGAGCTCGCGGCAGCACAAAGCCCACCTCACACACATCCAGATAAGCTTTTCCTATCTGATAAAGCGGCCTTATTGAGAATAGGAACTGCTGAGTTATGTAAACAAATCTGAAACTCATTAATGTGGAATAGGCACCATGTGGATAGATGCAGAAAAAACAACCCAATGAACCCATGTTTTGAGTCCTCTAATCTGATCTGGGTCTTTGATAAGATATGAGCCTGGACCATGGGTGAAGTAGGGGAGAATTTCCATAAGAAGACGCAGTTTTAATGTATCTTTCCTCTTTGAGTTCATAAATATTATTCTGCAGCCATGTTTGCTGTATTTATTGTTTTTACTCATAAAAGCTTAGTTCACATTTGTTTTGTAAAGGAGACAAATTATTTTTTAATATTTTTTTCATTTTTTACTTAAACAGCCCAGACGTTGTTTTTTGATCCATCCACACTAATGACTGGAACTTCTGATACAAACATTTAATTTTGCCCCTTCTGCTCCAGTCTCAGTCGAATAATAGTATGTCATTGTGCCAAGTTAAAAGCAGTGCCGAGAAACTCATTTTGGATTTTTATTTCTGAAATGAAAGTACGTTTTTTGAAATGACATGGATGTGTTTGCAACTGCTAATTTATTATAATTTAAATTTGAAAAGAAAACAAAAACATACTTAACACCTCTCTCTGGTGGTAGCCTAGGGATAGGGCAGGCTCATGGCATTATTTACCCTTGATACATACATTACATTACATTTTCAACATATATTTCTGTTGAGCATATTATTTCACATTGTAAAACATGAAATGACAAAATAAATAGTCTCATTGTAAAGTTAAATGGTCAAAAATAACGCATTCCATCTTTCTCTACAGTACAAATCAGTACCCCTCAACTTTATCCCCTTTCTTTCCTGTCTTTACAGTGGCTACACTTAGTCCTTTCCCTTGTGGCCCAGGGTCATCCTGACACTATCGCGATCTTCCCAGTAAGTACAGAAAAGCAGAATCCCACATAGGCTCAAACACTGTAATTGGAGATACATCTTCGGCCCAAAGAGCATGAGGGGAAATACCTGTCACACATTTAGCTACTATAGGTCAAGCCATGATTAGATCTACTCCATGTTATTCCCGATTATACAATACACCTCCAGGGGTTCAAATTCTCGGAATTGGTCACAAACATCTATAAATTAGATTATAGAACAGCTGTGTTCAAAGCAAAGTGTAAGTGATTCTTGAATCCAGACGCACACAATCTATATGAAAAACAGTTGGGAATGTGGTAATCATTACATGTGCTGCTCCCATTGGTTTGGATGGGAAGTGTTTATGCTCAATGTACTGTAGTATTAATATATTTCACATGTTTCTGAATTTAGTTTTATTGATTATTATTATTATTATTTTGATGACAGAAAATGTAATCCATTGTTAGTTCTCTTTACAGACATATCCCTGGTTAAAGGTTGTGGATGCTTCTTATGAATTTAAGTGTGTCATTCTCATGTTTTGGGACAGACCAGACAGATGGATTTTGACTGGGATACTGCTGATTTTGACAGGCGTACTGTTTGAGACACTATTCTTTGAAAAATCCAAACCACCAACAGCTGCATTCGAACTGTACTGTAATGTACTGTATATGGGACGTATTTGACAGCTTGCAGACTTTTTTTGGACATGGACTTGCTATGTTTGATCCTTTGTTTAGACCTCTTTCTACATGTTTGGGAGTGCTCAGGTCTTTCTCGGTTCCGGGAGATGGTGACTACTAAGTGGAAGCCCTCTCATATTCTGTATCAGTAGATCACGACATTTGTTATTAGGAACTGTCTGCAGAAAGAGCTTACTGTACTAAGGAGAGTACCATAAACGGCATCTAAAGTCAAGTTTTGTTCAGTACCAGTGTGTGTAAATAAATAAAAGTATAACAATAAATAGTAATAAAAAATCAGGCCAATGTAACATTTAGATTTCACAAATATTCAATGACATAAACCGGCTAGGCTCGACAAACTAAAGGGTCAAAGATCAATGGCCACAAAATGCTCAAAAGTGTTTGCGCTCCTGAATCAATAACAGGATGGAACAAAACTAGTCTCAATAACTGCTATTTCAAGAAGAAGCCAAACCCCCAACATTAAACTACTGAGTAAGTGATTACTAAGTTATTTCAATTTCAAGTTTTCCCTTGTTTCTTCTAGCGCTTGGGAAATACAACATATTTGAGAAAAAGCATGAATAATAAGACTGCGTAAACAGTGGCTGACAGTGCGTCGGGTCAGAGGGAGGCGGACATGACAGGGGAGTGTGTGCCAATAGACTTGCACTGTCGGATAAAGCTTTCTTCATTGAATCCAGCTGGTTTATTAGTTCACTACAGGGATACAGCCAGAATACACACAGAAGGGATGTCTACTGCTAATACAACTATGACTAAGTTCCTGCGATTTGATTAATGTTGCCTGATACCCAAACTCTGCGTGCACAAATGTAATGATTATTATGAGAATATGTTGTGTCTATTTTTGAGCTGCTTGTGATGCAGATTGCTGCATGGAGCAATGAATAAAGATGTCGGTCCTAAACTACATTGATAACTGGTGGGTCTTGGTTAAGCCTTAGGGACGCACTCAAGGCCTTCGCAGGCTAAACAGCACATGAATGAATTCTTCCCTGATAGTTAGTGGCATTTAGAGATTGATGCCATGAGAAAGTGTGAAACGATATTGTTCAAATGTTCCTGCGTCTCTTTTTTCACAAATGTGAGGAGGACTCAGACATGTTATAAGCGTAATGTGTCAATAGATAATTGTGTGTTTACTGTTTCTATAAAGGAGCAATATAATTGATTTGAAATAGGAGAAAGGACATCTGAACAAAGACTATGTGTGTAGACAGACGCAGCAGCAGCTCGGGAATGAAAAGGCTTTCATCTCACTTAACTCAGTCGGCAGACGGAGCCTTCGTTTCTCAATTGTCATAAGAATACAACTGTCCATCACTGACTGGTCAAGACGATACAACTAGTTCAAACCCATTTTAAAACCATTGAGGTTTTCCCAAAATGGCCAATTGCTATGTCAAATTTGCTTGACAAATCCTTAGCCAACACAGTGTTTTGTGAATATGATCAAGATGTGTATTTATTCTATTAAAGTAACAGTTTTCAACCCGTAGAGAACAATTAACCACATGCTGGAGGCATATAATGTGTCAAATTAGTAAAAGATTTTATGTATGCTGTGTATTTGGGCCAATTACAATGATCCATCCACCCTCATTTTACCCATGGTCATATTTGGTAACCCCCATGGTTTAAGATGTTTTAAACTAGGACAGAGCCTGCCCATTGGCATTTCATTACATTAAAATGTAACAGTACCTGAATTATGTTGTACATTATGCAATTGAATGATTTGATTTGATTTTTAAGTTATTGAAGTTTTATGTCCTGCAGCTTCATACGCAAAGGTATAATTGGCCACTTTCTCTTCTCTTTTCATCCTGCGCCATCTGCATTGTGTTAATTAAATAGATAACAACGCAGTCTTATTTAACCACTTTTGGGACGCTCTGAGCTCCTTTACTCTGAACAAACATGACAAAACAAGATATCATTTAGTGTGAGGAAAGTCACAGCATGACCCATAAAAGCTGTCCAAACTGCCATGTAAACAACTGCAGAAGAAATATGTCAACAATTACGTGTGTCGAGAGGGGCTTGTAAAGCAGCGTGGTGGGTCAGAAGTCTGTGGCAAAGGATATGTTGATCCAAATGGAAAAAATCTAGAGATATCTAAGAATCTTAATTAAAAGAGAAGAACTTTTTGGATTACTAATTACTTTCAATTGCCGTGAAAAACCATTGGGGTGGTTTGCTACAGTCTCTTCGACAGAGAATACTTCGACATGAGTTCTTCATCCAATTATTACATAATGACTCATTTACTTTTAAGTATTTCAGTTTTTTCTGACGTTCATTCATTTCTTTCTGTCTTGAAAAATATTCACATCTCAGTTCAGCCAACTACCCTCTTCCTCTTAGCCTTTGCATGATATAGGATACGAGTATAGGCTTACATAAATATTGGTCTGAATTGGGTTAACTAAGTGATTTTTGTTGAAGTAACCTTATGACTGTCTCAGCCAGAGACAATGCAAAGTGAGGGCTAATGTATCTAAATGTCAGCGTGAGTCAGTGGAAGAATGAGTGGAAGCCAATGTAACAGCTGAAGTGGCAACTCCTTAAAGAAAATAAATAATTTGACAAAGACAACATCAATGACTTTTTTATCTAATGACTCAATTAGGGATTTAACAGGTGAAATTGAAATGGGGAAATAACCTGTAGGCAACAGATGAAATGTGATGTAAAATATGTGCTATACATCAGGATCAGCATATTAGTTAGAATGCTGCTGACTGTTTGAATTAATAATAATATTTATCAGGCCAAATAATAATAATAACGATAACATTATTAATTTCAACAAACAGAATAAAGCCGAAAAAACACATGTTTTATAGCAACAAATGTCTGTTAAAAGTGTACTTACTTGAGGCAAGTGAGTGAAGAAGAGGAGAAGAAGCACGCGCGGTACAGCCATGCTTCTTCAGGCTCCGTGAGCAGACTCAGATCTCTCTGAAGTTCTTGTGACTTAAACGGGAGACTTGAGCATGTATGTGCGGTGCTGGACACAGCAGTAGCTCCAGAGGCAGACTGCACTGCGCTCTTCTCTGAGCTGAGCGCCGCGGGAGAGTGAGGTGTCTCCCGCCTCTGTCCCCGCCCCTCCGCCTCCTCCCGCCGCTATTCACAAACGAACCCACGGCATCGGCTCCTGAGGCCCCTGGGAGCCACATTCATGGTCACTCTCCCTACCGAGGTCTGGAGCCAATAATTCATCCAGGGGACAACACGAGAGAAGTAATTGATCACCAACTCACTCTGGAGGTATTTGTGCCAATTAAGCAAACGATCCAAAGTACTGTAGTGCTGCCTTTTGAAGTTCTGCATTTATCATATTCAATCCTTAATCCTGTCAAAAAATACCGTGTCAAATGCACTTCAGGCCATTGTGGTGTAGATTAAACTTTTAAAATCCTTCAGGACCTAATTTCGAGATTTTTAATCCTGCATAAAACTTAAATTAAAGATAAATATAACTCTGTGACCATTTTGCCTTTGGTTCATCATAGTTTGCAAGTCCCCCTGTGTCTGAGTGGGTTTCCTCCGGGTGCTCCGTTATTCCCCATCCAAAATGCAGCAGTATTAATCTGATGGGTGAATGAATGATGGTGTTGGGTGTATGGGTTGAGTTAATGTACAGTATATGAAGAAGATTTATCAGACATGAAAAATCTCAATGAGTGCGATCCTACGTCATTCATAATCATCATCATAATCATAATTGTGCTGAAACTTTCTTCTTAAACGTGTGAACACCGCCTTTCATTGATGCACTGTAAGAGTCTCATTACATCAATTGGACTATTAAACCCAGAAGTTACATCTTACTTGAAGAAACCGCCTCAAGTGACAACCTTAAGCAGGCTGTGTGTGTTAATAATGGGCTAACTAGGGCTGCTGGATTTTGGCAACATATATCATGAAGAAGAAAAAAACATGAAACAATAATTAGACCATAGTTTATGTGTGATGACAAAAAAGAGTTTGTGTTTTAGTTTGGGGATTGATGTGGATCGAAACTAAAAACTAACGGCCATAGTTACCAGGAAAAAATGTTTGAGCTGCCCTCTACCTCGATTTCAAACTATAGGCTCTTTGGAATCTTGTGATGTCACATGAACACAGCCTATTACAGGGTCGAATGGTCAAAATGTGAAGAGTTCATTTGAAAAAACAGATAATCAGACAAAAGAAGTCTTACAATCGACCCTTTAAGTCATTTTTTGAAAAGCCAGATCTTTTCTAATGCCATAAAAATGAACTTCTTGGGCAAATCCGTTCAAATTGACTGCCAATGACAAAACATGTTGATGATTGTAAATAGAGAAATACAACTTTTGACACATTTTAAACACAGAGATATTTGTTTTTTGCAAAAGAAGTTTTCATACGCAGAATAAGGTTTTTGGCATTCTAAAAGTTGCACCCACTAGAATTAGAATTTTGATTTGATTGTGACTAATCTTGCACCCTGAGCATAAACACACACTCGTCTTGTGCTTGTATGTGCTGTCGTGTGGCTCGGTCTGGCTCGGTCTGGCTTGGTCTGGCCCGGTCTCGTTCACGGCCCGCGCCCACACACTGCTGTATCAGGCCATGTGTCACTACTCATCGACCTTCTCGTGTTTGACTGTCCCAGCGCCGTGACTGCTCCGCTGCTTTCTCCTCCACATTTGTCCACATGCAGATTCACATTAATATTGATACAGAAGAGACCAACAGACTCATACGGTGTCCTGTGGAAATGTCTTTACTGCTTTGGCTTTCACACATTTAGTTATAATCACAAATTACAGACAACTGTACTGGGGAAATCAGAATAATTAGCGATTAGCGATTTTGTGATCATACAGGGGCAAGTTTATTTGTATAACACAGTGCATACACAGAAATAGACGTTTCTTGAATGATAGAAACAATCATTTAAGGCATTGAAATGAAAAATACTAAATAATCACAGTATTCACAGTTGATATCTCACATTTTCTCACATTTTCAAGAAGAGTGGCTTTAGATTTTAGATGCATTAATCTGAATTCTCACATCTTGCCCTAATGGATAAAAATAGCTCACACAAGTGTCACTAAACAACATCATGAAGTCCAAGTAATCTGGACTGGTTTAAAGCATGGTCAGGTTATTCATACTGGGAATGGAAAGAATTTGCAGACCGTTGGGAATGACGCAGCACCTGTATGGGGTTGTGAGGCTGGAACTGCAACAAAGATGGCAAGAAGGCCCCCCGAGCTTTTATTCATCATTGTGCAAATATGTACAGTACAGACCAAGAGTTTGGACACACCTTCTCCTTCAAAGAGTTATGAAAATTGTAGATTCACACTCAAAGGCCTCAAAACTATGAATGAACTCATGAGGAATGATGTACATACTACAAAAAAAGTATGAAACAAGTGAAAATATGTCTATTCTGGGTTCTTCAAAGTAGCACCTTTTGCTCTGATTACTGCTTCGCACACTCTTGGTATTCTCTTGATGAGCTTCAAGAGACCTGAAATGGTCTTCAACAGTCTTGAAGGTCTTCCCAGAGATGCTTAGCACTTGTTGGCCCTTTCTCCTTCACTCTGTGGTCCAACTCACCCCAAAACCATCTGGATTGGGTTCAGGTCCAAAACCATCTAGATTGGGTTCAGGTCCAAAACCATCTGGACTGGGTTCAGGTCCAAAACCATCTAGATTGGGTTCAGGTCCAAAACCATCTGGACTGGGTTCAGGTCCGGTGACTGTGGAGGCCAGGTCATCTGGCCCAGCACCCATCACTCTCCTTGTTGGTCAAAGAGCCCTTACACAGCCTGGGTGTGAATCTACAGTCAATAGTCATGAAAAGAAAGGACACTCATTGAATGAGAAAGTGTGTCCAAACTTTTGGTCTGTACTAAATTTCATTCCGAATATAGTCTCTAAAACTGTTTGATATGTTAATGTTTTCCGTCTTATTGTAATATGCAGCTTTGTTGTTTAAACAGAAACATATTCCTGTGTACTGAGTATACAGCTCAGTGTGTCTCAGGCTGACACATGACGCGCATTTGTCAATATTACGTCTTGTACAGTTCTAGGAGCATTTCACGAGCAAATGTGTGCAATAAAAAAAGATATCTGCATCATTGTTGTTGCTGTGATTGGTCTGATTCTCTGGGAAGAAGTTGATGTTTTGCTCGAATGGTTTCACTTGTCCGTCCTTTTCTTGAACTATTTGCGTCTACAGAACCACAGATGCTTGCCTACCAGCAGGACAATTACCCAAACAAAAAGACTTGTTGTATAATATAATGGTTTAAAACAAACATATTCATGCGTTAGCAGTTCCAGTCCAAGTCCCGACCATACATCTAATTTTAGATTTGGATCAGATTATGTTTTTTAGATGGTAAAATCCTGATTACTTCACAGTTGTTTGTTATTTTGTTGTGGTCTTTCAGTAGAAACTAAAAGCCAATTTATGTTTGTGGTAATAATCTGCAAATGTGCACAAGTTGAAGTTGTAAAGACACTTTCATTATGTGCACTTTGTTTTTGGACCTTTTCTGTTTCTAAAGAAGAAGATGGTGCATTGGAGTGTGCAGTTTTGATATGATCATAGAATGCTGAGGGGGAATTATCAGTATGGACAAAAACAAATTAACAGGAGGTTAATGAGGTTAGTCTCACACATGTTCATTCACACATCTATATGAGCCACAATCTCTCATTCTCATGCGTTTTTTTAAATATGTGGCACATATAGTTTTCCCATTTCCAAGTTAAGAAGATTTCAAGGTTGCCTTTCAAAATGTTAAGATAAGATACATTTTATTGATCTCACAATGGAGAAATGTTAAAATGTTATAACATAATCTAAAAACCATCAAAAATGAGTAGTCAAATAATGAATGCACAGCACCTTCCCATGCAGAGCTCTGAGCTCCTGACATCAGAGCTGTCGCAGCATCTTGTCTCTTCAAACGACCTCTGACCTTCAGGGTGGAAGGTGACGACAGAAGAGGACTCTAACAGCTGAGCCGGCTCATTTGAACATGTGCAGTACAGGCTGATCTTGGTATGGAGCTCACTGTAGAGCTGCTGCTCCTCCACATCGAGAGCAGTCAGTTGAGGTGGTTCGTCATTAGTTCCCTGTTTTTTCTGTCCATGATTTAGAAGTTCAGGGCTTCTAGAAGACACAGGTCTCAAAAGGTCATTTCTCTGGGCACTTTTACAATTGCTCCCGGACAAACTTGGGAAAGTTAAGGAACAACATTTAAATTACTGCCTCAGGTAAAGTTGAATACTAAAGATACATAGAAAAACTAAATTGCTTACAGATATTTTAATTAACTGTTGTTATTTTCTTCTGTAACAATGAAGTGCTGAAAATAAGAAATTAGAAAATAATCTACAAATAAAACAATTAAAATGCAAGTAAGGAATACAAAAACATGATATCTCTCACCTCCTTGTGGTTCAGAATGCTAATGAGAAAAGATGTGTCTAACTCGACATGGTCAGAAAGAAAAGCTCTTCTTATAAATGACATTGGGGGTATTGGGGCCGTTATGAGCTATTACCACAGCCGCCCGCTCTGGTATGTGCGAGCAGCTCCCCAGGTGATTCTCAAGGCAAACAGCACGACCCAAGAGATGCTGTATTTCTGGCGATTGGACATTACTGAAAGCTTTTCCCCTGTCGTATTATAGACATCAAATTTGAGCTTTTGTCAAGTTTACAAAGGAGATGTATTCCTGCGCATGTGGCTTAAGGCGGGCTGGCTCAGAGAGGAGCTCTCTGCTTGATTGGCTGGTATTATGGACTGTATTGAGTCCGTTTACACTCAGCAATGGAGGCTAGGATTCATATTGGAGTGCCAACCCCCAATCTCCAAGGCTCAATGTGTGCACTGGCAGCTTATACTGTAGGCTCTTTACATCTTCTGTCTGCCTTACTGCAGCAGCTGAACCTCCACAGTAACACATTATTTTATACGATCCATGTTATATTATCTTTAAACTGAGGAATCCCTTTAGATTGACTTATTACTTTGGAGTTTTCAAAGCCTCCCCAGAAGATTATTTTGTACATAAGTAGAAGCTAAACTACATCACTTATCCGTTTTTGTCTAAAGATTAAAATTTTTAAAAATAATATTATTATTAGAACTTATTCATGCAGGAGAGTCACCTGTACGAGAAACTGTTTTCTGAGGTGACTTCTTCTGTGGCATGTTATTTACAGTCTGGTAACAATCAGCACTGACTTGACAAACAATGTCAGGCGGATATGGGCGGTCTCGTCAAGGTCACTCTGAAAGGATCTTTTTCACTGGGTAATTAGTTGTGCGAGCCATTTTGGGCTTGACAATAATAACACACTGACAGTGTCAATGTTTGAATGGGAACATCTGAACTCCAGAGATAGAGATGGAGGCGGTGAAAGCAAACTCCCTATAGATCAAGTTTGATTTGCAATCAGCACAAGATGTCCTCAAAGACACGTGTTGACAGAGTGGTCTTTAAGTGCAGTCCCATGGGTCTGAACGCAGACCTGACCCCTGGTGAGTTAATGCCACAGAGCTGTCCAGCGGATGGAGAGTGCAGCCTGGTCACTTTTCCCTGTGGGGAAATTAGCTGAAGAAAAGCCATTTCACACTAAGATGTCACCTTTCCCCCAATGCAATCATTATTTTTCTGGAGTGTAAAATGGTCAGGGCCTTTATGTAAGTGAAAAACTGAGGTTAAAGATTGGCAGAGATGGGAGAATCTACTCTAGATGCTTTGTGACTGCATGTTCCCCATGCTTGCGTAGGTTTCCTCCAGGTACTCCGGTTTCCCCTACCACTAAAAACATGCACACTAGGTAAAATCCTCCAGCTCCCATAGTCCTGACCAAGCCGAGCATCAACATCTGGAGATGGGTTCCCGGGCGCTGTACTACGGCGACCACTGCTCCTGAGGTAAGCCTTAGTGGCATCAGGATGGGTCTAATGCAGAGGATGATTTGCCCTACGGGGATCAATAAAGTGCACCTTTACCTTTACCATATTTCTTTAGAAACACACGTTGCAAAAGAAATGCTGTCGAATTATTACAGGTACATTGATTTAAAATACTTACTGCACTTATTGTACGATAATAGTAAATGAAGATGAAGATGGTCAGTGCTGGAGTGCTCTCATCCCAAATGTAAATACACAAGCATACAGTATTTGGCAGATGATCAGATTCATTTCACTAGAAAAACATTTCTTTACAGAAAAAAGGACCTCTTTGTTTCATTCCTACTGAGTAGGGAATGGCATATATTTCAGATCCAATAGAACAAAATTCAACACATTTGACTCTTTGAGATTACACCTTTTAGTTTAGTTTAGTCTTTATTTCAAAGGGACAGTGCAAAATCAAGATCAAAGACAGATTAAAGCTACACAACTAATTCTGGAAAGAACAACCAAATCACACCACCTCCAAATTGTTTTTTGTTCCAAACTTTTATTTTTCCTTGTACCCAAGAATACAATTAATTAGTTATTGCTTATTCTGTTTGAATGTATTCATGAAGAATAACGCTTGTTCTCGTAGTCCTCTGCTCTTGGCCATCTATCTGATGTAATCTTTACTTGTCACCCGTGAAGCCAAGAGAGGAAGTGCTGCAGAGAATAAACAGAGGAAAGGAAGGCAGTACTGTCCATTAGTCCAACACTTTTACCCGTACATTAGAGGGCTTTACCTTAGAAGCCTATACATAGAAAGACCACAACACAAAGGTCTAGCAAGGGCCTAAAATTAGGCACAACACTAATGATGATAGTACAAGGCATGTTTACATGATGACAGTGCTGGTATGCTGTTTATGCTGAGACAATCTGTGAAGTGTCTGCCAATGTCTACCAGGCACGGAAACACCCTGCAGCCTAAGTAGGGCAGCTCGCCTTTATTCAGTTTAGCTAGACATGAGAAAAAAAAGCTTTCAGCCTGTGATCAAAACAATTAGACAAGATGAGAGGTGGCAGTGCATGAGCTATAGGCATGGGGGCAAAAGTTCACATACAGTTCATAGAAAGAAATCCCTTTGTAAACACGTGGGGATCAACACGTCTGCTCATGTAGTATGGGCATGTGCTTTTCAGGGTTGATTCTTTGCTTGGACCTAATTGAGGAGGGCAATAACGGAGCGCTGTAAGAAAAGTGTATTGGAATGTCTGCAGAAGCATGAGGTGACGATGTGTCATTGACGGCATTGACACTGGCTCTGTTTGGAATGCAGTAATCGTGGATACAGATTTGATGCTTAGTACGACTTTAATATTCTATTTTAGAAACAGACCGACATGATTGATTAGCGTGCTTTGGAATCGCTCTGTCTTTGCCACTTGGATGTTTCAACCTCAGTAGGACATTTCTCTAGTATTATTTATCTTACTGATGGTGTGAGTGGCTCTTTACCAGGCATTACAGGACGATAACAACAGACAAGGAGATACTATGAGTAATGTTGGCCCCGGACGGAGGAGGTAGATGTGTCGCTGAATTCTCAAAACTTGTATTGTGAACACGCTGTACGATGTGCATCACTCATCAATCATTTTATCCTATGAAATGTTTATTTTTGAAGAGATTAAGGTTGGGTTTAAGACCAGCTGGTTTGTTAATGTATGTCCCATGGCTTAGTAAGTCAATTTAATTCAATGTATTCTTGTATAGCCCCAAATCAGAACAGTAGCTCAAAGGACTTAACAAAACCGTTGCATTCGCCATGTGTCCATAATTGATGATACATTCCCATAAATGTAGTTGAATTTTGAGTTGAGTGTTCTGGATCATCATCACTGTCCTTTTAGTTAGACCTGGACATGGAAAAAAGTCAAGTCTCTTTAAAATGAATGAAGACATTTAACTGTAATAAGAAGTCAGTGGAATACCTTATCCTTCAAAACAATGTACAGCATATATGATAGCTGACTCTTCTTTGTGTTTGAAACTGCATTTGTGCATTTGGACATTCAAATAGCTTTGATGCAGAATACATTTCCACCTTCCCACGGCCAGTGAGTATTGTCCATTAGCTTTCCTCCTCACACTCCTGACTGCATTCAGCCCAAACATGTATGGTTGTGAGATCCCACTGGACTAGGGGAAGCACTGCCTGCAACTTGATAATAAGACAGCAAAGTTACAAAACATAATCATTGTAATAATTCAAAGTAGCGCATGTTTGAGCCTGCATTTCACTTCAGTGGATTTTCTTTTTCTGTTTTTATAGTCAATTAAATTTAACTTCATTACGGCACCGTCCAATTTAAAGCTGACAAACAGAAGCAGAAACTTTGTCTCTAATTGATTATGCAGCTTGGAGCGCATCTGACAAAGGAAAATCCACTTCTTTTTATTTGGATGACTTTGAAACAACAACAGAATACATATAGCCATCACTTTATCCTAACTCTGTACAAGTTGTAGGTTTAGAGTTGTAGCATATATCCACAATATATGCTACAACTCCCTCTCCGCCTCCCTCTACCTATCCATCTTGCTCTCTCCCTCCCCTCCACTCCTCATTGTGTTTCCGACTCACCCCCTCCCTGACCCTGCCCCCCTCTGACAGCCACATTGGGCCGGCAGTCGGAGGTGCTCATCCCGAGAAAAAAATCTGTGGTTTATACAAAGCACAATGTGTCTATCCAACTGTCTGTGAAACTGTATGTTATTGCTCTTTGCTGTTTATTCTACTGTTTGTCGCATGGCGCCGTAAAGATGGCGCCGTGGCAAGAGCTCTGGTGTATGTCGTCTGGTGCACACTGGGGTAGTCTTGCACAGTTTTTCCTATGTGGTTTTACTGCAAATGGCAAATAAATGAATCTGAATCTGAATCTGAATCTAATCTTCATTTGATAATGGTCATAGATTCATTGTTAACAATTTTATTTTGTTTGGAAAGTATCAGAATGTCTTTGGGAGAGTCAAATATACTTAAATTGTCATGTCTGCATCCTAAATAACTAATCACTTAATCAAATAGAAACAATTTCAACTGATTCTCAAAATGATCATTAGTCACAGCCATAGTAGTCGGTGGAGGAGTCAAAGGGCAGCCGTCCTGGGTATTGATAACAGTGATTGGTGAGTTCAGGGCGTGAACGTGGGGCTCTTAAGTATCTGTACTCGGTCTATTGTCATGGGAACGACAGTGAAACCAGATTAATTACATCACACACATAGTTGAAGATGTCACAGTTGATAAGCTCGACTTTGTATACAGAACCAGTGCAGATGCCATCCCTTCTCTTAGCTCCTCGTGTGCGCTCTATATTTATCCAGGCTTGGCATTGATACAGAGAATCTACTGGATTTCCTGGAACCTGATAGTTCATTATTCATTTCAAAGTAGACTTGATACAAAACACTACTCTTGTTGGACTACTACTCTCTTCTATTTGAGGCACAGCAAATTATTTTCTCCATACCATTTCCATCTTCCTAATTGTAGTGTATTTAATAAGACTCGGACAGTGATCACATTTCGTGACGAACTTTACTTAGCCAACAACCTGTCTGTCAGAAGCAACCAGACAAAGCGCATGCGTAACAAATGGACTATACCAAATCTCCAACAATAGGGGTGAATACACCACATCATCCCCCTTTTAAAATAGGAACAATATTTTTGTATTCAAATTAGTGCAGTAGTAAGCTTGTACATATTAACAATAGAAGTTACCAAATAATCATGCCAATAATCAAATAACAATTATCTGATGTACAACTGAAAACAATAATATCAGAATATGTAGTATTCAATGCTATTTTAACTGATTACTTGCTATTCAAGGTATCTATTTGGTTTTTTGCGAACACGCTCAGAGCGCCTCACAGTCACTGATGGTGTCCACAGTCGTCTCAACTGGTGTGTCATTTCCGGTATTTTGCATTTCTGCTTCAAAAGTCTCAGTGTCTATATCGGTCTGTTCAGGTGATGCTCTGGCACGTAGTTGGTCCCCATGACGTCTGTGCACCGTGTCAGAGTCTCTCTCCTTGACTTGATAAGATACTGGACCAGTTTGTCTCACAACTTGTCCAGGAATCCACTTGTGAGCTCCTCGCTGTGTTGCGCAGATACACATACTCATCCATTTCAAAAGTGCGGTTCTCAGCTGAGTAGTCGTGTTGATCTTTTTGTTGATATTGCTTCTTACGAACAGTCTCTTTGGTGTTAGGCTTCAAGAAATCCAGCCGGGTGCGGACGTGTCTGTGAAGAAATAGATCCGCTGGAGACTGACCTGTTGTGCAGTTGGGGGTGGTCCGGTACTGTAGCAAGAACAGCGACAGTTTGTCCTGGATGCTACAGGGCAGGCTGGCAAGTTTTTTCATTCCTGTCTTGAACGTCTGAACATATCTCTCTGCCAGACCATTTGTTGCAGGATGCCCTGGTGCACTAGTTGTGTGCAAGATGCCATTTTGTGTCACAAAGATTTGGAACTCCTCAGATGTGAAAGTAGTTGCATTATCAGTCACTATCTGTTCAGGAAGTCCATATGATGCAAACAGTCTTCTCAACCTCGTTACTGTTGCTTGAGTTGTTATTTGTGACATGCGAAAAACTTCCAACCACTTTGTATATGAATCCACGATGATCATAAACATACTGTTCAGAAAAGGTCCTGCAAAATCTATGTGCAGTCTCCTCCAGGACTCACCTGGAAACTCCCATGGGTGGAGTGGTACTTGCTGTGGCATTTTCTGCTCACGTTGGCATATTTCACATTGTTTGCATACTTTTTCAATGTCAAAATCCAGGTTAGGCCACCAAGTATATTTGCGGGCTAGAGCCTTTGACTTCACTATCCCCTGGTGTCCTGAATGTATTTCCAGCAGCACTGCTTTTCTCATTTTTGCAGGTACGATGACTCTGGTTCCCCACAGTACACAGCCTTGCTCTGTGGAGAGTTCATTCCTTTTTGTATAGTAGACCTTTAAATTCTCATCTGTGAGAGCGGGCCAACCTTCCATCACAAACTTGTACACTTTTGACAAATCCGGGTCAGTGCGTGTTGCTCTTGCAATTTGAGTGGCATTTAGCGGCGCTTCATGTAAGTGCTCTGTAAGTAGTGAGTGTACTGTCTCTGAACTCACAGCTGTCCCAACATCACAAGTCTCTGGTAACGGACAGCGTGACAGTCCGTCTGCGTTGCTGTGCTCTGCTGATTTCTTGTAAATAATGTGGTAGTCATACGCTGAAAGTATGATCGCCCATCTTTGAATACGTGCAGCTGCCAGTGTGGGTAGACTTTTGTGCTCACCAAAAAGCGTCAGCAGGGGGCGGTGATCCGTTGCTAGAGTAAAATGTCTACCCCACAGATACTGGTGGAACTTTTTAACACCATAGATCAGTCCCAGAGCTTCTTTCTCTATTTGGGAATACTTCTTTTCAGCTGGAGACAAAGTGCGAGAAGCATAAGCTACGGGCCTCTCTTCCCCATTTGGCATTGTGTGTTGGATGACTGCCCCGATGCCATATGCAGAGGCATCACAAGCTAAAGTGAGCGGTAGATTTGGGTCATAATGTGCCAAGACCTGATCACTTGTTAACACTTCTTTGCATTTGACAAATGCTGCCTGCTCACTCACAGTCCATTTCCAAGTAACATTGTCTCTTAGCAACTTGTACAGCGGAGCAAGTACTGTGCTTTGCATTGGTACAAATCTGCCATAGTAGTTAACAAGTCCCAAAAACGCTTGTAACTCTTTCACATTTGTTGGAGCAGGAGCGTCCTGTATTGCTCTCACCTTGTCTTTTGCTGGGTGGATGCCGTGCTCGTCCAACACGTGTCCCAGGTACTCAATCTGCTCTTTGTCAAACTCACACTTGGAACGTTTCACTCGCAACCCATTTTCCTGTAGACGTTGCAGAACATATTCCAAGTTATCATTGTGCTCCATTTTATTGCGTCCAGTGATTAACAGGTCATCCAGGTAGACAACCACTGGCAAATCCTTCATGATGTTTTCCATAATGCGCTGGAAAATTGAAGGCGCGGAGCTAATTCCAAAAGGAAGCCTATTGTAGACAAATAGTCCCTTGTGCGTGTTGATGGTCGTGTACTTTTTAGACTTCTCATCTAACAACACTTGCTGATAAGCTGCTGCAAGATCTATTTTTGAAAAGATTTTACCTCCACTGAGGGTCGCAAGCAGTTCCTCCAAACGTGGCAGCGGGTACGTGTCTGTCTCAATGGCCTGGTTCACTGACACTTTGTAGTCTCCACATAAGCGCAGTGATGTGTCTCTCTTGAGCACTGGCACAATAGGTGCTGCCCACTCACTGTGCTTTACAGGCGAGATTATGTTTGCTTTTTCCAACCTTTTCAGTTCATTTTCAACTTTTTCTTTCATTGCAAATGGGAGTGGCCTGTGTTTGCAAAACTTAGGGGGTACCTCTGGCTTCACGATGATGGAGGCTGTAATGTCCTTGAGAGTGCCCAAGTCGTCCTTGAACACGTCACAGTATTTGTCCAGCAAGTCCTGAATGGTATGTGGCTTTGTCGCTGTCACATATTTGATCAGTTTCCAGTTGAGCTTTAGTTCTCTCAGCCAGTTCCTGCCACAAAGCGATGCTCCATGCCCTTTTACAACCAACAATGGCAGTTCAACTTTTTGCTCTTCGTACCCCACTTTTGTATAAAACTGTCCTAAAACAGGAATGCGCCCTCCATTATAAGCTTTGAGTTTAACTTGAGCTGGCTGTAACGGCACGTGTGAAAACTTCCTCCCATATGTTTCTTGTGAAATCACACTTCTTGCCGCTCCAGTGTCTATTTCCATGTCCAGATTCACCTTGTCAATAGAGAACGTGGCCCTGTACAGCTCATCATCTTCACTACTGACTGTCATTATGGCGAACTCCTCTTGCTCTACATCCTCGTTTGCTGTCATGTATTTTGTGTCTTTACATTGGAATCTTTTATTTGGTTGTGCATTTTGTGATTTTGTACGACATGCCTTTTTGAGATGTCCAATCTTTCCACAGTTGTGACATTTAGTCTCTTTGAAATGGCACTCGTTTGCATTGTGATGTTTGCCTTTGCATCTGTAGCAAGTTTTGGTTTTGTCCGGTCTCACTTTGTGAATTGCTCCAGCACCGACAAGTTCACTGTCAGCTCCTCTTAGCTGTCGTGTGTCCCTATCTGCAGTTTCCATGTTGAGCGCGATCTCAAAAGCTTTTGCAAATGTGAGTCTATCTTCAGAGAGCAATCTTCTTTGGCACATTTCATTTTTGATCCCACTGACGAACCTGTCCCGCAATGCAGAATCCAAATTGGCACCGAACTCACAGTTTGTAGCTTGTTGCTTTAGCTCCGCTACATACTGTGCAACAGTCTGATTTTGTTTTTGGTTGCACTTATTAAAACGGAACCTTTCAGCGACTAAAATGGGCTTCGGCTCAAAATGCTCTTTTAAAATCGTCACAATATCTGCAAATGATTTATCTTTGGGCTTGTCAGGCTGCACTAAGTTTCTCAATAGTCCATATGTTGTAGCTCCCATCACACTTAGCAAAACGGCTACGTACTTCCCTTGATCTATGTCGTTAGCATCGAAAAACTGTTCCAGCCGCTCGACGTATGCAGTCCACGGCTCATTTTCTGGCTTGAATTCGTCGACCTTGCCGATTTGGGCCATTGTACTCACTAGTACCGACACCGTGTGCCTGTGTCCCTCCGCAAATTATCCCCGTCGCCAATTGTAGTGTATTTAATAAGACTCGGACAGTGATCACATTTCGTGACGAACTTTACTTAGCCAACAACCTGTCTGTCAGAAGCAACCAGACAAAGCGCATGCGTAACAAATGGACTATACCAAATCTCCAACAATAGGGGTGAATACACCACACTAATGGATTACATCAAGAGCAATTTATTGAGTGTGGACTTGAACGAAATCTATGAAGTAGAACTCCACAACCTGGTGCAAGAAAATGAAGTCCTCCGGATGCAGAACCAAGCATTAAAACTTCAGCTTATAACTGAACGCAAACAGAGGACAATTCTACAGGAAAGAGTTTAAACATTTTGATAAATGACTTATGAAAATAATGGGGATAGGGCGCAGCTCTCGCTCCGTCTGTGAATTGGCACGTGTAGCACAAGAAGTGGGCCATGAGAAAACAAAACACAATTCTGAAAAAGAGAACGTTTGTAGGAAACTTTCAGAATCCAAACAGAAACTCACAAACATTACCAGCGCAATGCAACGAGAGAAAAGTCTGAGGATCCAGGCTGAAGCTGACAAGCACGAGGCCGTCGAGATCGCAGAGGAGCTTTTTGAGATCATTGAGAAACTGCAGAAGAACCTGGTGGAATTATCTCTCAACACTCAAGCCCTGGAAGCATTTCAGCTAGTACTACAAGGTAAGTGTTGTCTAAAGAGATTCTTACTCTATATGTGTCAATATATATCATTCCATCCAATGAGGGAACACATTATTGCAGATATTAAAAAGGGGTCGCTCATAAAATAGCTTGAGTGTTCTAATGTATACCATAGTTTCATTTCATTTCAAGCATGGGATTTGTTTCTTTTTCACATCAGGCTTCATAACATCAGTGACTTTTTATTGTAGTAGTAAATCACAGTTATTGATTAAACATATCTTAATCATTCCATTCTCTTCCAGTAAACTTTGGGTCCATTTTTAAGGTGATTTGTGCACAGTTCATGCAAATAGTTAATAGCAATTTAAACCATTCTCATCTAAAATATTCCCAACATGTGTAACTACAACAGATCGTTTTGGTTTCATTAAAGATTCTCCCTTCTCTCATGCACCCCCCGCTCTCAACTCCAACCACAGTTCTTATTAATACAGACATAAATCTCCATGGACTTCCACTTCTGCTTAAGAGCTCAAGCCTCAGCATCTTCATCACATTTATAACACCTCTATTGCATGTCTAAAACACCCTCAAACTCCCAAACATTAAACGAGAGCTGTTATTTAAAACAGGCTTGGATGTTAACACGGACTTCTTTTGTATGTGCAGATATCACAGAGCATCAGAAAACACTGAAGAAAGAGTCGCTCCTGGAGGGTCGTCACCACAGGCTGGAGGAGCGTCGTGATTCTTCAGAGATCAAAAAATATAGTTCTACCACTGAATCTTCAATGGGCAGAGTGAGGAGTCAGCGCCTACTTCTCCAACCTCAAGAGCAGACGGCAGCAGAAGGCTCAGGCGTCCTTAAAGAGGGCCACATCTCCAAAAAACTCAGCTTTCTTCACTGCTTCATCTGATGAGTCCTCATGTCATCAATACGCAAGTCCATAGACTGTCGAGGAATAGGCCCAGGTTCAGAGGCATCATCCATCCATCAGCAGTGACCGTCCAACATGCAGTTCTGTGCTGTCCCTTTGGTCCAGTCTGGTCTCCTCCCTTAGTAGAATCCTAATCGCTTTGTGCCTGTTGTTTTGTTGTTCTTGTTGTTGTTTTGTTTTTGTTTTTGACCAATGATCTATGTTTGAATCCTTCTCTAGTTGCATTACTTACAGTACATACCATGTTTACTTGCTGAATACTCATATAAAGTACAAACTAGGGCTGGGCGATTAATCGATTTTAATCATTAATTAGAGTTTTACGTTTAGGGCGATTTCTTTTTTTAAAAATTCGATTTGTATTTTCTCCATCGCAGAACTACAGCGCTAACGCGCTAACCGCGGGTCTATGGTGTTGAGCAGTCATTTTGAAGCTAACCTAATGCTAACAGTCTCCCTCTGGCCTGATGCTCGCTCTCACAGTTGGTGCTGTTGCAATAACACTTCAAACGTTCAAGAATCAGACTTTATTTAAATCGCCAGAACACACACACACACACACACAGGCTCCGGTCGTTATGTTTGTACGCCACATCTTTAGCTACAGCATCAGAATGTGTAAACAGGAAGCTCGCACAATGCGGGAGTCACTGAATGTTAGTATTAGCGCCACCAGCTGGACCGAGCGTTGTACTACAGCCACAGTTACTCAGGCCCAGTTGAAAGAACAAGCATGAAAACCCGAGGAGGCTTTTGGAAAAGACTGTATGTTACAACATTTCTATTTTGAGTAATATCAGTTTTAAAAATGTGATATTTCATGGTTTGTGTGATTTAAGTTATTTTGAAGGTGCATAGTGTCAATTGTAAGTGAAGTTATTATAAAACTGTTAAGCTACATTTCACTGTTTACAATGGCAGAGCCATCATCGTTTACACGCATGTTTTTAAGGCTTAATTCCTGTTACACTTATGCTCCATGGGGATTTAGATTAAACTGCATAAAGGAAAATCTATTCCTTTGTCAGTTGTATTTTGTTTTTAAATAGAAAAAAATTAAATCGATTAAAAATCGAAAATTGGATTTGGTGAGAAAAAATCGGAGATTTTTTTTTTTTTGCCATATCGCCCAGCCCTAGTACAAACTGAAATGAAATATCCTTGTTGAATTCTAAGCGTATGCACCATGATTGACAGCTGGTTCTTATTGAACTCAGAAATAAATGGAATTCACCATGAAACAACTCATGAAACAGCTTCTGCTCACCCTCCTGCGATTCCCCATGCTGCTAATATAAGTGTTGAAAATAAATGTATTTTGTGATGAGGGTACACAGACTGAGCAGTCCATGTGTGTGGCAGCACGGTACAGCAAAGAGAGAGGCTAAGAACACACAAAACCGAACTTTGAGCCATACTCTCATGCTGTGCCAATATTTTCACAAATTGATAGCAGGTAGAAATAGCAGCAGTGGGGAGAATTATAAAAAACATTTTTTTGAAATGTTGTATTTATTTTCTACTGAATACATGAACATCATACTAATATGGGTGTAGTGTAATGACTCCAGGGAATTAAACTGGATGGAGAAAGATACATTTCTGGCGGTCCAATCAGTCTTTCATTTGACATAGAGCCAATTATTCTGATCAAATTATTGTGGCCAATCTAGGTGACAGACCTCCACCTGTTATTCACACACACACACCAGAGTCATATGAGGGAATGTGGGCGAAGTTACAGCCTCATTGTCGCACTTTGGCACCTAGTGTTCTCAGAGATCTCCCATCACAGTACTAACCAGGCCCTGCCCTGCTTAGCTGTCTTTCGCAAGGTAGTACTGTAATAGACACACCTATATGCAACTTGTTGAGAAGAATAAAATGCAAGTACCATGGTAGTGCTTTCAATCTATTGGTATGGCAACCCACACAAATTGGTCATTGAAGCAAAAATAAAGTCTTGACTACAGTTAAATGAAATTGGATTATTTCCAAAGGCTCACCAAACAACATCTCAAGGCAACATGCCACAGTACACTGGTGTTTTAGATGTGTGGAGAAGCCCAACTATTTGAAAACACGTTATCAGGATTTTATTGAATATAAAAGCAATAGCAAAAGATTATGTTCCACATAATCTTGTATTTAATCTTGTTGAAAAAGATTAAGTGGCAAGTAGCAAAAGTTAACCAATTCCTTAGGTACAACCTTCTTCGTGTGTGTCAAATCCAAACACAATGAAGTTTATTAAAATTCAAAGTTGTGTGCAGAGGAGGCTGCATCGCCACCTCTCTGCAGTAAACACCAGAGCCCTATTCCCCACAAGACCAGTGAGAGGAGCCCCACAGCAATGTTCAATATGACTCCAACCACAAGCTTACATGGAAGAGTGCTACAAATTTACTTCACACGGGCTCTATCTCCATCGGCACAGTCCCGCTGTCACTGCAAGCTTGGACCAAAGGACATGTTTATGTTATCAGAGCAGCAACATGTGAAGATTATACAAGTACCCACATCGACACAGTGATAAATCAAGTGTAAGGAAACCAGGGGAGGAGCCATTTGGGAAGCGATTGGTGATGCAGCCAGATTAATGAAAGGTGAACTTTTATTGCCGTCAAATCAACGTGTTGTGGTAAAGATGTTGCAACCGATACAAGAATAGCTGAGGGAAATAGAAAAATTCAAATTGAATAAAGTATTTGGTAACAAGGTAATCAACCCACACAGAGAAGTCATGATTTGATTTGTGAGGCTCAAAGCTGCAATATCAAGATTGCATGTATGCTATTGTTAAGGTTGACAGACTACACTGGACCATTTTAAGCCAATCAAAGGCACTGACTAAATCAAGAGGAAAGAGTCTTTTGGAGTAACTGGACGTGTTTACTGCACTCAAAAGATGTCCTTGCTCCGTCTCACGCTCTGGTCTTCTCTCTGATGACTGTACCACAATGAACAATGAATAGTCCTATTCAGTGTTATTGCTCATCTTATGCATATAGCTCAAGTTGAATTCTACGGTAAAAAGGAATGTAATGTCCGAAGCATGACAATTTAAATAACAAGACACTTTTCTTTTCTTTCCCTTTGTTAGCACTTTTCCAACATTTGATAAACCCTTCTCTCTGTGGTTCTTTGAGGTAAACAGAGTAAATCCACTTCAGGGCCTTTGTTAGAATTCAGGAGCTCAGAGTAAAGCCACTGCTCCTCCAGACTATATAGAACATCTCTGTTTTGGTCCCCAGTCTCATGCACACATATCCACTCTTCCATTTTGGATTGCTTTGTACGTTTATGCAGCACCAGCCTGTTTCTAGCCGTGCATTACCCCAATTCAGAGCCCCCTGGAGGGAAACATGGCGTACAATTACTGCTAAGAGCGCTGTTCAGCTGTCACACTCTGCACACGTGGTTTGCAAAAGACCAACACATTATGAGCTTGAGACTTTTACAGCCGTTTGGAGGAAAGAGGCTTTTGAAATGTTCGGCAACACCAATGCTCTGCGGCAACCCGAAAGTAAAAACTCCAGCTGCTGAAGAGAAGTCTCCTTTTGGGCATGTCACTACAACAATAGAATTTCCCGGATAATTAGGTGGAACAGAGAGTGGCTTTGTTGGGGAGTAATAAAGGGGTACAAGAATTTATAGGACAAGCCGAGGATTAGGAGTCACCAAGCATTTCCATAAGCTCTAAGAATGAGATATAATTGAGCATAAATTGCATATTAAAGCCTCATTCACAGACAAATTGGCTGCTTTTAAATGCATAAGCCGCTAAGCATGATTTATTTCGTTAAATTTTTAACTAAAATTCAATTCGTGTGACGAAATAAAGCGTTGGGCAAACTAAATAAAATTATGCGTATGCTGACTATGCTAAAATTACAAGACATGGATTAGGTCACATTGATTAGCAGGTCAATGACAGATCTAAATCAACTGAAAATGCAAAAAATAAGTTTGTAGCAACTCCAAATCCCCCATCAAAAATTTTATTATTACTGCACCAGACAAGAGTGACACTTCAATCAGACAAATCTTTCAAAATCTTCTGGACATTCATTTTTTGCAATCAAAATGAACTCCCATCCAAAAGTCATGCTCAGTTTGAAGAGGGACCGCACTATAGCCGTCCGTCGTTTACAGCAGCTTCTTGAGGCCTTGAAAAAAACCAAACCAGTCAAATGCTAATCAGATCGTGAGAAGTTGGAACAGTCAGCTCTCCATGGGTCATACCAACCTTGAGATGAGTGTGAAACTGTCTGGTAAGCAGGAAAACGCGTAATTGAAAGGTTACCTGAATGTAACTCAAGTTCTACTACTAATGGTGCGTAGCCCTTAGCCTTCGCTATGGGTAAACTCCTGAAGCATCTTGCTTCCCGCCAGAGAGAACTAAATGCTCCAATCACCTGCCCAGTCCCATCTATAAATAGCCCCTCTACGGCCCGTACCAACCACTTAGAACTCAGCCAAAGCCATGCTGGACTGATGGGCCCCGTAGCTAAGGGGCTACGCACCATTCGTAGAACTTGATTTATATTAGGTAACTATTCAATTCTACATCATGGTGCTAACGCCCCTTAGGCTTCGCTATTGGTAACCACAGCGTAAGCCGTCGGAGAATGTACAAACTCCCATCCGGCCAGCGTAGAGTTATTGGAGCCCTGGCCCGAGTTCCCGCCGCACTATCTAGGCGCATGGACTCGGGGCATGGAAGAAATGAAGGAGCAGTGTACGAGGCCGCTCCTGACCAAGGACGCCTGAGTGACACTGACAAGCTCCAGAAGAGCAAAACACCGAGCAAGGGCCGCTCCTACAAGGACTGCCCACGCTCAGGCAAGACCAGCCCGTAGGAGCCAGCAGGGAACATACCCTAGGACGCTCTTACCAAGAGCTCCCTAGGTAATGAGACGCGTGAAAAACCATGACACCCGGACTGCCCACTACCTAATGATGCTCCTGGAGTATGGCAACCGATTACCGGGAAGAGCGGTTCATCGACCACCAAGACGCCCCGTCCACGTACCTGGAGCACGGACTAGACTATCCCTCAGGTCGGCTGGTTCCGGCCACGGTGAGTCATACCCCCTGGCGTTCCAGGCAATGTAATGGGCAACCGACCGTATTCTGCCACGGTCCCACTAAATAAGACCCGGGCAAAGTGTAGAGGACGAAGCCCCAGACTCGGCTTGGCAACGTCCTCCACAGAGGCACCCCTGAGCAGAGCTGTGGAAGTGCCCGCGACTCCCTCGTGTGGAGGTCGCCCTGGAACCCACCGTGGGAACCAACTCCTGACCGGGTAAGCCAAGCGAAACGCCCGAAGACACCCAGTGGGACAGCCTCTGGGGCGTCAACGGTGCGCCTCTGTTCTTAGGCCAGTGCATACAAACAGCAGATCCGACCGTCTGAAGTAGGCTGTAACCGCCAGGTAGGATCTCAGCATCCTGACTGGCACAACAGATGCAGCCGCTCCTCCTCCATCGAGGCATGAGAGGCGGCGTGTGAAAGGGTTCGGACCCCAGATGACCCTTGACCTAAAAGCCGAAGTAACAACCTTAGGGCAGAAAGGCTTGGTTCGGCCAAAGTTACAGCCACACCACCGTCCTCAGCACCGACCGAATGCTAGACATTCCGGCGAACGGAGAGTGCGCATAGCTCCCCTGCCCTCTTGGTTAGACCAACGCCAGCAAGAGTGCAGTACTTGAGAGCCATCACACTCAGGGCTGGCCTGGGCCACAGGTTCAGAAGGGATCCCGAGTAATCCCGTTCAAGACCACTTTAAGGTCCCAAGTGGGTGGGTCCCTGTTGAGGAACCTGCCTTTTTTCGGTGGGCCCCTCCCGAAGAAACGGCTTGACCAGCGGGTATGGGAACGAGCCGAAAGGTTCCGAACCCTTCGTGGCCAGAGGCAATGGCTGATAGGCTGCCGCGAACACCGTCCCTCAGGGTGCCGGCAGCCCTCCCTTTCTCTAAAAGCTCTTGTTAAGAAGCCCCAGCCCTCCCTCCAGAGGGCAAGGACATGGGGTCCCAGGACCGTGTCCGCGCACCCAGTCCCTAGAAAACCTTCCCACCTACAAGCCGTAGGCCCTGAATAGTGGGAAGGTGGGCCCTCGCGCCCTGAATGGTCCTCCACCAACCGACTGGGGGAGACCCAGACCTACGAGAGTCCGCCTCTCAGCCTCCAGACCCAGAGTCTGCGGCCCGAGTACCGGACGCGAGAGAAGCGACCCCCCTCCCTGGAACCAGAGCCCCGGCACGTCCGGGAGAGTGCCAAGGGTCGCACACCGCCATGTGCCCCTCCGGAACAGGGAAAAACCAGAGGGCATGCGTGGGCTGTCCGGGCGATGAGCGCTCAACTTCCCGAACCTCCCTGCTCGATTCTCCTCAGAAGAACCGGCAAGAGAGGCGAGTCGGGGGAAAACGCATACAGAAGAACCCCCCCGGCCACGGTAATGCGCCATGGCATCCACACCCAGAGGTGGATTGTCAGTGGCCGCAGCGCAACCAAAGTGGACACAGCGCGTTGCCTGCACTGTCGAATAGGTCGACCCTGGTCGGACCCGACACACCTCAGCCATACCTGCGCTGCTATCTGCGGTGCCAGGCCCCTCTCCTTCCCAGATGGGCCCCACCCTGGACATCAGTTCCGCCCCAGTTTTCCTGTCATCCGGGAACGTGGCGTGCCTGAGAGACAGCAAAAGATTCGCATCGGCCCAGATCAGGATGAGAGCCGCCAGACGATGGAGAGCGGGGGATCTCGTGCCCCCCTGCCTGTTTATGTAGGCCACCACGGTGGTGTTTGTCTGAGCGCACCATCACGTGCCTCCCCTGCAACAGCGTGTGCAAAGTGCAGTAGCACCCTGCGCACTGCCTCCATCTCAGTATATTGATGTGCGGAGATGGGTCTGACCAGAGCCCTCCCACGGAGCTCTGGCCCAGAACCCCTCCCCACCCCTCGAGAGAGGCGTCCGTAAACACTTCCACGTGTGATACGGCGCCTTTTGAGTGGAACCCCGTCCCTCATCACACTCTGGGTGAGCCAGAAGTTGATGTCTGATCTCACCCTGGGGGGAACTACGAGCATGGTCGCTGCGTCCCGGGAGGGGTGAATCCTGAGACCGGAGAACCATCTCTGAGAAAACCTCTCATGGGGAGAAGACCCAGACGTATAACTGCAAGGCCGCCATGCCCTCATCCCCAGGACGATCTGAGTCAACGAGCAGACACGCTGGGGGCAGTCAGCGCCCTGGTGCTCAGCTGTGAGAGGCTCTCCTGTCTGTCCCTGGACAAAGCCGCTCGGAACTCCACCGAGTCCAGCTGTCACCCGAGGTAGAGCGCGCGCTCGGGCAGGCTGTAATCTGCTCTTCTCTCTGTTCACCCACAAAACCCAGCTGTTGTAATTGTGAGACAGAACCCGGAGCGTGGTGTTCCAGGGCTACCTCCCTGGACTGTGCCGAGAATTAACCAATCGTGCGATGTAGGTTCAAGATCCCTGACCCATGCAATGTCTGAGCCGGCATCAGGGCTGCCCCACGCATTTCGAGAAAGTGCGGGGGGCCAAGAGCGTACCCGAACGGGAGGGGCGGCAGTACTTCTCGTAGACACCTTTCTCCCACAGCTGAAGCGCAGAAAGCGTCTGTGCTCTGGGCCACTAATCACGCAACATGAAATAATCGCAAACTGTCAGAACGATGGAGGTCAACCAGTCTCCTGGTCTGACTCGCAATTCCAGTAGCTGCTTCGTAGTGAGGCATGCGGAACGGACCGACTGGAGATGCACTGGTTGAGTTGCGCGCGCAGATCCAAATAGGGCGCCACCCCCCCTGGGGGGGGTTCCTTTTTGGGGACCAGAAATTGAAGGGGAGTACCGCCCTCTGTGAGCGTCCTGTGGGTCGACCTGGATCGGCAAGCACCTCATAGTAACAGGGAGGACTACCTCCTCTTGGAGAGCCTCTTCTGTCCCGTGTCGCCTGGAGTTTGCCCCGCTCGAACCCCTGGACGGCGGTGGTCTCCTCGCGAACTGTAGGGCATAACCTCTGCGTAACGTCCTGTCCAACCATGCGTCTGAGAGGAGCCCCTGCTCTCTCCAGACCTGATAAAAAGACGTGAGAGGGGGCACCGGGCTCGTGAGACCTGATCTTAATTCCCCCCACACTCCTGGTGCCTTCACAGAGGAGGGGGGATCCACGAAAGGGCCGAGGAAGTCTGTGTTGCCGCCGTTGCCTTGGTAACCACAGCTTGCCTCTGTCTCTTTGCCCCGCTGCGCGATGCAGAGGAGTCGAGCACGTGCTCTGCCTCCGTGCAGTGCGAGGCAGCCTTGCCCACGGCTTGTCTCATTTCCCTGCTTGCGCGAGACAGAGGAGTCCTTGCCCCTTGTTTCGCTTATGGCAGCGTGCTCTGCCTCTGTCCAGTGCGAGGCAGACGGGCCCTGACCCGTTGCCTCGGTAACCACAGCTTCTCTCTTTGCCCTGCTGCGCGGAACAGAGGAGTCCTTGCCCTTTGTTCCGCTTATAGCAGCGTGCCTTGTTTCTCTGCAGTGCGAGGCAGACGGACCCTGACCCGTTGCCTTGGTAACCACAGCTCTTCTCTTTGTCTTGCTGCGCGAAACAGAGGAGTCCTTGCCCTTTGTTTCGCCTATAGCAGCGTGCCTTGCCTCTCTGCAGTGCGAGGCAGACGGACCCTGATCCGTTGCCTCGGTAACCACAGCTCTTCTCTTTGTCTTGCTGCGCAAAACAGAGGAGTCCTTACTCCCTGTATCGCTTATAGCAGCGTGTCTAGCCTCTCTGCAGAGCGAGGCAGACGGACCCTGACCCTTGCCTCGGTAACCTCAGCCTGCCTCTTACGCTTCAGACCCATGCCAAATGAGGAAGTGTGAGGAACAGTGGAGCTAGAAGGGACCGTAAATCCCCTGTTATAGGGACCCTCGCGTTTCAACCCTCCCTGTAGATATGAAACGCTAGATCTGTTACTCGGAGCGGTGGTCTGAGACATTCTCATCAAACCACCCTCTGTACCGTGTGTATGCTCTGTGGGTAAGACCACACTGCCCTCTACCTGTGACGGCATGTGGTGCAAGAGAACAGAGGACTGAGACAGTGGATAAGCTTGATTCTTTCTTTTATTGAAAAAGGCTTTTCCCCCGCGTCTCCCACCACCGAAAGGAGGAGGACGCTGGAGAGATCGGTCTCGTGGGCCTCCGGAGGTCCAATCCTGGCCCCTGGATCTTGCTGGAGCAGGCCGTGCCGAGCGTGCAGCGGTCTGGGGGAAGGCAGGGCGACGTAGCGGGGACCGGTCCCTCTCTCTCCCTCTCTCTCTGCTCTCGAGGAAGCGGCGCTGTTTACGCGGCGCCAGATGAGGAGCCAACTTGGCGGAGTCCTTCGCCGCTCCGTCGAGTCTTTCCATCAGACCTCTCATATCTGGGCCGAAGAGGGACTCTGTGGAGATGGGGAGGTCCAGAAGCTGCTTCCTTTCCGCTTCCCGACATCAGCAAGCCCAGCCATAGGTGACGGGCACCGACCTGCGCCGCTGCCATAGTCCGACCACCGTCAATAGCGAGCGCCTGGATCACGCGGAGGGTCGCTGCCGTGGTGGTCCTGGCTCTGGTAAGGTCCTCGCCGCTCAGCGCCTCGCCAGCGGCGAGTGACCTGTCCAGGGCGCCGGTGATGAGCGCCATATTGCTCGCCAACGCAACGACCTGTGCCGCGTTGGCGTAGCACCGGTCCAGTACCGACATGGACACCCGGTCCTTGTCGGTGGGGAGGAGCGGTTTGCTGCTCGGCCACAGGGAGGATTTGGGGAGGAGCGCCAGCCTCACCGCATCCTCGACCTCCGGTACGCCTTTGGACCAGGACCAGTCCTGGACTTCACAGTAAGGACCGTACCCCAGGGCAGGCTTCTTCGCTGTGGAAGGCTTGGTCCAGTCGCGTGTAGCGTAGTGGAACACCGGCTCCATACGCGGACACAGCGTGGGCGCCTGCCTCTTCCTCCCTCTCTGAGAAGACCCCACCGAGGTAAAGTCTTCCCTGGGTTGCGGGGGGAATGGAGCCTCCATGGTCCTCGCCGCAGCCATGAAGAGGCGGGGCATGTGATCGAGCGGGAACCGGTCCGGCTCGCACAAGGAGGAAGCTTCGTCTAGCGTGATGAAGGAAGCCTGATCCTCCTCACGCTCCTCCTCCTCCACGACGCAGTCTCCCCACTCCCTGGGTGCGGGAGGCAGGTCTAGCGGCACGTACTCCACCTCGAGTTCGTCCTCCTGGGAGGAACCCGGGTGAGCCACCGCGGAGTCCACAAACGCCATGCGGCGCTCTCTCTCTCCTCCCTGGGGAGAGAGAGGCACGCTTCGCAGACAGCCTCGTCCCCCCTGGTAGTGGGATACACCCAGGCAAAGGAAGCACAGGCTGTGCTGGTCCTTGCGGGAGATCCTGGTCCTGCAGCTCCTGCACCCGTCTTCGTCCGACGCCGGAGGGCGACGGGGTTCTCGGACGCGACGGGGAAGGAAGACGACATCTTCAATCTGTGAGTAGATTTCTTCTCTCAGTTGCGCCAGAGTGAAAAGTGGTTGGTACGGGCCGTAGAGGGCTATTTATAGATGGGACTGGCAGGTGATTGGAGCATTTAGTTCTCTCTGGCGGGAAGCAAGATGCTTCAGGAGTATACCCATAGCGAAGCCTAAGGGGCGTTAGCACCATGATGTAGAACTACCCAGGCAAGCTGTCAGCCTGTCAGGTCACCACTGGTTTCGGTTGTGGGTCTTGTTGTACGACTCGGCACATCTGGGAATTATTATTTTAAACCTTTTTTGTACCTTCCTAAATGACTCGGGGATTACATGGACTAGATTGGTTAAGGTATTTATCTCCATAGGGCTGATCCTCTCTGTGTTTAACCCGAACTTTAAGGCAACTATAGGGCCTCTGTCTGAAGCAGTGGTCACGGGAGCCATCTAAAGTTGTTGGTGTAAGAACAGGGTCAACAGTCCAGGGTCAAAGTCAAACTTGTTAACCCAGGATCGATGTTTCATTGGTTTCGGGTTAGGCTATATAGGGTTCACTATGGTTAGAGTGGATAGTGACCCTAAACCTAACAAGGGTTTGATTTAGGGTCAAGAATAAGGTATAGGTTTAGAGGCTTGAGACCAGGATCAACTTGTAATGAGACCCTGGACTGATAATTACTTGGTGATATCATAGCTTATAATTTTTCCCATGGAGTATATTTTGGGTGGTCAGGAAAACTGGATCGCCCAGAGCAAACCTCACAGAAAGATCTGGGCCGACAGAGGATCGAACCCACAACCACCGTCATGCTGCCGGTTACCTGCAAATAGAGTTCATACTTTAAACATGGCCTATAATAGTTATGACAGTTTAAAGTCCTGAAGTTTTCCTTACCCTGACAACACGCTATAGGCCAGTACTTGACTGAAATACTTTGAATGCCTAGAGGACTATGTTGAAAGAGACATTCCATTTCCAATATATCTGTGAGGATTGCTTTTTCTATTGCATCTTGCGTCGCATATGTTGTGATATGTAGGTTGGTTATTGTACCATTTCTGCAGCATGCTCAGGCGCTAAACTAAGCTGACTCACTATCAGCATGTTCCTCATTGGCTGCGTTTGAAGCCCATCGTATCTCCTGATGTCACTGCCCGCAAGGTGAACGAGGCCCCTGTGCTCTGCAGCTTTTACACTAATTGCTGGTGGGTTGAGGATGACACAGCATACTTCTGCGGGGTGCCAGCTGTCCGTCTTTGATTGTGGACAGAAATAAGTCGTGGCGCGTGACTGTCCTGCCTGGAGCTTCCTGCGGCAACAAACATCCTGTCGTCTTTACACCTAAGGGTGGATGAAGGGGGAGGAGGGAGGGGGGTGATTACTTAAGAAATAGATGTACGTGTGCTGTTCGCCCAATGAAGGAGCTGGCACAGATTCAGACAGGATTTGATTCACAGAAAAAGCATTTGGCTGGGACTACTTTCAAGTCTATGCACACCTCAGCAACTGCTAATCATATTTCTTTTTTCAATTAACTTGGTGTTAAAGTTGACTATAATGTAGCCTTATCCTTCCCTATGACATTGCTTTCTTTGTTAGAGAGCTGTAGTGGGATCCTCTGGGATGTTTCATTATATAATAGGGTTCAAGCATGCATGTCATTGGTGCTAAAACAATTATGTTCACACTGTGAGCGGTATTCCCCTCTCCACTGTCCTGACCTGTAACTTGGCTTGTTGTCTGTCTGGGATCGGTGCAAACCCATGACTGAATCTACCATAAGTTACAGCCAAGGCACAGGTTCTTTGTCTGCCTCAAAAACCTGCACTGGAAGAGAAAAAAAACCTCAACTTCAAAGGAAATACAAGCACTCAGGTTGCACACCTCAAATAGGATCTATTATTTAAAATAATAGATGATAAAATGACTTTGGAGTAATTATTGCTAAAAAGATGCTCGATTGGTTGTGTTCATGCGACATCACAATTTTTCAAAGAGCTTTTAGTTTATGTTATGATAGAGGGCAGCTGAAAAAGTCTATTTAAATTTTAGTTAATTGCTCTGTAATTCCTGGCCTAATCCACATTTGTCTTCTTTAAAAATACATGGCCCTTATATAGCGCTTTTTGGACACTCAAAGATTGAGTCATTATTTATTCACCAGAACATGGTGGTGATGAACTACTACTGTAGCCACAGATGCCCTGGGGCACACTGACAGAAGCAATGTAACCAGTATGTGCCATCAGCCTCTCCGACCATCACCAACCATTCACACACACACCAGACTCATTTTAGGCAATGTGAGGGAAGCGTCTATAAGCATACGACAGTTCGGCACTTTACAGCCGCAGCCGCCCCACCGTGGCACCTGGTGTTCCCAGAGGTCTCCCATCACAGTACTGACCAGGCCCTGTTTAGCTTAGATTGACAGGATCTGGCTTTCACATGCAGGTATGGCCACATTCTTTGTCAGTACATATCAACTTTGGTCACATAGAGCTGTATAGACATAGGGACAATATTCAAAAACATTTGCATGATGTATTCCAGAGTTAAGGACCTTCAGACATAAGAATAATATGGCAGGTTTGTAAATCTAATCACTATCAAATAATGATCTAGGAAAACCTTCAAACATTTTATTTTTCTAAATGTCCTTCAAAGCCTTTTTAAAATAATGTTTATTCCAATCAAACAAGTGAAAGAATATTTTTCTGTTTGGAAGTTTGAACCCTTTTTGTTCATAACCACCACTGAGTCGCATGGACACCAGCGGCTCCCCGTTGCCACTGCTTTTAACATTGAACTTCATCTGAAAAACTGGAGGAAAAAAGTTGTGATATAAAAAGCAATCGTTTTTGTAAAAAGTAATCATATCAAAAATAGTATCTTGGCAACACTACTGTACAGTGGAACCTACCAAAGCAGAAACGACATTTGTACTGTTAAGGATGGGTCAAACTACAGCATCCAATAAAACACTCCTCCACCAATCTGCAGACAGACCTAACAGAAGCTGACATTTTCATATTGTCTATCTCAAGCGATTATGTCAGATAAGATTATGTTTGGATTTACTTCATTGGATTTTCCGATACCTTTCCCGGAGATATACTGGTGTTGATATAGTCACTGCACTTGTCACTTTCCATTTTCTTCACTCAGACCTTTTAGCACAGATGTCTTGTCAATTAAAAGCAAATGGAAACTTCTGCAGACGAGGTCCAACCTGCTCTGTTGTGAAAGGGATGTAATATCTCCTGAGAATCTTAACTCGGATTGGAACGATACACACATCCAGAAAACATTTTTAATTGGCTATGTTGAAAAAACTCAAATCTTCTCAATGAGATGTTTGATACTGCTCCTTTTCCCCAGAGGGACACAAATGGTGCAATGTGTTTTGGAGCAGAAGAAATCATTAACCATTTAGAAAAACAAATCTCACAATGGCAAAGTTCACCGCCACTGGTCAGTATACATCAAGCACAACTGGACGTCTTTGAGAAAAAATGACAACTGCTGGGAAAAGATTTTGTGTGACATTTAAGGTTCAAACACAACAAACAAATCAATGTGTGCATTTATGAACGCGGCCATGTACATGATGTATGTAAACTCTGATGACAACAGTGAAGTAGTTCTCGGCCTGTCTGCTATGATTACCACAGCTCTGTGTTTACCTAAACCAGTCACAGTTACCATTAACTTGCAGCATTGCTCCTAAGATAAGGCTACATGTTTTCATTATTAGGTAAAATTTCCCCAAGAAAACAACATCATTCATTGTTTTCTATACATTGAACTAAAATAATCAATAAAATAAAAATTATACATGATCTATCGATCTGCAATACTCAGCCCTTTCCTCATGTCCAGTTTTTGTTCAAACATAACTAACTCGATTTTTGGAAATATCTACAAAAAATATTACAATAATACATAATAATAATAATAATAATACATTTGGGTCGGGGCCAGAACTACATCTTTTTATTTTTTGGCCACTGATCAAAATGACTTTGACATATAAAAAACAGGCTGTCGTTGTTGGAAACAGTGACTTAATATTCTAATGGTGGGGATGATGTGGCTGCTGTTTACTCCTGACCTACATGAAAGTCAAGGATTTGACTGAACCCAGTTTCCTTTATGCATCGACACAGGTTTGAGTGCTTTAGCCTCATGAAGGTTTATTCAATACTGTTCTATATTATTTGTTTTTCAGAGCAGGTGTTTGAATTACCAGCCATTCTGTCACTGCACAATTTTTATTCCAAGCTTTCATTGCCTTTCACAGTTTAAAAAAGGATTTTTAAAGCAATTTTCCTGTGTCAACTTAGAACACTGAAGGGAGGCCCACTCACAATGAACTTACGATCAAATACTTTGTTCAGTCCCATTTTCATTTTTTGAAGACCCATTGTTTATGTTCTAGTCCACAACATTGAGACAATATTTTCTTTCATTTTTCATTTCTCCAGGAGGACTTTGCGTTGCCCATCCAATGAGCTTTGATAAAAGTAGGTCACAATGAAATAATCAAAGATGAAATGTGCCATCAAAGAAACACTTAGGACACTGTACAACGAAGCCCCACAGCTTGTTCTGAAATGGAAAAAAGCTTAGCTGCTATCAGCTGTTACCCTGTAAGCGTATATACTGTGATGGGCTCTGGGACGCTGACAAAACATTCATTATTCATTCTGAGTGACCTAGATATTTGTGATTTACGATCGATATTGTAAATTGTAAATCTAGACTTGAATGTGACTGTCTGTGACTTTTTCAATTATGGCTTCAATGGACATGGCTCCTATGTTATCTCCTCTTCATACGGCCATAAGTGCTGAGGTGGCTGCTGCTGACATCAGTCGTGTTTTATGTAATGTAATGTAATGTAATGTAATCTTTATTTATATACCGCCTTTTCACTGCACATCGGAGTCTCAAAGCGGTTTACAATTGTTATTTTTTTGGGAGTGGGGGTGCCAGTACAGGAGGCACATGCCAGACCTATTGTACATATTTTTTGTGGTAGGGGAAACCGGAGTACCCGGAGGAAACCTACGCAGACACGGGGAGAACATGGCAATGCATTTATATGGCAATGCCTTCAACTGAAGCCATTTAGATCATGTTCTTCATGTTGAATCTATTGTCAAAACTAATGATTATAATAGTCATTATTCATTAACCGTTGGAAATGTGGAAAAATGTAATTTTCTTTATGTTGTTAATAACATTTATTGTGAGTAAGTTTATTTGATCATGGACAGCAGGCGTTCTCTTCAGACACAGTGAAGAGAACGCCTCCTCACCTACAACTGTCTGTTTATGTATTATGGTATGTCTATGCTGTAAACAAGGGTGTGCCTTGGCCACGAGGAAGCGGACCAAGCCAGAGTGTAAGCTCTGTAATTGTTAAGCATTTCATAAGAGCCATTGTTCAAATATGTAAATGAAAATTATAATTTGACCAACAATAGCAGGATGACAGGAAGGAAGTCATAGTCACTGCTTGAAGTATGAAACAAAATCTCATCAGGGCCAGGACTCAGGAGCGTTAGGTCTCATTCAAAACGCGAAGGCATTTAATGTAGTATGAAACTGAAAGGTTTTTAAATTATATTGAATGTTTGATTTTTAAATAAAGGTTTCTTATGAAAGATTAAAATAAACATCACAACAATTAACAATAATCTCCTTTAAATTGATGCTTAAATGTCTAACTCCAGTTCTATTGTAGCAGTTCAATCCACCATCAGTTGTCCAGCCATGAACCCATCCAAGGCCAAGATGGACCTTTGCATTATGCTGATAGGAAGCTTCCATCATATTAATTCTTCTAAACTATGTTGGGACCATGGATTTCCCCACAGCAACCAGCGGCTTGTTCAATTATTTGATGTTTCTTCAATAAAACACAGGAAATGTACAAGGAATGTCTGGATGCAAGCGTGGATGAACAGATGTTGCACATTTGGACGTAGTCATGGTTCATAATTAAAGATCTCGGAGGCAGTTCCGGGCTAAACTCTGGTGGTCGAAGTCCACCAGACCATCCATCCATTTGGAGATCCTCCTCAGGGTAACACAGCCTCCTGCTGATGCTTCGCACATTTACACATCAAGCAGTTAGTGTAGACGTAAAGCACTTTTGTTATACTATAACAAGCCGTTTTCTAACTGTCAAGGCAAGGCAAGTTTATTTGTATAGCACAATTCATACACAAGGCAGTTCACAGTGCTGAACAAAACAAGAAAGCATTAAAATCATAAATAATCACAGTACATTAAAAAAAATATAAAATCCCTCAGTTGTATGCACAGCTAAACAGAACCGTCTTTAACCTGGTTTTAAACATGGTCAGAGAGGAGGCCTGTCTCACATCTTCAGGAAGACTGTTCCAGATTTTAGCAGCATGAATCTGAAAAGCAGCCTCCCCATGTTTAGTTCTGACTGGGCATTAACAGGAGTCCAGTCCCTGTGCTCCTCAGAGTCCGGGCTGGTTCATATGGTACTAACATGTCACTAATATATTTTGGTGCGAGGCCATGGAGAGACTTGTACACAAGCAGAGCTGTTTTAAAGTCTATTCTCTGAGCCACAGGAAGCCAGTGCAGAGACCTGAGGACCGGAATAATGTGGTCGTACTTCCTGGTTCAGGACTCAAGCTGCTGCATTTTGAATGTACTGCAGCTGTTTTACAGCCTGTTTGGACAGACCTGTGAGCAGGCCATTGCAGTAGTCTAACCTACTGGAGACAAATGCATGGATAAGAATCTCCAAGTCTGCTTTAGACACTATGTTTTTGATCCTGGCAATGTTTTTTAGATGGTAAAAAGCTGCAGATGTTACTGATGTGATTTTAAGTCTGAAATTTAAGTCTGAGTCCAGTATTACCCCTAGATTTCTGACCTTGTTTGAAGGTTTTAGGGAGAGAGACTGTAGGTGACAGATGACGCTCTCTCTTTGTTTCTGGGGACCAAAGACAATCATTTCAGTTTTGTCTGCGTTTAGCTGAAGGAAGTTGTTTTGCATCCACTCACTGATCTGTTGGATACAGTGAAGGAGTGAGTCCACTGGTCCATGTTCTCCTGCAGTCAGTAAGACATAGATCTGAGTGTCGTCTGCATAGTTATGATAGGAAACTTTGTTTCTGCGTATTAACTGACCTAACGGCAGCATGTAGAGATTGAACAGAAGAGGTCCCAGGATCGACCCCTGTGGTACTCCACAGGTCAGGGCCATATGATCTGAGACACAGTTTCCAATCTCCACAAAGTACTTCCTGTCTTCAAGGTAAGAAGACTGTCATGTAAGGTACTGTCATGTTTTTGAGTAATGCTTCACAAACAGATCTGTAAAATTGAACAGAATTATTTTTTAATAAACAGCATGTGTCCACTTTCCAACTTGTTTGTTCTTCTGTCATTTGTTGTTTTTTAATAGAATGGATTTTTACAAATGTTAATGAGGAATTTTATTTACATGCCATTCATGAGTGAAAAAGTAAATTTAAAACAGATTTTAAAAAACCAAACTATCACATAGGAGACATTTAAAACACAAGTTAACAGTATGTACGGCCTAATTTACACATTTCATTTGTTTTCACTTTTTTCAAAATACAACACATTTAAAAGAAGCTCTTAAATATAAATTTCACATGTTAATGTCCTGTGTGTCTGACTCCTCCTCATAAACCCTGGTGAAGTAGAGGACTGCAGGCTGCGCACAGAGGTTGTGAATGCTGTAGGCCTGACCTGTGAAAACAGAGGAGTGAGCTCACTGAATCTCATTCAAGTCTACTGTCAGTGCGGTCTTACCCGGGGGAACCATGAAGGACTGTCCAGCACTGTAGCACGATTTATTGCGGTCCACTATTAAACTCACAGAGCTTGTTAATAAATTAAAGACCTTTAAAAAGAAGACATAGATATGTAAAACTGGGAGGATGAAGCTACAGTCCATTTGTTGGCTTTACTCACTGTTCGGGCACTGTGGTCCACCCACAAAGGCTTCTTCATGAAGGAACCCAGCAGCATCTTGCCGTTGCAGATGGAGCTCGTTTGGATGTCCACCGTGAGGCCGAACGCTCTGCCCTGGTAACCGTACCACTCAAAATGATCCGGTGTGATTTCACAGCCCCCTGAGAGATGTGTATGGACAAATCTAACACTTGCATTTCCAGATCTAATAAATGGTGTCCTTTGATCACAGAATGTTACTTTGCTTACGATCTGTGGCGGGCCAGAGACACTTGAGCCACTCCTGGAGGTTGACTCGGTCTTTGGGCTGCAGGACGAGCGGCCGGAGAGGAGGCGCACACAGGTCTGAGGCGCACAGAGCGGGCTGCACCAGAGAAGACGGAAGCTCTGAAAACAAACACAATCCCACTCTGACAACACATTCTGGAAAGGAACCCATTTCATTTTCTTCTTTAAGTTATGAGGTCATTTTTAAAAAGTTCCATTCCTCAGCTCTCCAGGCGGTGACCCTCTTTTTTGAAGTCGTCTGATACCTACTTCTTTACTTTAAATATTGCTCAGCTTGGTTTAAAACATGCACATTCATCTATTATGGATGACTTTAGTGCTTTGTAGCTTAGCCTAGCTAAGTTGTTTACAATGTTATATTTAAGTTAACTGTATAAATATCCAGGTAAGACATTCAGCACCCAAGCAAAAAGGCCCTCCACCAAGGACATTAGACGAACACATTTTAATTGAATAGAAATAATTAGTGAGAAATACCAATATCTTCATCTTCCTCATAGTTTCCAAGTCCAATCATAGAAGGTGGCCCACTTCTGATGATTGTTGAACTGAAGTAGACAGAAAAAAATTCCAAATATTAATTTCTCCTGTAACAGTTTAAAGAAAAAACTAAATGTACTTACATGCCTGGATTTCTGTTAGCTTCCTCAACTTCCATACAGACTACATTATGATCAGCCTCTGCATCTTCAGCAGCAGGGGGGTTAATATTGTTCTGTTTTGTTAATCTTTTTGTATTCTTTTTCTTATTCAGCGGTGGCTCCACATTGATAGTTCCGTAAAGGCCACCGTGAGAGGCCACAGACTGTTCAACGGCTCCCCCTGGTGGTTTTGAAGGGCAGCGCACAGGTTTTCTCCGTTTTTTTGTTTCGCTCAGAGTTTTGCCTTTTTCGGATTGTCGTTTTTGAGGCTGCAAAAGCTCCCCCTGTTTGTCCTCTGGTGTGGAAGTGACCTGCCGCTGGTGTGTATGAGATTTTCTTGCTCGATGTGTGGTTCCTTTCGAGCCGAACTGTTCATCAGGTCGTGTAGGTGAAGCCAGTTTTCCCCTTGGGGTGTTTTGTTTCTTGTAGACTTTAGAAAATAAATGTTCTGTTGAAAAATAAAAACGTGAATTAACATATAAACTCAGCATGCCCTTGCAACCAACTAAACTAAAACTGTCAATCCATTTTTTACCAAATCATTTAAGGATGAATTAAATGCAATAACACTGGATAATAATGCAACTGGTATTAACCAACAATGAGAAGACTTTTAAATTGTAATACATTACCAGAAGAAGTACCAGGTTCTTTGGGTGCAAACACCAACGGGCTGGAATCGAAATCTTGGTCCAGAGCTTTGTCTTGACTCGACTCCTGAAAATCTTTTTCTGAATCTTCTGACATTATTCTCCTGACTGTCCTCGCTTTTCTCAATGTTCGCTGCTTATTGTTTTTCCTCTCCGCTTTTGGCTTTTGAGCGTCATCGGAGGATGAAGATGGAATCACTTTTTTAATTCTCTCTTTTCGCTTCTTCACTGCTGGTTGTTTGTCTGTGGGCTGTTGCTGAGGGCTCTGAGGGGAGACCAACCACCACTGTCCAGTCCGTTTACGTTTACGCTTTACCAGAACCCCAGAACTTTCTTCGATAGAAGATCCTTCCATAGAGCTGGCTTTCAAATTGTTGACTCCTGATTTGAAAAAGAAAATATTAGAAAATACAGATATCAGACTTCTGAATATTCAAAAGAGCAGGACATAGGTTGTCTGTACCTGGAATGGGAGATTCACAGTCGGGCGCAGGGCTTCGCTCCTCCAGGACATCAGCTTGTTTCCTATCCGCCTTTACTGGAGTCTTCTTCAGACAGTCCCCATCATTACCTTTTAAAGGTTTGGATTTTTTCTGCCTTAAAGTTTTCACTTTTGCTTCAGCATTCTTCATGAGATTGCCATCATCTGTGTCCACAACTTTTTCTACAGATTTTGACTTAGCTTTGCCCTTTTTTTTCTTTGTTTTACTGGGATCCAAAATATGATCTATATCATTTGACTGAGCTATGACAGGGACCTTTTCAGCAGCTGAATTTGATTCAAAGACGTTTCCTTTTTCACCTTTTGTTTTTTCTATCGATGTCGGACTTCCATGATTTGTGCAATCCTGTTCGGTGCTCTGTAGTCCATCCTCTGCATTTATAACTCCTGGTGTGTCTTTAGTTTCCTTATCAGAACTTGAGGATTTACTTTGTGTCTCTTTAAAGCTTTTGGCAGGTTTTCTTGGAATGGAAACATACAAAGGAGCATCATCCTCTAAAATAAGAAAGTCATCTTCAGGCTCTGACTCTGTCACTTGAGGCTGGACTTTGGCCTGCAGCAAACCAGTGCTTGGAAGAGAAAGTACACATTATTTAATATACTTTTGGAATACAAGAATAATAATTAAGTAACAAACAATACATTTTTAATCAACTAATATATATATATATATATATATATATATATATATATATATATATATACACATACAGTACAGACCAAATGTTTGGACACACTTTCTCATTCAATGAGTGTCCTTTTTTTTCATGACTATTGACTGTAGATTCACACCCAGGCTGTGTAAGGGCTATTTGACCAACAATGAGAGTGATGGGTGCTGGGCCAGATGACCTGGCCTCCACAGTCACCGGACCTGAACCCAATCCAGATGGTTTTGGGGTGAGTTGGACCACAGAGTGAAGGCGAAAGGGCCAACAAATGCCAAGAGTGTGTGAAGCAGTATCAGAGCAAAAGGTGCTACTTTGAAGAACCCAGAATAAAAGACATATTTTCAGTTGTTACTTTTTTTTGTATGTACATAATTCCACATGAGTTAATTCATAGTTTTGATACCTTCAGTGTGAATCTACAATTTTCATAGTAATGAAAATAAAAAATTCTTTCAATAAAGAATTTTGGTCTGTACTGATGTGCATATGCATATATATATATATATATATATATATATATATATATATATATATATATATATGCACATGTTATCATTATAAAGCTTATTTTTTGTAGAATACATTTTCTAGTGAGAAAATGAACAATCACCGTTGAGGAAAAGTCAGTTTCAACAAATTAAAAAAAACTATTTTTATGTCAGTTTTGTTATCAGCTGCAACAAAATACAAAATCTGTCATCCACACTAATTATCAAAAAGCACATGTATTTATTTTGTCTCACCTTGCAGGTTTCGGTTGCCCGGCATCTCGCAGCTTCTGGAGAAAAGCAGTCATCTTTTCCCTGGTGGGAACACTTTCAGCTGGTTTCTCTGGGGCAGCTGGAGTTGCCTCAAATCTCTCTGGAGAGAGAGGTGGACATGAAGGTGTTGATGGTTTCGACCTGCAATATGGAGAAATTAAAGAATTCAACAATAAAAACAATAATACATTATAGGATACAAATTATGATGATATGTGCTACCTTGCTGGTTTTTTCTGTGTTGACATTTTATTGATGACAAAGGTTTTTGGAAGAGTCTCAAACATAGAATCATCACTTCTGCAGAAAGAAGGAACACATGATTCTAATTATGACCTCAGTACTAGATTGCAGTATCGCTTGAACATATTTTTGAAATGGCCTTACTCATCTTTCCTGATATATCTCCGTTTCTCAGAGGTCTGTCCAACAATCTCCAAATCTTGGTTGTTTTCTTCACAGTCAAAAAGAATTGGTGAGGCAGAGTTGTCCTCGTTCTTTTTTTGCTTGTTTTTGTGCTGTATTACATTTTGTTCTATTGGACTAGATGTTTTAACTGGTCCATGTCTCTTAAATGGAGTCTCTGAATCTGGAAAATAAGCATAAATACTAATAATAATAATCATCTTATAAAATAAAAGCATGTTTGTATTTTACATTATATTTGGCACAAGTGAATTTACCAATGGCAAGTTCAGGGCTAACAGAAGGATATGGTTTGCCTTCTTTGTCTCCATCCCCATCCTACATTTACAAAACAATAAGAATGACATCATTATACCATCAATAAAAGTCATTGTTTACCATCTGACGTACCATATCGCCCTCTACATGTTTCGGGATGTTTATCTCAGGTGACGGAGAAGGGAAGTCCTCAATTTTGGAATCTACAATTAAATAATCTCTTAATATGTACAATACGAAGACAATAGCACAACAAGACATATATAAACTTACCCAAGTCCTCAAACATCTTATCAACATTTTCCAAATCACCTTCTGCCCATTGACAGGGAACACTTAAAAAAACAATCGACATTAACTCCAAAAAGGCCACAGAGCTGATGAGTTAACCATCATAGTTACATGTAAAAGATATCAAGCGGTAGGAGCCATTATAATAATAGTTCAGCATCTTGGAACATACCTTGAATTAGTTGTGGGGAAAACGAGCTTCTTTTTGGGCCTTTTCTGTAAATAGAGAGATCTGACCAACAGCATATATAGCAGGACACCCATTATAAGTAACTCTATGTAAACTAAATATTCTTTCAAACACCGTTAGAAATTTACTAAAATGTTAATTCCAGCCAGGACTTACCAGGGTCGGAAAGTAATCATCCATCACCAGCCTTAGCTAACCGGCTAGCTACTATGCTGCGAGCGTAATATAAGTTTTCTCAATTAATAAAACGTTATGCACACTCCGTCTGCGGGATTTCATATGTTTTAGTTTTACCCGATGCAGAAAACGAGGCCATGAACATTAAAGTTTCTCATTGCAGTTGCTAAACATTAGTGCAACAATGGCATTGTTGACAAATTGCAAATAACCCGCGCAATGGTGGTCGCGACCATAAACATGTAAAGACTAGACGCCGCATGGGCCGCTGGGGCACGGGATGCGGCCGCCATCTTGGACCGGTCTCCTCCGGTAGTGCTGCTCGGCGCGATGCCTGACCACTGTGCGGCTGTCAAAATAGAATTACTTAAGTAAGATTGAACATTATTATGGGTTGCACTTTGTGAATAGAATATTACTGAAATGTATTTATGTCACCAGCGAAATCAGATACGGAATATCTGAATAGCAACACAAGCTAGCTCACAATTTCAGCAGGTTTGGTACATTATCAAAATAAGAGTTTTGTTGAAGAAAGGTTCAAAAACATTGAAAGGAAAGGAATAGGAAGAAGAAGTAAATGGGAAAAGTAGTACTTTTACTGCCACTAACTGCTTCTGCATCTCTATCATATATTAGTGACAGTGTGGTTCTGTCATATGTAGTGTATATAGACTCTATACACTAATATATGATGGAACCCTCTATCATCAGCAATGAAAACAGTTATTTTACTGAAGTATATCATAATGGGCAATTCTACTGTTTTTTTTAGTTACAGAAGGTGTAAAATGATACAATTGTATGAAATTAGTAAAATACATGAACTGTTCAAAAGGAGCAAACCCGTGGTTAATACAATATACAAGAATGAAAACAGAGGATGCATTTAACTTATTTGACATGCACTTTAAGCTTCATCATATTTATATTTGCACATTTCTTAAACTCACCCTCAAATATCAGTAAACCAGGCTAAACACTCAACCTAAAGCATTAGTGTAATCTTGCAGAGATTGAGTTTATTTGAGGCTTGTTTACATTCTTCCATGAGGTCAAAGCTCACTATAGCACTGAGGCATTCTTTAAAGTCTGGTCATGTAATGAAAAAATTCTCATTTCAAATATACTCAAATAAAAAACAAATAATCCATTTCTGTTTGTGGTTGGAATTAAAACAGATGATTTACTGGGGCAGCCTCAACAGTATAAAATTCTCTTTACAAAAACAACATTTACATATCTCATTTAAAAAGGGTTTTCTGCTTCTTTGCTATCTCCATAGGAGACATGTCGTCTGGATCTGTGCGGTTATAAAGCGGTTGTTTGAGGTGTCTCCAGACCACCAGAGCTTTTCGAACAGCATTCAGGAAGCAGCCCACAGAAAGAAGAGAAACTATAAGAGGAAAAACATTATTCTCTTTAAACATGTAAGATGTGTAGCTTCATCCTTTATCTTCCTATGTTTTCTTACCAATGAAAATGTCATTTCGAGATGTGATTTCTGGATCGAAATTTTTTGTGAAAACCCCAACCAGAGCCCATATGACAGAGGGGTAAATAGACACAATGTAACGGACATGCTTCTCCAACAACCAGTTTTCTAGGACAAACCTGCAACACAAATGATGTCATACTATATCCATTTTACTTTTGAGCAGTTAAAGAAACATATTTCAACTCACCATGTAACTATTACCACCAGCAGAATAGACAGAGTTGTTGTTGCAGCATCATTTTGGGACATGTTTGCCTCAGTGACCAGCACTATATTCAGGTTCACCAGAGATGCAATAGTTGTCCATGTTGCATATATAGCAATACCGTTCTGGACCTACAAAAATCATAAAAATGATGAAAACCTGTACAAAAAAATTATGGAAGTATTGGTCCCAAGACTAACCAGCACACGAATGAGATACAAATCAGCTCTGTGGTACTTATGCAGCCAGGCTCCGTAAGCATGCAGACCAATGCAGGAGAAGGCGATGACTGCATAATTAGTTATGGCAATGAAGATGAGGAAGATCAGCGCAGGAATCAACATGCTGAAAAAGCCAGAAATAGAGTTACAGGCAAAATAACTAAGCACTGTATGCATTATGTTGTCATATTACCCCCTGTCCCACAGAAAAAGCCATCCGACATTAAAGCCCAGATTTAAGCACAACATGAGGAAGAATCCATGTGGAAGAACTGCTGGGCTACAGTACACATAGCCATATGCATTCCTGATAATAAAGAGAACTGTTAATGGATGTGAATTTACACATTTGAAGTCAGCTCAGAAGTTTGCAAACTTACTTCCTAAAAAGCGTAGAGAGAACATAAACCAGCACTGCAGCCATAAATGCGTAAATGATCCCCCAGATTGCAAAAGTCCAGCCGCTCGGTGTGATATCTGTTGTGTACTCATCTGAAACGTTACCAGTGGACTGCAAAAATGGATCTAAAGAGAAACCAATTTGGTCAGATTACATACATCATGATAATAATGACACAGTTTTAAAGTTTACTTACATGTGCCAGTGGATGCAAAAGCAGTAAAAACCATAGTAATGATGAAGACAAGCAGTGTCACCACTATAGTTACCAGAAGACTAACATCGTGTTTCGCCATTATGGAAATGTATCAGGCCTGCTGAGTTAAATAACGGAGCACTTGATGTAGTATCCTAAGTGACAAAGTGGCTTCTGATTCCGAGGTGGGGCTTATGATTGATTAAAAAGAGTCAGTTGTGTAATTTTTACGACTCCAACACGTGCATCTCCTATCACAATACCATGTGAGGTTATTCTCGGTGTTATTTGATACGAGTGAATAGGCATCTGATGTTTCATAATGAATAGTAGAGGTTGTAAACTGGTTTGGTAACAGATAGTCTTGCCAAACAACCATCAAGATAGCTTTAGGTTGTAATCATGGAAACCTAGGATTATTCTGTGTGTTGCGCTCTTCTGTCTTACAGTTCTGTACCTTGTGATGCAACACTGATATGTTCCCACTATGGTATGAATTAAGGAACTTTTAATCTTAATCAAATCTAATCTAATTTTATACAGTAAAAAAAGGAGGGGATTTTTCTCAATCTGAAAGGTTTATTAAAAATGCAGACAATTACATCTGTTTACTTAAAATCATAACCATCAAACAGCATGGAAAAACAAGCACATTAAACAAATAATATGATAACAGTGTCAACAAACGGTGCGCCTGCAATTACACATCCAACGTAATGAACATACATGCGCATTACGGCCTGGAGACACTCAAGACGCTCAGTCCTACGTCATAGTGCTACGCCCCCTTAGAGCTACGGTGTGGGTATGACTCTTGAGGCACCTAACCACCGCCAGAGAGATCAGAGAGCCAATGCTCCAATCACGAGCGAGCTCCTCCTATAAATATCCCAGCCCAGGCCTGCACTCCCACTTTGAACTCAACTGAGATCAACTTGGACTTTGCCATGTCTCTGCCGTCATCTTCCCGTCCATAGACCCCTGCCTGCCGGCGTCGGACGAAAGAAATGCGGAAACTGCGCAGCGGGTCTACATCCCACGGCCGCTGTTTCTTCTGCCTTGGCTGGAGCCACTTGACTACCAGCGCTTCCTGCCAAGGGAGGAGAGGGAGCGCTGCGATGCATTCGTGGACACCGCAGCTGCCCACTCGATCTCCACGCAGGACGTGGAGTCCCCGGAGCCCCGTCTGGACTGGGGAGACTGCGACATGGAGGAGGACCACAGTGACAGGGAGGGTTCGCTGGTCACAGTCGATTAGGCCCTGTCATGGATTGAGGGGCAGGACAGCTTCCTGCTCTACTACATGCCACGGCTCTTCCACTCCGCTTCCCGACGGATGGAGATCCCTCCCCCGCCACAACCCACACAAGCGATGAAGGACTTCACTTCGGTGGGAGCTCCACACAGGGGACGTAAACGCCTGGAGCCCCATCTTCCACTACGGCACTCGTGATTGGCTCATACCCCTCGGCCTGTACTGCTCCGTACATGAGTTGTCTTGGTCCGAGGGCATACCAGAAATTGAGAAGCAGACCGCTTCTTCCCTCTGAGTGGGATAGGATGACGATGTTGCTGTTGGATCGCTGTTATGCCAATGCAGCTCAGGTTGTCGTGTTGGCCAGCAACATGGCCGCCAAGGCGCGTGAAAAGCCAACACGCTTCCATGAGGAGGCGCGCGGTGGGCTCCGTTCCGTTCTCGTCTCAGCAGTGGGAAACATTTGGATTCCCGGGGGAGGGTTTCACTCCTATCAGGCCAGAGCAGGGTGCCAGCACGCTCTGTCCTCGTGGTTACTGGTGCCTCACCCTCCCGGAGAGGTGTGAAGCGCAAGGGTCTGTGTGAGACCAGAGGGCAGGACGCTTCCTTGGGCAGGCCCTCTACCGTGGCGCGCACAGTTACTCACCGGGTCTCGTTGCCCTTTCGTCCGCCCCCCCCCTCTCTTCTGAGAGCACCGAGAGGGGGCGGGCTCCCAAGACAAGTGCTCTGGGTCCGGTGCTCCCTCTTACAGCTTTCTACCATGTTTGGAGAGAGGAGGGTCTTCTCTCCGATGCGTGGCTGAACAGAACGATGCGGAGGGGCTATGCCCTGCAGTTCGCACTCAGGCCACCCCAGTTCTAGGGCGTCCTCGCGGCGCACTCGAGGCTGCAAGGGTCAGCGGATGCGCGCCAGCAGAAGGTCTCCTCTCTTGGTCGAGCTCTGGCCCAACCCTGCCTTTCTCCCCAAGGTCATTACATCAGCTTATCGGTCTAGAGTAATTAGGATCAAGCCTTTCTTTCCGCCGCCTCATGCTTCACCTGAGGACGCGAGGCGGCACCTCCTATGCCTGGTCAGGATGTTGAGATACTATTTGAACATGAGGTTCCTCGTTCAGGCGTTCGGACTAGTTGTTTGTGTGCAATGGTCCCAAGAACAGATGCGCCCCACTTTCATCCCAACGTTTGGCACACTGGGTTGCACAGGCGCTTCGCATGGCGTACCGGGCACAGGGGCGAGCCCCCCCTACGGTGTTCGGGGCCCACTCCACACGGGGTGTCCAGTCTTATCTTTTGGACATATCAGGCAGTTCAGTCGCTCATTCTGTTTTGAGCGCTGTGGATAATTGACTGATGCGGTTGGGACCGGTCGGTGCTCTTGCTAGAGGTGGCCTCCGGTCTTGGGCTTAGCTTACGCTGTTCCCTTCAGCTCTTGTCAGAGGCGTCCTTGGTTTACAGCCTGCCCCTGGGTTCCTCCAGTGTTCTATGGGCATCCTTGTTAGGAGCGGCTCTAGTACTCTGTTTTTCCTTCTTCTGCCTTGAGTCAGTTCTTAGGTAGCAGGTGCTGTCCCCTCGCGTGCGTGTGGTCCCTGACTCCTGGGGTCTCATTGTGATGTCCCAGAAACCGGTCTGCAGCAGGTCCTGTGGTCTCAGCAGCAGTTTGCTCAGGTTCATATAGTCGTGCCACATGTCAAAGAAATCCGGTCCAGAGGAGCTCGTATATCCTGTATAATAGCTACATGTATGACGTTTACAGTAAAAACAACGTGTGAAAATCAGTTAAGTATTCATCGAGTTATATGCGCTGACACTTCTCAGCACCTGCTAAACAGATTCTACGTCATGGTGCTACGTCCCTTAGGACTTCGCTAGTGGGATATCACGTGACCCCCAGGTCACAGACGCCAGAGAGATCAAAATAATTTGCTCCAATCACCAGCCACCTTCCTCTATAAATGCCCCTGCACAAGGCCGCACCCCCTCTTTCACTCTGGCGCCGTTTGAGATCTACATTCGTTACCTGAGAAAGAAAGATGTCTTCTGATGCACGTCCGAGTTCCCCTTCGCCATCCGGCGTCGGACGTCGTCGTTGCTCGACCTGTCGGGGCAAGCTCCAACGCAAGGACCAGCACTCCAGCTGCTTCATGTGCCTGGGTGCGGGCCATGCGGCGTTGAGCGCCACCTGCGCCTCGTGTGTCGCTCTCCCCAGGGAGGAGAGTGAACGCAGGCGCGCGTTCTTCGCCGCTACAGCGCCCCGTCCGGACTCCTCTAAGGACGAGGAGTCTGAGATTGACTGGGCCCCCCTCGACATTCCACCTGTGCCCGCGGAGTGGGGTGACTGCGAGGACGGAGAGGTGTCGGAGGTCGGCTCTCTCCTCACGCTGGACGAGGTGGTGTCCAACCCGGAGCCGGACCGCTTCCCGCTGGACCACATGCCTGGGCTCTACGCCACGGCGGCGGCCATCATGGATGCCCCCCTGCCACCGCAACCGAACCAGAGGGTGGAGGACTTCACCTCTGGGTACGCAGCCCCTCGAGGGAGGAGGAGAGCCCAGCCCACGTTGTGCCCGCGTATGGACCCGATCGTCCATTACGCAACACGTGAGTGGCCAAAACCCCTAGCGGCCAAGAGGCCCGCTTTGGGGTATGGCATGTACTGCAACGTGCAGGACTGGTCCTGGACAGGCGGGGTCCCGGACATCGAGGACTCGGTTCGGGCGGCCCTGCACCCCTCCTCATCCGTGTGGCCCAGCACCAGACCTCTCCTTCCCTCCGAGCGGGATAGGATGTCTCTGGCTATGCATGACAGATGTTACGCCAATGCGGCTCAGGTCGTCGCGGTGGCGAACAACATGGCTTTCATCACCGGGGCCCTGGATAGGTCTCTCTCCTCTGACCAGGCACTCAGTGGAGACACCTTAGCCCAGGCGAGGACCACTTCAGCAGCGATCTTGCGCATGTGCCAAGCGCTAGCTGTCGATGGCGGCCGCTCTATGGCAGCAGCCCAGGTCGGGGCCAGACACCTCTGGCTGGGGGCGGTGAACCTCAGAGAGGCGGAGAAGAGGCAGCTGCTGGACCTGCCCATCTCCCAGACGTCGCTCTTCGGTCCGGAGATGCAGACGCTGATGACGAGGCTGGACAGCGCGGCTAAGGACTCGGCTAGCCTAGCAAAACACCTAGCTACGAGACGCGAGGCCCGCCCACCAGCGCGGAGCCGAGACAGAGGCAGGGAGCGCTCGCCTGGCAAGCGCCCCGGACCATATCCACGCTCCGTGGTCCATCGTTCCCCAGCGGCGAGACCCCCGGGCCCAGACAGGCACACGGGAGGTTCGCGGGACCAACACACCCCATCGACGGCCTCCCTACGGTAGAGGAGGTCGGGGTGGTAAAAACTCTTTCAATAAAGGCCGTCCGGCATTTCACCAGTACTCGCTGTCTGAGTCTCATTTGGGGGTATGTAACATGTCAAATGATTTGAATTCTGTTTGTGTTACTTCTCGAGCATATAACGTGGCTCCGCCAGGCCTGCAGCCCCCAGAGAAGGGCGTGCAGCGCGCTGTGCAGACCACGAGCTCCGATTCACGGGTTCATGTTTTGCCCTCCCGGAGAGAGGGCAGGCGGAGGGATCTGATAAGTGCTAATGTGTGTGCTCCGGGCGCTAGCGTGTTAGCATCTCTGAGCTACAAGGCTAACACGGGGTTTCCCAATCCAGGGGCTCTCCCCCCCCTCCATGAGGCAAGAGCCAAGGGGGGGCGCAGCAGCCGTGTCACGCGTGATGAGCAGAGCTACATTGCTAACACGGGGTTTCCTAATCCAGGGGCTCTTCCCCCCCTCCATGAGGCAAGAGCCAAGGGGGGGCGCAGCAGCCGTGTCACGCGTGATGAGCAGAGCTACAATGCTAACACGGGGTTTCCCGATGCAGGGGCTCGCCCCCCCCTCCATGAGGCAAGAGCCAGGGGGGGGCGCAGCAGCAGCCGGGTCACGTGTGGTGAGCAGTCCCGTACTTATGACGTCGGACCTGCAGAACACGTGACCGCCCTCGGCGCTCACGGTGTGACGCAGGGGCCCCCCCGGCCCTTTCAGCCACCCCCCCTCCCTGCTAGGAACACCAGGAGGGGGCGGGGCCATGACGTCTCGTGTTCCAGCTCCCGTTCCGCCCCTCACAGATTTCTACGACATCTGGAAGGAGCAGGGCTTACTGTCAGATGTTTGGCTGGAGAAAACTCTGCGCAGAGGTTACGCTCTGCAATTTTTCCGAAAGCCACCACCATTCCGAGGCGTACGGGCAGTACGCTCTCAGGTACGGGGATCGACAGAGGCACTGGAAGCAGAGGTCTCCTCCCTGCTGAGTCGAGGCGCAGCAGTGGAGGTAGACCCGCAGGACGCCACCAGGGGGCTGTACTCCCCTTACTTTCTGGTGCCAAAGAAATCAGGCGGGGTGCGTCCCATTCTGGATCTGCGCGTGTTAAACGAGTGCATTTCCAAACGGCAGTTTCGGATGCTGTCCACAAGGCAGCTCCTCGAGTGTGTCAGGGAAGGAGACTGGATGACATCCATAGACCTGACAGACGCATACTTCCACGTACCCATAGTGCCAGAACACAGGAGATTTCTGCGCTTCGCAGTGGGAGAGAGGAATTACGAGTACTGCCGTCTCCCTTTCGGGTACGCTCTCGCGCCTCGCACTTTTTCCAAATGTGTGGAAGCGGCTCTGGAGCCGATCAGACGTGCCGGGGTAAGAATATTGACCTATATAGACGATTGGTTAATACTGGCCCCATCCAGGGAAGTGGCCGTGAGCCACACGCAATGGGTCTTGTCCCACATACAGCGTCTGGGCTTTGTGGTGAACAGGGAGAAGAGCAAGCTGCAGCCAGCCCAACGCATGATTTACCTCGGTCTGCAGCTAGACTCTGTGATATTCCGTGCTGCATTGTCCGTGGACAGACGGACGAATATTACCCGTCTGGCCCGGGAGGTTCTGGCGGGCCCCAGAGTTCCCGCTCGGCGCCTCAGGTCCCTGCTGGGGATGATGGCAGCGGCTCATGCTGTGGTGCGGCTAGGCCTGCTCCACATGAGAAATTTTCAGAGGTGGTTCTCGCGCCTCAGGCTTCACCCCTCCCGGGACGGGGGGAGGCTGATCTGGGTTCCCCAAGGGGCAGCATCGGACATCAGGTTCTGGCTCACTCCGGGTCTACTGCGGGACGGAGTGACTCTGGCCTGCGCTGTGTCTCACGCCGAGGTGTTCACGGACGCGTCGCTCGAAGGATGGGGCGGGGTCCTCGGCCAGAGCTCTGTAGGAGGCTGCTGGTCGGACTCAGCCCGTCACATCAACCTGCTGGAGATGGAGGCAGTGCACAGAGTACTGCTGCACTTTGCCCCTCAGCTGCAGGGGAGACACGTGATGGTGCGCTCAGACAACACCACAGTGGTCTCCTATCTGAACAGGCAGGGGGGCACCAGGTCCCCCGCTCTCCATCGCATGGCGACGGTGACGCTGCTGTGGGCGGCGCTTCACCTCCTGTCTCTCAGGGCGCGCCACGTCCCGGGGGTCCGGAACGTGGGAGCCGACAGGATGTCCAGGGGGGGCCCACTCCAGGACGAGTGGGGCCTGGCCCCACGGGTAGCCGCGGAGATCTGGCGGAGGTTCGGTCGTCCAGTAGTCGACCTTTTCGCCAGTGCAGAGAACGCACAGTGCCCGTCCTGGTTCGCCTTAAGGGCCGCGGACGAGCCGCCTTTAGGCGTGGACGCTCTGGCTCATTACCCATGGCCAGGCGGCCTGTTGTACGCTTTTCCACCGGTGCGTCTCCTGCCGGTCCTACTGCGGAGGATCGAACAGGAGAGGAGGTCGGTGATTCTGGTGGCTCCGGACAGCCCGCATGCCCGGTGGTTCCCCTTCCTGAGGGGCATGGCGGTGATGGAGCCCTGGGCCCTCCCGGACGAGCCGGGGGCTCTAGTCCAGGGGGCAGGAGCCCTGTTTTCACGTCCGATAATCGGCCGCAGGCTCTGGGTTTGGAGGTTGAGAGGCGGAGCCTCGTAGATCTGGGTCTTCCCCCTGCGGTGGTGGAGACAATTCAGGGAGCGAGGGCGCCGTCCACCGTGAGGGCCTACGCCACGAGGTGGAGGCTATTCAGTGCCTGGTGCGATTCCCGTTCCTGGGATCCCAGGTTTTGCCCGCTGGAGGGGGTCCTGGGATTCCTACAGGAGCTTTTCGACAAGGGGAGGGCTGTCGCTACCTTGGCGGTGTTTGCGGCAGCCATTACTTCAGGTCACGACGGGTTCGGGGGGTTCACAGCCCGCTCTCACCCGTTGATTAAACGTTTTCTGCGGGGGGCGCGCAGGAGGAGGCCCCCGCTCCAGAGAACGCCTCCGGTTTGGGACCTCAGGGTGGTCCTTAGGGGGCTGTCGGGTTCGCCTTTTGAACCGGCGGCGGAGGCGAGTCCCGATTGTATCGCTTTTAAGACGGCCCTCTTGCTGGCGTTGGCGTCTGCAAAAAGGGCGGGCGATTTGTGTGCGCTCTCAGTCCATGCGTCGTGCCTGTCCTTTGGAGAGGACGACGGCATGGTGGAGTTGTGGCCCAATCCGGCTTTTCTCCCCAAGGTCATCACGTCGGCCTTTAGGTCGAGAGTGATCAGGATTAGGGCTTTCCACCCGCCGCCGCATGCCTCCCCCGAGGAGGAGCGGCAGCACCTTCTGTGTCCTATCAGAATGCTGAGGCATTACCTGGCCATGACGTCGTCATTCAGGTCGGGTGATCAGCTGTTTGTGTGTCTGGGCCCCAAGAACAGGGGCGCCCCGCTGTCGGCTCAGCGGCTGGCGCATTGGGTCGCCACGGCGGTGCGACGGGCGTATCAGGCGCAGGGCCTGGCCCCCCCGGTGGGTTTCAGGTCGCATTCCACGCGTGGGATGGCGGCCTCTACGGCCCTTCTCAGGGGGGCGTCGGTCGAGGACGTTTGCCGTGCGGCTTCTTGGGCGTCGTCCTCCTCTTTCGTCCGGTCTTATCTTTCGGATGTGTCGGACCGGTCGGTGGCCCATTCCGTGCTGAGTGCAGCGGATTGAGTTGGACCGTTGGGTCCCTCCCCTGAGGAGTGGGCCTTCGGTCTATTTTTCCGCCCTGGTGCAGGAGCTCTTGGGAGAGGCATCCTACAGGTGCGGTACATATATGTGTGTTTGATCGGTCTGGTAGTCTACATCAGGAGCTCTTGGGAGAGGCGTCCTGTGACTACGGTTGACCTACGATTGGTGTTACGTGGGGGCGTCCTTGGTAGGAGTGGCCCGGTAACACGCTTTGTTTCTTCTGCCCTGAGTCCTCTCACGGTGTGAGGGTCTTGCTCGGGCGGAGCTCCAATCACCCTTCGCTGGCCTGCTGGGAGTACATGTTCCTACGGCCTCCGCGTTGTGTCCCACTAGCGAAGTCCTAAGGGACGTAGCACCATGACGTAGAATTAATAGTTACCTAATGTAACTTAAGTTCTACGAATAGGTGCGTAGTCCCTTAGCTACGAGCCCATCAGGCCAGCCCGGCTTGGCAGAGTTCAAGAGGGGGTGCGGCCTTGTGCAGGGGCATTTATAGAGGAAGGTGGCTGGTGATTGGAGCAAATTATTTTGATCTCTCTGGCGTCTGTGACCTGGGGGTCACGTGATATCCCACTAGCGAAGTCCTAAGGGACTACGCACCTATTCGTAGAACTTAAGTTACATTAGGTAACTATTAATTACGCTGAGAGGAGAAGGTGACCGGTCCAAGAGGGCGGCCTCACGGCAGTAGCGGTAGATGTGGCATCTACACTTTATATGCCTATTGTCGGGACCGGGAGGTGTAAGATTTTCCCGCAGTATTGGCTGATTCTTCTAAGAAGCTAAAACTCTGAAACATTGTTCACAAACAAAGTCATATTTCTCCCATTTAATCAGATAGTCTTTTTAAAAGTTCTCGTCTAAATATTATACATTTGCAGGTAATAGTTTTCTAATCATGAGTTCTCAGTCAAAGCAAAGGGTTTAATGTATTTCACTCGTTTGCTCATTTTCTCTGTTTTGTTATACCTCTAGTGGTAAAATTTGTGTAAATCAGCTTCATGGTAAGTGAATAGAACCAAAACATAATTGAATCAATCAAAATTGTAATCATTAAATGTAATTAGTTCAGAGATGAGAGGTTTAATTTAAAACAAGGCTGTAGTTAAGAACTCAACAAGTACCAGCATCTTGTCAGTTTGTTATAATTTGTTCAAATATATAGTGCAATCTTTCAACTTTTCTCTGTGTGAGGTATTCAAATAAATATTTTCTTGTTCTTCTGAGCGATCTCCGTTGGCTCCATTGCTTCAAAGTTGACGCCTCTGTAGAGGGGCCGTTTTATGTGTTTCCATATCACCAAAACAATACGTAGGACAAAGAGCACAGAGGCTGTTGCCAGAAGAGCCACTGCAAGAAGAGGTTTAGTTTAGTTCAGATTGCACTGTTTTACATGCATACAACTACAGGTAGTAAAGGTAGATACTATGGATCTCATAAGAATAAAGTCTGAATGGTGAGGTAACAGAATTTAAATCATTTCCATTACACAAGTATTTTTTCATATGGACATTGTGAAATGCATTTATGCTCAATTATAGACTTAAACTTAGCTAACCACTTTAAACCTGAATTGCAGCTTTGAGGTTAAATTGTAAGAAGTCAAAAGTAAAATATAAGAATAAGGCCTATAAATAAAACTTTTAAAAATAATATTAAAATGAATAACAGATAGCCAAACAAAATACTTAGTAAAATATACTTAGTTACTTGCCACTTCTGCCTGCAACATGCAGCCTTAACTAAATAACTTACCAATAAAGATTCCATTGCGGTTAGGTGATTCTGGAGTATAGTTTTTGAGTAGGTTCCCAGTAAGTGCCCAAATAACAACTGGATACACAATTAGGATGTATCGAACATGTTTGTCAAGCACGGAATTTTCTAAAATAAACCTTTAAAAGATTGCACACAGGTTATTATTTGGGATATAGTCAAATTCAATATCAATCAATTTGTATAAGAGGACTAACACGTTACCATACAAGCAGGACCGCAGCCAGGATTGAGTAAGATACGGTGGCAGCATCTGTTGGATCCATGTTGACCTCATATGTTAGAACAATGGTCAGGTTGATGAGTGTTGCAATGGTTGTCCAGGTAGTGTAAATCATGACACCATTTTGAACCTGAAAACAGCTTCACATTGCATTACCAGTTTTAAAACAGTATCATAGCATGTTCATACTTACTATTATCCTGTAATACCACAGATCTATGTTGTGGTATTTTTTCAGCCAGGGTCCATAAATATGAATGCCGTGGCAAATAAAAAATATCATGGAATAGTTTGTGCATATGACAAGCACAAGGAACACCATTGCAACAATCATGTTTCTGTAAGAGATCACCAAATATCTCTGTATTATTGTGTATAATTGTGTAGTTTTTGCATTTGTTTTGACCTTACCCTTGATCCCAAACAATCAACCATCCAATGTTAAAGGATAGATTGAGGCACCAGCTAACAAAGAAACCATAGGGCAACACAGGGGGGCTGCAGTAGAGATAGCCATATCCGTTTCTAAAATACACATAGGCACATGTTATTTTGTGCATTGGACTTTTAACAATAGTTTAATTTCTTCTCACGTTCTGCAAAGTCCAGAGACAATGTAGATTACAAGTGCAGTCAACCACACATAGATGACGCTCCAGATGTTGAAAGTCCACCCAGTCGGTGTAATCTGAGTGTCAAATACTGCAGAGACGTTGGCTGTGGTTGTTGTATAGGGACCTCCATGTAAACAGGAAAACAACAACAAAATATGGTTTACAATCAATAGCTTCTTTATGACAATAAATTTGCATTTAAATTTACCCAATCCCACTACAGACAGTCCATTGAAAGCCAAACTTATTAAATATCCAGCGAGTGAAATCAATATAGCTGCCAGACGTCCACCATTGTGCTCTCCCATTGTGGCTATGTGAAAAAGTACAAAACAATTTAAAGCGTTTGCATTCTGTGGTAAACATTTGATTTTCATTCTATCCATACATGACTTACACACATGCTGCTGGATTCAATAATGATAAATTGAAAGAAACCTACCCTACAACGCTCTTCCTTGTGGTAAAGTACAGAGTGTGGCCTGACAGTTTTATAGAAATACAAGGGGCGTAACAGACAGGTTTTATGGTGCTTGTAATCCTCTCGTGCACCTCTTATCTTACATATTAGTGCCACATGGCTGTAACTCATGAACTGCTAATGGTTTGACGAGTACTCCTATAAAGATGAACTAGTCGTTGGGGTTAAAGTTTGCCAAAATCAGACATATTCCAAAATATTCTATTCTCCACGGATATGAATGACAAAAACATTTTCTCCAAAGCAACATCAAAGCAGCATCTACAAAAGTGTTAATATAGCTTGAACTACGGCACATTGTCATTATAATTGTTAGGGCATTTGAGCCTATTTGTGTTTTTTCTGGAAAAAATCAAAACAAAATTATGTGTTATTTTGCTTTCACTTTACAGTTATCTGATACTTTGTTGTGGTCTCTCCTGTGACAAATGTGCAAAAGTCTAATTTATAATAACGCTTTCACAAGGATATGTACCTAAGTTGTAGTTATGTTTTGTTTTGTTGTCTGTTCATTTTCCCTGTTTTTGCTCAGTTACAGCAATGAAAACAGAGATCTTTTACTGAAATATATCATAATGGGCAACTCTACTGGTGTTTTAGTTACAGAATGTGTAAAAAATGATACAATTGTATAAAATTAGTAAAATACATGAACTGTTCAAAAGGAGCAATCTTTAATAAACCCGTGGATAATACAATATACAAGAATGAACACAGAGGATACACATGCACTTTAAGCTTTATCATATTTATATTTGCACATTTCTTAAACGCACCCTCAAATATCAGTAAACCAGGTTAAACACTCAACCTAAAGCATTAGTGTAATCTTGCAGAGATTGAGTTTCTTTGAGGCTTGTTTACATTCTTCCATGAGGTCAAAGCTCACTATAGCACTGAGGCATTCTTTAAAGTCTGGTCATGTACTGAAAAATGTATCACAGATATATCACATAATTATCAAATGAAAAATGTCTCAGTTCAAATATACTCAAATACAAAACAAAATAATCAATTTCTGTTTGTGGTTGGAATTAAAACAGATGATTTACTGGGGCAGCCTCAACAGTATAAAATCCTCTTTACAAAAACAACATTTACATATCTCATTTAAATATGTTTTTCAGCGGCACGGTGGCTGAGTGGATAGCACTCTCGCCTCTCAGCAAGAACGTCCTGGGTTCGAATCCCGGTCGGACCAGGGCCTTTCTGAGTGGAGTTTGCATGTTCTCCCCGTGTCTGCGTAGGTTTCCTCCGGGTACTCCGGTTTCCCCTACCACTAAAAATATGTCCAATAGGCATGTCTGGCATGCGCCTCCTGTACTGGCGACCCCCGCTCCCATCTCTGTGTGGAGTAAAAGATAAATGCCCATAATTAACAATTGTAAACCACTTTGAGAAGGCGGTATATAAATAAAGATTACTTACTACTTACTACTACTACTTCTGCTTCTTTGCTATCTCCATAGGAGACATGTCGTCTGGATCTGTGCGGTTATAAAGCGGTTGTTTGAGGTGTCTCCAGACCACCAGAGCTTTTCGAACAGCATTCAGGAGGCAGCCCACAGACAGAAGAGAAACCATAAGAGGAAAAACATTATTCTCTTTGATCATGTAAGATGTGTAGCTTCATCCTTTATCTTCCTATGTTTTCTTACCAATGAAAATGTCATTTCGAGATGTGATTTCTGGATCAAAAATTTTTGTGAAAACCCCAACCAGTCCATATATGACAGTGGGGTAAATAGACACAATGTAACGGACATGCTTCTCCAACAACCAGTTTTCTAGGACAAACCTGCAACACAAATGATGTCATATTATATCCATTTTACTATTGAGCAGTTAAAGAAACATATTTCAACTTACCATGTAACTATTACCACCAGCAGAATAGACAGAGTTGTTGTTGCAGCATCATTTTGGGACATGTTTGCCTCAGTGACCAGCACTATATTCAGGTTCACCAGAGATGCAATAGTTGTCCATGTTGCATATATAGCAATACCGTTCTGGACCTATAAAAATCATAAATATGATGAAAACCTGTACAAAAAAATTATGGAGGTATTGGTCCCAAGACTAACCAGCACACGAATGCGATACGAATCAGCTCTGTGGTACTTATGCAGCCAGGCTCCGTAAGCATGCAGACCAATGCAGGAGAAGGCAATGACTGCATAATTAGTTATGGCAATGAAGATGAGGAAGAAGAAAAAGCCAGAAATAGAGTTACAGGCAAAATAACTAAGCACTGTATGCATTATGTCGTCATATTACCGCCTGTTCAATAGAAAAAGTCATCCGACATTAAAGCCCAGATTTAAGCACAACATGAGGAAGAATCCACGTGGAAGAACTGCTAGGCTACAGTACACATAGCCATATGCATTCCTGATAATAAAGAGAACTGTTAATGGATGTGAATTTACACATTTGAAGTCAGCTCAGAAGTTTGCAAACTTACTTCCTAAAAAGCGTAGAGAGAACATAAACCAGCACTGCAGCCATCAATCCGTATATGATCCCCCAGATTGCAAAAGTCCAGTTGCTCGGTGTGATATCTGTTGTGTAGTCTACTGAAATGTTACCAGTGGACTGCAAAAATGGATCTAAAGAGAAACCAATTTGGTCAGATTACATACATCATGATAATAATGACACAGTTTAAACGTTTACTTACCTCTGCCAGCCAAAGCAAAATTAGAAAAAACCATAGTAATGATGAAGACAAGCAGTGTCACCACTATAGTTACCAGAAGACTAACATCGTGTTTTGCCATTATGGAAATGTATCAGGCCTGCTGAGTTAAATAACGGAGCACTTGATGTAGTATCTTAAGTGACAAAGGGGCTTCTGATTCCGAGGCGGGCCTTACAATTGATTAAATAGTCACTTGTGTAATTTTTACGATTCCAACGTTTGCATTTATAGGTATAGGTTACACCTAACCTACTGTATACATGGTAAGTATTGTGATAGGAGATGCACGTGTTGGAGTCGTATACATGGTATACATGGATTTATTTCGTCATATGCATTATAAAATAAAACCCATAGACCTATAATTATCCAAAATAATAATAGTCATATTGCCACAAAACCAACTTTACTCAGCAATAGGCAACTTTGTTTTAAACTGAAGGGGACGCTGGTCTGACCCATAGACTGTATATAGTCTGACCAGACCTGCCTGGTCTTCCATAAGTGTGTGCGCTTTGTGTTTGTGGCTCCACGCACACACTGCTGCTGGTGTAGTGGTGCTGAGACCGCGGCAAACCGATTTCACGGTCTGCAGGGTGCTGTTGGTCCGAGGCAAGCCCTGTTCTTTATCAAACGCAGCTTCAAACTTCTCAATCAATCAAATTTTATGTATAAAGCGCTTTTCATACAAGATGCAACACAAAGTGCTTAACAGTTTGGTTAAAAACAAACCCGCCGGCCCATGACCCAACAGACTCACCCACCTCAAACCACACACGCAAATAAACACACACAAACGAACACACGCCTTCTCACACACCCACACACACACACGCGCTCACATGCACACTCACACTCACACACACACCAAAAAAACCGTAAAACCATGAAGAGAGAGACTTGGCAGGGTCCAGATGCAACCAGCTGAAAAAGCGTCATCCAAGGAACCGTCTGTGTCCGGCGCTTCTCCCGCATTCGCGGACAGTGTACCTCATGGTCACTGACAGAGAATGAAGGCAGAAAAGAGTTGTGTGTGCGCTGAGAAAAGCACTGCGCATGCGCGCAGCTTAGAGGGAACTTAGAGGGAACTTAGCTTGGTTGTAAACTGGTTTGGTAACAGTTATTATAATAGTCTTGCCAAACGACCCTTAGGATAGCTTTAGGTGGAAACCTAGGATTTTTCTGTGTGTTGCGCTCTTCTGTCCTACTGCTCTGTACCTTGTGATGCAACACTGAAATGTCTCCACTATGTTATTGTGAGGATTAGATAGCTATTTGGCCTACTTGCAGGACAACTGCAAGACTATACAAGGACTCTGATTGTGTATCCATGCTATGACTATGTTGGCGCACCACGATCCGTCTCTGTCTGGTTCTTAATCAAATCTAATCTAATTGTATACACTATGAAAAAGGAGGGGATTTTTCTCAATCTGAAAGGTTTATTAAAAATGCAAACAATTACATCTGTTTACTTAAAATCATAACAAACAGCATGGAAAAACAAGCACATTAAACACATAATATGATAACAGTGCCAACAAACGGTGAACCTGCAATTACACATCCAAAGTAATGAACATACATGCGCATTATGGCCTGGAGACATTCAAGACGCTCGGTTCTTTGCGGCGGTCCTCGGAATGTATGCTCAATGACGCCTGTTTCGCACGTCCTGTCGTTGCAGCTCGGGGCAGTACTTGCGCGTGTGGGCCTGGTCCCCCGTGGCCTCGCATATCGGGCAGGTGTAGCTCCACAAGATGGGACACAGGACCCTCCCGTCGCCTGCTTTCAGCTTGTGCGAACGGTACACCCTGGCAGTCTCTCCGTTTTGTTTGCAGAAGTGGCAGAAGTCAGGGCTCCCGTTCAGGCTGTTGTCCGAGAGGCTGCTTAGGGAGCTGGTGCTGTCCCCTCGCGTGCGTGTGGTCCCTGGCTCCTGGGGTTTCATTGGGATGTCCCAGAAACCAGTCTGCGGTAGGTCCTGTGGTCTCAGCAGCAGTTTGCTCAGGTTCATGTAGTCGTGCCACATGTCAAAGAAATCCGGTCCAGAGGAGCTCTGGCCAGGAAGGACGCGTCTCTGTGTAGATGCCATTCTTGGATTCCGAGTGCGCTATAGATTTGACTGGTTGAGGCCCATTTTATACCCAGCATCATTGGCCCAAATGTATCAAAGTGTATAGTTCTGTAATGGTGGCACGGGGGTCATCCAGGTGCGCTAACAAACTTTTCATCTCTTTGTGTCGGCCTGCGCCTCTGTGAATCATTAGGTTTTCACTTATAAAACAGGTCTAAAATCGATTAGGCTTATTCCATGGTTTTGCTAACTATTTCAAGTGTTTTACAAGTCTAAACATGAATAAGAACGGTTCAAATCTATTTATTTCTAACTCGCGGGACATGGCGCCAGACCATCAGACAAATTGGTGACCCCTGAATGACATGGTGCAGATGGCCCAATAACACCCAAATAAGACATGCAACAAAGTCACAGATTATTTGATTGACAGCAGAGTGGCATGTCAAGTTGTTGACATGAACGCAGAGACTTCAGCGTTAATGACACACATAGACATGTGTTGTCATAAAGGCTATTGACAGTCTATGCTGGCTTTATATATCATTTGTTTTGACATATAACACGAGATTTCGCGGGACATGGCGCCAGAGCATGATGACAAACTGGTGACAGCTGGATGACCGCTGGATGACGCGGTGCAGGTGCAGGTGGGCCATTATCACTCCTAAAAGATGTGCAACAAAGTCACCGATTATTTGATTGACAGCAGAGTGGCATGCTGAGTTGTTGTATAGCGACGTATGCGTTTGACACTAATGCTAAACTTGGTGGTGCAGTCATACAAATACCTTGGAGTCCACCTGGACCACAGACTGGACTGGTCAGCTCAGGCCAATGCTGTCTATAAGAAAGGTAGGAGCAGATTTTTCTTCCTGAGATGACCGATGTCATCTGCTGGTGCTATGAGACTTGGGTGGCATCTCTGACTGCCACCCCCCTGACCCAGAAATGGATTAAAGGGAAGAAAATAGATGGATGGATGGATGGATGGAGATGACCGATGTCCTTTGATGTGAGAATACAGAATTAAATCGCCTTCTCATAGATTCGATTGTGAACACTTTGAAAAGAAAGGAAACAGTGATCAAAGCGTTAATGACACATAAGACATGTTTTGTATAGGCTATTGGCGGTGTAATTTGTGTTGGCTTCGTAAATAATATGTTTTGACATAGTCTCAGGGTCTAGGTCTAAAGGAGAAACCGTATAAATACAACGCACGTTTAAAAGCTTGTACGAAAACATAACGTTACAGCAGAGTGTGTATTTGGCCCATAGATCTATTATATATGATATGTTAAATTCGGCCATGTGGAGGCAGTCATTGTGCTCCGTGTCTCTGAATGATGGAAATGCGTGGGTGTTGTGCGCACGGATGAAGTGCGCCAGTAGTGCGTATTTGTGAACACGCATGCGCAAAGCATTACCGGCGACGGCTATAAACGGTGGCCTAGCACAAGAAGCGGATTAAGAGGCCCAATTTAACAGGTTAGTTCACAATACACCCGTTTTTCTGACTCGGTGAGTTGAAGTAACAATAAAGTTAAGTGCGTCGAATAGTTTTGTCGTGGGCAGCTTTGTGTTTCTCTCGCTTCTTTCCGCAGCAGATGAAGCTAGTAGCATTAGCTAGGTTAGCTACTACGTATTAGCTTCGGCATTCACTGTATGTGGAGCATGGGCTGATAGTCATCCTACTTTCTTCGTTCCATGACGTCTTTTAAGTTTGAACAAAACAAATGTGATGTTCAACGTCCCGAACCACGAAGTCATTGACAGTTGACAACTTCATATTATATAACTTCATATAAGTAAATGGCAAGCTGCAAATATCTCTATTTGGTTCTTTAAACACTGCATCATTAACATATCGTCAATGCTACACCCTGCTGTAACGGTATTTTGGTTTTCATTGTGATTTCTGACGTCTCTGCTCTCATCTCTCTGCTTCTGGCATAGGCTGGGGCCACTTTTGTTATTCACAAGCTTAATTTGCACGTTATCATTTTAGACTACACCATGAGCCAGGGTAAAGACAATGCAAGACTCAAAAGCTACAAGAACAAGTCCCTCAACACAGATGAAATGCGAAGGAGGAGAGAAGAGGAAGGACTACAGCTTCGGAAGCAGAAAAAAGATGAACAGGTCAGTAATAAGCAGGCCTTGGATGTTGACCAAAGATAGACTCGCACATCACTTATAATATTTATACTTTTCAGCTTTTTAAGAGAAGAAATGTTGCCACAGTGGAGGACGATGGCATCTTTGAGGAGGATGGCATGGCTGACAGTGGCTACCTAGAGTCCCAGGCCAACAACTTGGACCCACTTTCGGTCACAAGAAAAACATTTACTAGAAATATTCTTTGTTATTCTCACTTAACTGATTAGGCTTTCTTCTTGTGTGTGAATAGGGTGGGGTGATATCTGAAGATATGATTCAAATGATCTTCTCCACTTCTCCTGAGCATCAACTCATAGGTACCCAGCGATTTCGGAAGCTCTTGTCCAAAGGTAATGACAACTTTTATCAAACACGTTTTCTATAAAAATAACATTCTTCTATTAACAATACCGCACACTACAGTGTGTGTCTTAAAGTAATGTACTGCAGTACTTTAGTAATTATTCACAGGTGTCTATGGACTGGAAAAGAGCGGACAGTGTTTGGTGACGTCACCCATAGTGTTTAGCTTTTCCTAGAAGAAAGTAATAATAATATTTCTGTCAGAGGAAACACTATTCCTATTACGCTATTATAAAAGTTAATGTTGAGTTTAAACCCAAAAATATTAAGCCCACAATGTTGAGTGACATAAACGATTACTGTGTAGGATAAGATTACAGTTAAATCAAAGTGAAAGCGAAAGCAACATTTTGAGCAAATCAACAAATGTGTGGATCAGGATCCGTGTTCTACACATGCTGATTACTTTTTTTGTTTTTCAACAGAACCAAATCCGCCTATTGATGAAGTAATTGCAACTCCTGGTGTGGTTGAGCAATTTGTTGAATTCCTAAAAAGAAAAGAGAACTGTACATTGCAGGTATTACTCACTACATACAATTTTCATATATAAAGTGGTTTACAAAGGTGCCTTTTATTTTTTAAGTTTGAAGCCGCATGGGTTTTGACCAACATTGCATCTGGTACGTCGCATCAAACACGAGTGGTGATTCAGGCGGGAGCTGTGCCCATCTTTATAGAAATGCTAAGCTCGGACTTTGAAGATGTACAAGAGCAGGTACGGCAGCTTTTCGCACCAATCCTATTAACATGATTCTTTGTAAAGCTTTGTTTATAACTCCTTTTGTCTCAGGCTGTTTGGGCCTTAGGAAACATAGCAGGTGACAGTACAGAGTGCAGAGACTTTGTAATTGACTGCAACATCCTGCCTTCACTTGGGCAGTAAGTACAAACAAGATTCATTTGGCTCATTCTCTTCACAGTATCTATTAAACTAAAATTAACTCTCCTATGTTCTCCCGTAACACAAATTATTGTTTACAGATTATTGGCCAAACAGAATCGTCTAACAATGATGAGAAATGCTGTGTGGGCGCTCTCAAACCTCTGCCGGGGCAAGAATCCACCTCCAGATTTTTCAAAGGTTTGTGGTCAAGTTAAACCCTCTTAAGAATAATGTTTTATTCAAAGTGTGTCACTATCACTGACACACTTTGAATGGCTTTTGTTTTGGCGTTATTTCCCATTCCACATAAATCTGTAAGTCATTTTTTTCCATTTAATGTTCAGTATGGAGGGGAAAACATCAAAATGGCATTCAAAACCACATTCCGGATGGCAGATCGGCTTTACGCATTTTATTTTTATTTTATTTTCTCAGGTCTCTCCGTGTCTCAGTGTACTTTCCTGGTTGCTGTTTGTCAACGACACAGACATCCTGGCTGACGCCTGCTGGGCACTCTCTTATCTTTCGGATGGTCCCAATGATAAAATTCAAGCAGTCATTGACTCTGGAGTTTGTTGTAGGCTAGTGGAGTTACTTATGTAAGCCTGACTCGACTCTAAATGTTTGAGATGAAAATCATTTTTATGTCTTATGGAGTATTTTTTTCAATTATTTTAGGCACTCTGACTATAAAGTAGTATCTCCAGCACTGCGGGCAGTTGGAAACATAGTAACAGGAGATGATTTGCAGACACAGGTAACAGAAAATGTGAAACAGTTTGTCATTGTTTTAATACAGATTTTAATGTTTTAATTTCCTTTTTACAGGTCATACTGAATTGTTCAGCACTAAAAGCGCTTCTTCATCTTCTGAACAGTCCAAAGGAGTCTATCAAAAAGGAGGCTTGTTGGACAATCTCCAATATTACTGCTGGAAACCGTGCTCAAATACAGGTTTGTTTTTCTTGCATTTCACCTGACAATTCTTTCACTGGCATATATTTGAAGTAGTGTAACATATGTACATGTTTAATTTGTGTTTTTTTCCCCCAGATGGTTATAGACGCAGGGCTACTATCTCCTCTTATTACAATTCTGCAAGTTGCAGAGTTTCGTACGCGAAAGGAGGCTGCCTGGGCCATCACTAACGCCACGTCTGGCGGGTCTGCTGAACAGATACGGTAACATTTTTGTTTATAAATGGCCTAAAATTTACCTCAATTTATAAATCAAGTTTGGCCCAAATTTCTTTCAGTTTCTGATTTAAAACAATTATAGCATCACTATGTCCTTATTTGCGTTTTCCTCTATTTCAAGTTGGGCCCCAATGTTAAACATAAGTTTCATGTTGTAGATGAACTGTAGTTTCAATGTCTTGTGTTTGCTTTTGCAGGCATCTAGTGGATCTTGGTTGTATTAAACCACTGTGCGATCTGCTCACTCTAATGGATTCAAAGATTGTACAAGTCGCTCTAAATGGCTTGGAGAACATCCTGCGTCTGGGAGAACTAGAGGCAAAGAGAGGAGGAGGCACCAACCCTTACTGTGAACTTGTTGAGAAGTCTTATGGTAAGATCATACAATCATTTGGGAGTCTCCAACCCGTAAATTACAAATAGCTTGCTGTTAATTTCACATTGTATGATTTCCATCCTTTCAACTGCTGTACATGTGTACTTGAACTTTGTGTACCAATCCATGGGATATTTTATGGGCATTTAACGCGTCACTTATTTAAAGGAATAGGCCACCGTTTTTACATACTGACATATGTTCTTACCATACCTTAGACTAGTTGATATGTACCTGTCTGGTCTTTGTCCGTGCGCTCTGTCATGCAAACGGAGCACAAACGCAGCCTCTTCCACATTCTGTATAGTAACAAATCAGCTCCTGTTAGAAGCTACCAAACTCTTCCACGTTTTCCCTATTTAAATACAGTTACATGACGTGTTACACTACCTAGTATAGTAACACAGAAATGTAACATGTCAATTTTCTCAGGGGATAAAAAGGGGTACTATATTGTGAGGCGCAATAATACGAGGAGCGCTTCGTCCGCGCACTAACTCCTAAAGACTTCTCTCCCGCTCACTTCTGTCAATAGAAGCAGCGTGAAGAGACCCGGCTTTTGGGAGTCAGCGGTAAAGACGTCCGCACTATGCTGTTACTTATGGTAAAAAGTGCATTGTGGCGCCTCATCCCCGCGGCTTCTCTTTCCAACGTTACCGCAAGTAGCAGCATAAAGCAGCCACCCGCTTTAATGTGCGAACCTCTTTACCACTGACTCCGAAAAGCCGGACCTCTTTACCGCGGTGTTCTACCGCTGCCCTCTCTCCCTCCGCAGTTTTCGCACCATCAGCCTGACCTCTGGCACATGTGACTTTTCTCCCCCTCCGTGTTTTTATGTTGTGGATATTAACCACGTTTCATTTTAAAGCAGGTATTATTTGTTTGTAGCCTCCAAACACCTTTAGCTTTAGCAAACAGCAGGACACGCTTTGTCGCTGCATGATGTAAGCTACGTTACTTGATTTTGATTGACGCTGTCAATGACTGGGACAATTTAACAAGTAATCCTTTTGAATCAAATCAAATGCAAAATAAATATTGATAATATATATTTTTTTTTTCGGAAATCATCTTGCGACCCCCCAGGGGTTCCCGCGACCCCCACTTTGGGAACCACTGCTCTATAGTAGTAGCTCTATGCCATTTTTGTCCTCTTGAGGGGAGAAAGTGTGGTGTCATTTTAATGTGTAAAATATTGTGGCAGTCTGAAGATACATTTGTAATAAATTATTACATTTTCAACATAATTTTCATATCATCCATCCATCCATCCATTTTCTTCCCTTTAATCCATTTCTGGGTCGGGGGGGTGGCAGAGCTGCACCCGGTTCACTTTCATATCATCTCTATTCTAAATCAATGTCTTGTTGCCTTCTAAAAAATGTAACATTACTTTATCATTTTAGGTTTGGACAAACTGGAGTTTCTTCAAGCTCATGAGAACCAAGAGATCTATCAGAAAGCCTTTGATCTGATTGAGCGCTATTTCAACACTGATGATGAAGACCCTTCACTGGCCCCAGCGGTGGATCTGCAGCAGCAGCAGTTTCTCTTCCAACAGTGTGAAGCTCCTATGGATGGCTTTCTGCTATAATGCTAGATCCTCCTTTTATGTGCTCCTTCATCTTTACTGCTAGTTTGTCTCTGAGCCCACTGCCATGTTCAAGGGCCCCCAAATGTAGGTTCAACTTCAATTGTCGGAGCTGCATCACACGACTATCAAGATCATGAAAATACCAGGAGTGTGTGTGTCCCATGTGGGTCCTGTCCTGCAGTCTTGTACCCAGTTTGTGCAGGTTCACTCATTTCATGTTCGAAGATGTCTCGTCCGAACTCGGGAAGCATCATTAAGTCGTAGTCTACTATAACCTTGTAGTGACTGTGACACCTGGGTCTTTCCCTACGTGCTTTTTGGATCCTTGGCTCATCTGAAAACACCTTTTTTGGTTCTTAGTTTTCCGTTAAAATTCAGCTTGATTTTGGGAGTCAACTGGACTTAGCTGCTTGTCTTTTTGAAGCATTAATGACTCACAAGACAAACATGGACTCATTTCAACCTCCTTCTCTGAAGTCTGATCTCACGCCAAAAACTGGACTGACACTGAGACACTGAACAGACTGTGGTCATTTGACTGAAATATGACCAGTCCCAATCCACCCTCTTAATGGACTTTACAAAAAGGCACTTAACATTAGGGGTGAATTCCCCAACCTCTCCAGTCATGGGACAAATGATTGCTTTTAGACAAAATAAAGATGTGCCATTGGGGGAAATGGCTCTCTGCTGCCTCTCATGGATCTCATATCATGCATTCCTTTATAAGTAGAACATTTCAGCTGCCGTGGTCCATTCAAAGACTTCCCTCATTTGTGGAAAAAGCCCATAGAATGGGAATTGAGTCTTCCCTTGCACTGAGACAATTTGGACATACTTGGACAGAAGACTACCCAGATGTCTGTCACCCAGTGGATCGTATTTTGTTAATCATTGTTAATTTTTCTGCACTTTAGTTCAGCGTGTATTTGCTCATTGAGAATTTACCTTTTTATTATTTAATTGATTTGAATATAATAGTCCTCTTCTCAGGTTTAGAGAGGTGCAGCTTATGTTTCTAGCGCCCTCTAGTATGAAAGGGACTACAGAATATTTTACAGTTGATCTTGGGGCATCAGTTGTGAAGAAAACATGGCACACTACTTAACAATCATTAAAAATCGGGATGGCAGCAAAATGCTAGAATTTAGAGAATTCTAATCAAGATCAATTTTTATAATTAGAAAATATGTTTTCATACAGAATTATTTTTTTTGTTTATGCCAAATTATTACAGCCATTTCAAAAGTGTTTTGTTTTAATTTGGGGTAAGCATCAGCCATGTTGCTGATTGTGCCATATTACAAAATAACTGGTTAAAATGCTTAAACACCTATGCTCACATTTCTTTTGTCTAAATCTTAGATTAGCTGCCCTTCATGTTCATTACTGTTAATTGTATTGAGTTTGTGCAACTCTTATGTAATTTGCATAAAAGCTGTTCCATAAATAATCTGTTTGTTTCCCTAAATATAGGTTCTGTTTCTTACCATGGGTGATATTGGCCTTCAGACAATACCATCAACACACACTCAACATATTAATATATTACATGTTTTACAAAAGTGTTTGACTTGAGCCAGTGAACATAGCTGAGCATTGTTTGACACCTGTGTTGCAGAACCACAGGCATAATTATCATTTCACATAAAACAACACGGGGTTCTCAGTTAACTGACAGTTGACTGAATATTTTCAATGGTAATGTTTTATGGGTCCATTGATTTAACTTAGTCTTGGTGATGATCATGGAAAAAAATAAAGCCTTTTCAGACAGAACATTTACTGCGTTTTCTCAAGTAATGCTTCCTTTTCTTTTAGCACTTCTTCTCTCCATTTGGCCTTTTTCTCCAAATTCAAACTTGTCAAGGACTCGTTCCTTCCTACGGCCTGCAAATATATTAGAACTTGTTAAAATGCAACAAATATTTGCAATTGTTTCAGACCAACCTTTTTTCCCAACACAACCATCACAACGCAGGAGCCTAATGTGATGATTATCATTGCATAGCAGGCCTTCACTCGCAGTTTATTTCTTGCAGCATCAAGCATCTCGAAACTGCAACAAATACAAGTCATGGGTATGTACAGTGGGGGAGGAAGCAGACAGACTATATTTGAGACAGGATTTTGTTTTGTCTCTGCTTTGATTCTCTCCTTTGCTAACGTAAAGCATGGGGGAAATCATGTTTAACTCATAAAATAGTTACGTTACATACCACAAAAAGCACTAACTAAAGTATCTTGAACTAGTTTTTCAATGGGTTTATTATATGGAGGAATTGTAATAATGGTAAAACTTCATTAAATGTTAAATAATGTTGAGTGAGGGCAGACCTAATTAGACAAAACTACAAAATCACATTGTTCTCTATGTGACACACATTTTTACAATATTGTTGGCAGTAACTTGATGAAAAAAAAATAATGAAATTTCAGCCTGGTACTGGTTACCTGCCATCACGAATCTCAAGATCAAAGAAGACCCTACAAACAGGCATCACTTGCTAATCACCTTAAACTATAATTGTATCCCCTCTGAACTGCTGTCTACCATCAACAACAGAGGCACAGATTGCTCCCTGAATGACGTAACAAAAATAAAATAATGTGTTTACCCAAGACCCACTAAACAGGAAACTGATACTCACGATATTGTCTCTGGGATCTGCTCAGGGGACTTGAAACGTCCTGCCCAGAGCAAAACCCTTTTGTCCCACTCAGAAGGTGCGTGTCCAGGGACTCTGAATGATCGACCAACTAATAAATCAAATTCAATATCATTATGTTTATAACAGAATCATTAGTGCAATTAAATGTCCAATATAATAAGATATTTGACCATCTGCTGCAGGGGAAGCTGGCACAGGCTCTGACTTTACTTCTTGGGGTTTGTTGCACATGTTTCTGCTGCATAATTGTGTTACTAATCTTGACCTTGGACCTGAATGCAGAAGAAAAGCTTAGATGCACAAAAATCTAGCACTAGTATTTTAAACGCTATATTGAGCAGTTTCACAATTTTTAGTTGAACGTTCAGGATAAATATTTAGCTATGAGAACAAGAACACTTTTCATAACAACAGCATATACTTCCGGCACTTTGAATGACCTTTAATAATTTAAAAGTTGCTTTATATGATTAGATTAGCCCATATACAATTTAACCCGCTGTACCCGACTAACAAGCTATAAGTGTTACAAGGTGAACTCAAACTGCGTAAGGTACACTGCAAACAAAGGCTCAGTTTTCAAAAATGAATGATTGTGGAGGGTACTAACCAAGAAAGCTTCCGATTCCCAAAGTTGATCGAAAAAAACTCATTGTGACTTATAAATTTAAGAAAACTTAAAACTGTGGTAGGGTTCACATTAGCTGCTTCAGTAGGAGTGTCAACAAGCTCTTCTCTCTTATGGTCATGTTACGTAAAATATTTGATCAGCCTATATTTGCCTGACTAAAATATTAATAAAAGTAGTTTTTACCTCAGTAGCTTTCTCATCCCATTGCTATACTCATAAAGATAAAGGGAAAATTATTGAAATACATTTTTTATAAAGCGTAAGACTTTATAACTATATTTTCCTGGCTTGTTTTAAGCAGGCTTTCTTTGGGCAGACCTCACGTGTTGTCCCTCGCGAGGACCCCATAGTCCATTATGGCAGCGCCCGACGCAGCCTTAAACTGTGAGGACTTTTCACTGTTTCAGGTAAATTGTAACTTATGCAATTAAAAACGATACAGCTTTTTGCCATTTTAATCAAGACAGGAGTGGGTCAGTCGATTAATCGTATATTATCTGCACTGGTCGTGTCTTCTCCTCAGGGGTCTGCTTTGATCCCTGTTTGTTCAGACAAGGTTCAATGAGTTAACCCGTGCCTTGTCATATAAGCGTCTTCTCTGTCCGAGTTAGTCAATGGTTATGCCCCAGAATGTCAAAAACTAACTCATACGTTTTTAAAAGTTTTACACGGTGAAAACAGTTAAGGACTTAAACTAAATTGTAAATAAAAAAAAATCTAAAAATGTTTATTCACATCTGTCCCTCACCTGAAGTAGTGGAACGGCAGCAGATTCGTCTGTAGTTTGTTTTTATTAGTTTGGCCTCCATAAGTCTGTTTTAAAAATAAAATGCATTACAGTACAGTACAGTACAGTGGCATGACATTCATACATACATATTTTGGAATTAGTCTGTCATCAGCCCCTCCGTCCACCACCAACCATTCACACACTCCTCAGACTCATGCTAGGTACCTCTGAGGAGTGTGTGAATGGTTGGTTTGTAATGACATTTTGCGCTTGAGCTTATCTCCATTAAGTTAGTCTTGCTTATAAAACCAGTTTTGATTAAGCTTTAACTTCTTTAACACCTTTATTGTTGTGTGGTATAGGAGGTGCTGAAGGTGATGCGCATCATAGATGACCGTATAGTTCACTCCCTGAACACTACAGTGCCCACTGTATCATTCTCAGGCAAAGTTGATGCCACACAAACATGTAAACAACTGTATGAAACTGTAAGTGAACAGTTGTGACGGATCACACTTTCATTCATGTTTTGACAGATTGTGTCTTTTGTGCAGATGATGGAGGCTCATTTGAGTCGAGACAGAGCCATTAAGTCCTGTATAGCCCAATCGTCGGAAGTTGTGGGACAATTGCGCGAGGCAAGGGAAAAAGATGGTGACAACTTGGCCCTTCTGAAACAGCTGAGAAAGGAGCAGACCAAAGTAACATACTACATCCTATTTCTATCTTGATATTTCCAAATATGCATTGGTTTTCAGAGCCTGACATTATTTTCCTCTACAGTTAAAGTTGATGCAGTCTGAGCTCAATGTTGAAGAAGTGGTCAATGATAGAAGTCTGAAGGTGAGTCAGCAGTTGGCATTTTGTATCTGAAACATAGTCCGTTTGTTAATGGTTTGTGCATTGATACTTAGGTTTTCACTGAAAGGTGCAGAATCCACTATACATCTCCAAAGGTAGTTTGAATCAGTGACCAGAAGCCTGGACTGAGATCTGAATCAGGACTGGACTGCAGACCATTCACATCCAGCTCAGTCTGACCTCTGACTGTTTTATTCCACTGTTATTGTCATGCATAAACATTTCTGTTTAAACAGACCTTTGAGTGCTGAAATGTGCTGAGACATTGTATAAACGCATAGCCTTTTTTAAAATAAAAGCAAAACACGGAATTTAATTCCCAACAGAATCATTCTTTGTGTTGGTAAAATGTGCATGTTTTTTAAATCAACTTTTAACAAAATAAGATACAAATTCAAGGTTTGTCTGGTACCGGCTGTGCATTGAGCAGATTTATAAAAATAATAGATCAATATTACCAAAGACTGTTTAGCTATTTTTACTGACTCCATTTTGATATTTTAAGTAAGAGTGAAGTCCAAAATACTGGGAGATGGTTGAGGGGCGACAGTAGCTCAGTTGGTAGAGCATTGGCCTTCAGGCCTGAAGGTCGTGGGTTCAATTTCCACCTCGACACCTTTTCCGACGCCCACTGATGACGGCTGTCGTTGTGTCCTTGGGCAAGACACTTAACCCCACTTTGCCCAAAGCCCCCACTGAAAGATCAAGGCTATGCTCACACTTAGAGAGCAGCCGTCCTCCTGTGGACTCACCACCTGCAGAGGGTCAGTGAGGGGCTGGTGCTATGAGACTTGGGTGGCATCTCTGACTGCCCCCCCCCCTGACCCAGAAATGGATTAAAGGGAAGAAAATGGATGGATGGTTGAGCTTTTGGATTTTCAAAATATTGTTTCAAACTAGATGAGCACTACGTTTTATAAATATGGCTATAACATTTTCAGCGACTGCAGACATCCCAATGAAAACATGAACAATAATAATATAGATTGCATGTAATGCACAGGTATCTATCGCTAGAGGGAGCCGTTTGTTTATGGACCATTGCTCCCACAAGCATGAGTCACAATCACGTTTTTTTGTTTTTCCAGGAAGTCAATTTGCTGAGGTTTAGATTTCAGATTTCAACTTGGTTTGTACTGAAAATATACTGTATCATCACCTGAGTGTTATCTATAGGTATGTGCATATGTATCATACTTTTGTAGTTTGCAAAGCCATGCCATGCCCTTGTTTGCGTTGTCTGGAGAAAAAATCCCTAGACAACATTCCAAGTGAAAGTTTGTGACTTACTAGTTTGGGTGAGGCTTGGAGCATTAAAAGTTCAAACTTTTGCTTACATGCATTTGATCAGTGTGGTTCTAACCCACTTCATGCCCTAAGCCAACATGCATTGAATCTTTAGTTTATTTGTATTACTGCTGTGGTAATCATAGGGTGTTACTCGCATTTTTGTATGATTAAAAAAGGAACTGTTGTCACAGTCTGATAAAGCCTGTTGACACACCCATTATGTGGCAACAGGAGCTCTCATCTGCTTAGTCACTTTAAAACATCTAAAAGATGCTAGCTTGACAAGTAACACCAGTGTCTGTCCATTATGACTTAAAGATCTCAGCTCAAGCAGTATTCATTTAGATAATGTCAGATGCAAAATTAATGACCAATAACATGTACAGAAATGGAAAGCCCAATGGTTTAAGCAGTCAGCATAACAACTACGGTTCTAACGTGTTGGAGACGTATGGCTCTTGCATATGCAAACAAATTTAATATTCCACTTGTCCTCTACCTCCATAAATACCATTTGCCCACAGAGTGATGTCATTACTCTTTTCATTTAAACTCTTAAAGATTTAGAATGATCACTAAATAAAAACATAAAAATGCAAAAGTGTAAAATATTATCTTTTAATGTTGCTTGTACAAGAGACATTACTTTGTAACCATTAAGCATACAGACGGAAATTTTACAAATAGAATGTGATTATTGAGTTTTGCGTCAACCTGCAGGCACAGATGGAGTAATAGTGCAGAATATTTTAAAAATATTCAATCGGTTCGTGGGGGGTCTTAGACTCCTGAAGACCATGGACCTCTAACGCACCTCCAGTGTGAGGGAGACCTTTGAAAATTCTGAGATGAACATGGTCGTCTCCTCCAACATGGACCTAAAGGAGAAGATTCCACTATTAATAACAAAGGCTGTCTAAAATGTAGTAATGGAACAGAACAAACCCTAACCAGACTTACTTTGACGAAGTAGTTTGTTCCGGCAACGACCTGAGTAGTGTACGATTTTGCCTCGAACGTGGCATATTTCTTGTTGGCTTTCTCTTCCACCTTTTCCTTTACCTGACAGAAACATCAGAATGATTTTAAACAAAGTGTCAGTGCGAGTCATGTACTGTATTCGATCAATGATGCCTAAAACTGGAGACACAATACAGCTACTTAGTACTTACAGATTCACAAATCCCCTGAATCTCTGGGTCCGCAGGTTTCACCGTAGATGTTCCTCCACATTTCATTTTTGCAGATTCTGATAGAAAGCTCACCACAAAGAATCCTGAACAACTGTGCGCTTCCGTGAGGCAAGCTGCAGTTTTGAGGCCATGCGTCATGTGACTACATGGGACGTACCATTATTGCAGGGGCGGACTTATCCGACGATGTTTGCTGTAAAGGTGATGGCAGAGACTTAAAATGTATATTATTTTTAAAGGAATGTATATTTCAGGACACTGCACTATGATGTTCAGCCAGAGTCACTTCACCCAGGCTGTTCTCACGTATGTGTTCATACAGCCACATAGTCAGCTGCAAATATGGTTTGACCCCAAAAAAATTCTAACAAAAGGTTTCTCAGTGGTTTACAGTAGTATGATCTATAATTAAAATGATCGTTACTCCTTTTGTATTTCTCCTAGACCAGAAATACTGGTGTCTGATACCTGTTTTGGTCATATAATATAATATAATATAATATATATATATATATATATATATATATATATATATATATATATATATATATATATATATATATATATATATATATATATATATATATATATATATATATAATATATGGTCATATATATAATATTCTAATTAGTATATTTGCATGAAAAATAAGTGACTAAAAGTACAATTATATATCAAAGCAATTGGTTAAACGCATATGTATGCGAAAAAGAAGTACAATTTCCCTTTAGTAATCCCATATTTCTCTTTTATCATATTGTTTTTCCTAGTGTTGGTGGTTTCTGTAACCATTATTTTGATTCCAATAAAGAATCAATTCATTAGAACTGTGTGGTACTGTAAAATTAGTCAAAACAGGGCTCAGTACCGTTAACCCCTTGTGTTTTTTTGTGTTTTCTTGTATATACATATTTTTATATATTTTATAATGTGTTTTGTTTTGTTTTTTGCCTTTTGTTTATATATATATATATATATATATATATATATATATATATATATATATATATATATATATATATTATTATTATTATTATTACAATTTTTTTTATTTTTTTATTTTATTTTTTTATTGTTATATCTTTTTCTATTTTCTTCAGTTGTTTCTTCTTACTCAAAGAGTATGTGGAAGGCCTGAGCTCGTGGGGGAGGTTGAAAGATACCAACTAGAGATACGTAGTCGGCCTCACCTCCACACACAGCTTGGGCTCTGGAACCCAACTCCTTGAGAGGGGTTGGACGCTCCACTTTTCTGGTGTTTCTCATGGGGAGAGGCGGTGAGCTGGGGTGGCCATACTCATTGCCCCCATCTCAGCTCCACGTGTTGGAGTTCTCCCCGGTGAATGAGAGGGTCTTGTCTCTCCGCCTTTGGGTGGGGATAAGTCTCTCACTGTTGTGACGGCCTACGGGCCCAACAGCAGTGCAGAGTACTCGGCCTTCTTGGAGTCCTTGGGAGGGGTACTGGAACGTGCACCAACCGGGGACTCCGTTATTCTCCACTTGGACACTTGGAAATGGGAAGAACGGCCCCCCTGAACTAACCAGAGCGCTGTAGTGAGGGTTTGCTGGGAACGTCTCGCTGAGCCCCCTGTCAGGCGGACTTTCAACTCACACCTCCGGAAGAGCTTCTCCCAGGTCCCGGCGGAGGAGGGGGACATAGAGTCTGAGTCCATGTTCTCTTCCTCTATCGCCGATGCGGCAGCTAGTAGCTGTGGTCGCAAGGTCTCTGGTGCTGGTCCCGGTGGCAACCCCCGGACACTGGCAGTAAAGGATGCCGTCAGGCTGAAGAAGGAGTCCTATCGAGCCATGATGGTTCATGGGACTCCTGAGGCAGCTGTCTAGTACCGGCAGGGCAAATGTGCCGTGCCCCGGGCTGTTGCAGAGTTAAAACCCCGGGACTGGGAGGAGTTCGGAGAGTCCATGGAGCATGACTATCGGTCGGCCTCGAAGAGATTCTGGCAAACCGTCCGGCACCTCAGGAGGGGGAAGCAGTTCTTTGCGCTGCACCGTGTGGAGAGCTGCTGACCTCGACTGGAGATATTTTTGGGCGGTGGAAGGAATACTTTGAGGTTCTCCTCAATCCCCCCGTCATGTCCTCCGTGCGTTTTTTTTACATAGACTTAGAATTATTTTACATAATTCATCTATCTTTTCATCAAATAGACTGTAAATATTAACGGACGTAGTCATTCCTATCTTCGCCGTTCTAACTAATGGGCCAAAAATTGTGCTCTACTGGAGCTATCCAAAATGGCTGCGAGTGGTCCCGCCCACAAGAAAATTGTGAAAAAACGTATTTGCGCATGCGTCAGCCGGAGAGCTCCATTCACTTAAACGGGTGCCTTCAAAAATTCACAGCAAGTAAACTAGAGTGGTCCAAAAAAAATCACTCCCTTCAGCATTGACACACATGTGGAACGGAGCTTTGGGCCAAGAGCCAACTTTTGGATCATCCTGTAAAGACTTTTCGAGAGGTAAGAAGATGCTATATATTAGCATTAGCTAATTCTTATTCCGGGTCCACCCCCATCGGCCCGGGGTGGTATTGCAAGCATGTCAGCGCACGTCATTTTGGACATTTCTGAGCTGGGACCCGCCCCCACTGGTCAGCTCAGAACTATTAAAATACCTTTGCATTTTCAATTTAATAAATTAGTTGTTTTAGTTGAACGAATAATAGGTGGATTAATCGATAATCAAACATGAATGCATTAAGTTTCCATCTGAACTGAAGAACCAGAGGATGGCAGTATTGCAGTATTTACTAAACACCGGTAAGGTGGAAATAAACGAGTAAGAACCATAGACTGTAAGAACAGAGTAGTAGCTTGAGCTACTCTCGTCTCTCATCATGTCGCTAAAGCTAATGCACTTGTTTTCTCGAAGTTTCCTCCAGACTGTAACGTCCACTGTCACTGAAGTGAACGGCGGACCGTGTTGGAGGCACTTTCCCCGGACTTTTACCACAGCTTCTTCAAGCTCGGATAGAAACGGTAAAGACTCGTCTTTGTACTGACGATGATGATTGACAATACACATTATGATCAGACGGAAAAGCGTATGAACATGTTTAACATTGCAGCCAGTGAGAATATAATGCAGTAGATTAACAACACAACTAAAACAACCGCGGTAAAGTGGGCCGCATCTTTCACCTCCGAAGTAAAACGGCCCGCATCGAGAGAAAAACAGTGCGCGTTTTGTTGACTACTTACGGTAATAGCGGAACAGCCTTTCGGAGTCACCTTTTCTCCTCGAACTGAAAGCGCGCTGAGGAGACTCGTTTTTGTGAATAAACCCATATTTGGAAAGCATTTAATTTGGTCAAATTTTCAGCAGCTGTCCATTTTTACAGTAAAGACTTGTGTGGCTTATTCCACTGGGTTCATGACCTCGATATAGCTGCCTTCAACGCTGTGCCTACAACCACACACCTTTACTGTGGAAATGTTGGGTAAAATTGAGACAAAGTACACTTTAGTGCAAAATACACAAAACTGTAAAAACATTCCCGCTTTTGATCTACTGTAACTATTTACTGTAAAAAGGTGTGTGACTCTTTCCAATGGATTTATGTCCTCATTATTATGTTCTACCACTGTGCCAAAGACCAGAAACTTTTACTGTGGACATTTAGAGAAATATGGAGTTAAAGTAGCCATTTTGGTTCAAAGTAGCCAAAAAAATGGTCAAAACATGTCATTTTTGATCTACTGTAACTTTTTACTGTAAAAAGGTGTGCGACTAATTTCACTGGATTCATGACCACATGATTGCCCTCTACCACTGTACCAAAGACCAGAAACTTTTACTGTAGAAATATTGAGAAATATTGATTTAAAAAGGCCATTTTGGTCCAAAATACCTCAAATAGTCAAAACATGTCACATTTGATCTACTGTAACTTTTTACTGTAAAAAGGTGTGCGACTAATTTCACTGGATTCATGACCTCATGATTGCCCTCTACCACTGTACCAAAGACAAGAAACATTTACTGTAGAAATATTGAGAAATATTGATTTAAAGTAGCCATTTTGGTCCAAAATAGCCTAAAAATGGTCAAAACATGTCACTTTTGATCTACTGTAACTTTTTACTGTAAAAAGGTGTGCGACTAATTTCACTGGATTCATGACCTCATGATTGCCCTCTACCACTGTACCAAAGACCAGAAACTTTTACTGTAGAAATATTGAGAAATATTGATTTAAAGTAGCCATTTTGGTCCAAAATAGCCTAAAAATGGTCAAAACATGTCACTTTTGATCTACTGTAACTTCTTACTGTAAAAAGGTGTGCGACTAATTTCACTGGATTCATGACTTAATTATTGTCCTCTACCAGAGCTGTATTTGCATTGCCGGCAGGTGCAGGCTGCCCTTTCTCACCGCTTCTGTTTACTGTCATAATGGACAGAATTTGTAGGTGCAGCCAGGGGACGGAGGGGTCCGGTTCGGAGACCACAGGATTTCATCTCTGCTGTTTGCCGACGATGTTGTCCTGTTGGCTCCAACGAACCAGGACCTGCAACATGCACTGTGACGGTTGCAGACAAGTGTGAAGCGGCTGGGATGAGAATCAGCACCTCCAAATCCTAGGCCATGATGCCTGACCGGAAAAAGGTGCCTTGCCCTCTCGAGTAATGAGTAATGATTAATGAGTAATGATTATTTATATAGCGCATTTATATATATATAAAAAAAATTATATAGCGGAAAAAAAAGCATCTGCGCATGCGTCAGCCGGCGCAAGCTCCATTCATTTGAACGAGAGACTTAAAAAATTCACAGCGAGTATAGTAGAGTGGTCCAAAAAAATTCACCCCCCTCATCATTGACACACATGTGGAACGGAGCTTTGGGCCAAGAGCCAACTTTTGGACCATCCTTTTCGAGAGGTCTGCCAATGCTATACGTTAGCATTGGCTAATTCTTATTCCGGGTCCACCCCCATCGGCCCGGGGTGGTATTGCAAGCATGTCAGCGCATCATTTTGGCCACTTTCGAGCCGGGACCCGCCCCCACTGATCAGCCCCCAATCTTCATTATCCATTAATACCTATTGAGCATGTTTTTAGTGGTAGGGGAAACCGGAGCACCCGGAGGAAACCTATGCAGACACGGGGAACATGCAAACTCCACTCAGTAAGGCACTGTTCCGACTGGGATTCGAACCCAGGACCTTCTTGCTGAGAAGCGAGAGTGCTATCCACTCAGCCACCGTGCCGCCAAAGTGGAGAGGTCCTTCCTCACGTGGAGGAGTTAAAGTATCTCGGGGTCTTGTTCACGAGTGACGGAAGGATGTAGCGTGAGATTGACAGGTGGATTGGTGCAGCGTGCGCAGTGATGCGGCCACTTTCGATTTACCGGTCAGTTCTTGTTCCCTCCATCACCTCTGGTCATGAGCTTTGGATAATGACCAAAAGAACGAGATTGTAGATACAAGCGGTGGGAAAGAGTGGTTGGGCTCTCCCTTAAGGTGTTTTCACCCCGGACTCAACTTAGACTTGAAAAGCGTCAGTTTTGCACTGAAAATGAATAGTGAAGCGCGTCAGGTGACGCTGAGAGGCCCGGCTTCACTTGAAGCGCTTCAAAAGACGCGAGCATTATGCGCGTCACTTGAAGCTTTTGACACGCGTAATGCTTGCGTCTGTTTTGTCGTAAAAAAGTCCCTTAACGCCGAAGTTGAGAAAAGCTTTTGGAGCTTGACGCCGGGCTTCAACCAATCTGGAGACGAGGAGAAGCAGCAGCAGCAGCAGCAGGGCTGTCATGTAGCTGCTACTGATTTTTCATTGTCATTATTGTTATTTGTAATATTATTTGTATAAATAGTAACGTTCTTAAAAAGTAAGTAACACAATCACATCATCATGTACATATGCTGTGAAGTTAAAGTAATTTATTTAGTATAAGAACAAGCTAAAGCTGGCTCAGACACAGCAGACTGAAAGACAGGCGCTCCTCCGCGGGAATCAGTGCGAGCTCCAGGCGGGAGCGAGAGAAGCTCCTCCCACCCGGCGTCAGGAGCTTCAAGCACCAAGGGGCGTTCACACCGGACCCAGCGTCAAATATTGCGCGTCAAAAGCGTTTTGAAGCTATTGGTCTGAAAGCACCTTTAGAGATAGGTTGAGGAGCTCAGTCACACGGAAGGAGCTCGGAGCAGAGCCTCCGCTTGTCGACTTGTCGAACCTCCGCTTGTCGACAAAAGGGGCCGTAGCCCCTTTTGTGTATTTTTTACCAAGGGGGGTACTTTGACTAATTATTTCTCAAAATTTCCACAATAAAAGTTACAGTAGACCAAAAGTGACATGTTTTGACCATTTTTAGGCAATTTTGGACCAAAATAGCTACTTTAAATCGATATTTCTCAATATTTCTACAGTAAATGTTTCTGGTCTTTGGTACAGTGGTAGAGAGCAATAATGAGGGCATGAATCCAGTGAAATTAGTCGCACACCTTTTTACAGTAAAAAGTTACAGTAGATCAAATGTGACATGTTTTGACTATTTTGGAGGTATTTTGGACCAAAATGGCCATTTTAAATCAATATTTCTCAATATTTCTACAGTAAATGTTTCTTGTCTTTGGTACAGTGGTAGAGGGCAATCATGTGGTCATGAATCCAGTGAAATTAGTCGCACACCTTTTTACAGTAAAAAGTTACAGTAGATCAAATGTGACATGTTTTGACCATTTTTAGGCTATTTGGACCAAAATGGCTACTTTAAATAAATATTTCTCAATATTTCTACAGTAAATGTTTCTGGTCTTTGGTACAGTGGTAGAGAGCAATAATGAGGGCATGAATCCAGTGAAATTAGTCGCACACCTTTTTACAGTAAAAAGTTACAGTAGATCAAATGTGACATGTTTTGACTATTTTGGAGGTATTTTGGACCAAAATGGCTACTTTAAATAAATATTTCTCAATATTTCTACAGTAAAAGTTCCTGGTCTTTGGTACAGTGGTAGAGGGCAATCATGAGGTCATGAATCCAGTGAAATTAGTCGCACACCTTTTTACAGTAAGAAGTTACAGTAGATCAAAAGTGACATGTTTTGACTATTTTGGAGGTATTTTGGACCAAAATGGCTACTTTAACTCCATATTTCTCCAAATTTCTACAGTAAAAGTTTCTGGTCTTTGGTACAGTGGTAGAGGGCAATAATAAGGTCATGAGTCAAGTGAAATTAGTCGCACACCTTATTCCACTAAATAGTTACAATACTTGAAAATTGCACTAGCGGACCAAATTGTGTACTTTATATATGTAAACAATAGAGTGGCTATCCTCCTGAGGACTCACAACCTGTAGGAGGAATCGTAGGGGGCTGGTGCTATGTGTACCGGGTGGCATCTCTATAAGGTTTTAATCACAAAAATGTGTCTCCCAGACCCCAGCGCGCTTTCTGTTCGATAAAAATGGGTGACTCCGAAAGGATGTTCCGCTGTTACCGTAAGTTCTCAAAGAAACGCGCACCGTATTTTCCCCGATGCGGGCCGCTTGTTCATAGAGCTGAAAGATGCGGGCCACTTTACCGCGGTCTAAAACAGGCTGTTTCCAAACGCAAGGTGTGTCTCCAAACCAAGGCAAGTGTCCTGCCTCCAACACACTGTGGATGGGTCAACCCCACTGGTGCCATTAGTGATAATAATAAACATATTAAATATAAATTAATCAATAAATATGATTAGCGTTAAATACAATCCAGAGCAAGGTATGAATTAATTTGGCAATTTGGAACATGACTGCAGTAAGTGATGACATGGGCCTGACCACCCTATGTCCAGATCCATGGGTCACATCAGACCCAAAGATGGATCAAGAAAAACAGCTGAGGTTGACTGTATCAGAGCAGACTACACAAACTTTCTATGTCTTTAAACCTTTAATTCAAAACCAATTTATATTTGCTGTGTTCATTATTTGATTTAATATTTACATTAAGATTAACATTTTTTTTTATTGAAGATGGATTATGTAACTAGGCCTTTTAGTCCTACCCTAGCGCTCATGTGAATGAAAGGTCTGCATGCTGTCATCAGTGTTCACCTTACTCCTTTGTCAAATTTTAGTTGAGTGTGACATTTTTGTTCCGGAGATAACAATGCTCTTTCAGTTCAGTCTCAGTATAGGTCCAGTTGTAGCTCAGACCAGAATCGTCTTATAGGGATTAACTATTAAGAATGGATGGTAAGTTTTCAGGGATTCTAAGCAAAAGGTGAACGATGTGTGCTGTAATATGTTTATTTTGTTCAGTGGTCACTGTTGCTCAGCTCAAATCCATGTTGGCCAAAAAGGACGTTCAGCTATTTGACGTGAGAAGACCTGATGAGTACCAGGCCGGACACATCCCCAGTGCTGTGAGCTTGCCATGTAAGTTTTCATTTAGGCTCATTTCAAGAGATTGTAAGAATCAAAATATTGGCAAAATGTGTAAAAAAAGAAAAAAAGTCTTTATTTGTAGCGACCATGCTGCATATTGGGTTGTTTTTTGTCTAATTCTTTGTGTATACCTCTTCAGAGATTTATGTTTGATCCCAAGCTCTCTATAGCACAGAATGTATACATAGACTTACCAAAATACATGCCTACTAAACTAAATGTATATCAAAACTGAACTTTGTATAGATTCTGTAAAAACATGACCAGAATTGGCATCAAGTTTGCTGTTCCATGTCAAAAGCCGTAATCAAAACTGCAGCATGACATGAACACAAGATAATGCTAATTTTGCTTATACAGTAGGTTCCCTTGTTACTCCTCACTGTGTAAAGGAGAGGTTTAATTCTGGTGAGAATAATTCACCAGTCACTTTACCTTTTGTTATTACTACTTCTGCATTATTACATATCCATTCATCTGATATTTCTGTTTACTCGTCACTTTAACTGCTGCTATTATTACTATTGTTTATCCTGGTCATATTCTCCTCCGCACATCTGAAAATACCTCTGAACCAAGTGCAATTATAGCTCCTGAGTTTCATTTTAGTATCCTATCTTATGTTATACCTCACCATAACATAACTTTCCTACGATGTTTCACTATTCTTATGAAGCTTTTCTGTGTCCAGTGGATGACCTGGAGGTGTCACTGAAGCTGTCGTCTGAAGACTTTGAACAGAAGTTTCAAGTGAAGACTCCCGCTAAAGAAGATGACAATATAGTGTTTAACTGTAAAAGTGGAAGGAGGAGTGGCCAGGCCCTGGACATCGCCCATCGGCTTGGATTCATAAAGTAAATATTTTAACTACACATCACGACCAAAACTTACTTAGAGCAGCCTTTTCATATTGACCTTCTGTTATTAAATTGTTAATACAGTCATCTTGTATTTTAGGGCAAGGCATCTTCAGGGTGGCTACAGTGGATGGGAAGAGGCAAAGGGGAAATCCTCCTCCAGTTAGTTTCAATGAAACCATTTTGATGTTACTGCTCTTTTGAGTTTCACCAAAGAGATATCTGTTACAGTAAACTTTGTATTTTCTTTAAGCAAGTAGTTTGTGTGCCCTACTGTTTAACACACACAACATATAAACTCTGAATTCACCGAAACTCTACTGATATTGTATGCCTGTGCCATTATTGAAAACGTGTTCATTCGGCGGCATATCCAATTTACGCAAAAATGCATCCATTTTAATTATAATGTATTATTATTATTTGATGCTCAATAAACCTGTATGAATTACAACAATTATCTCCATTCATTCTTTCTGAATCTTTGGTTGTTTCCACCATTGACCAATAGGTGGAGGCAAAGTTACAACTAACATCCCAGTTTTCCTTCCCTGTCCTCTGATTGCTGGGGTGCCCTTTGAGTGGAGACCTTCAGTGTGGTATTGGTCTAGACAGCTAAATCACCCCAGAGTTGAGTCCAAGGGTACAATTTACACAGTCGCCCTTTTCGATAGAATCTAAACTCTTTAACTGTCCACCTTCTCATCAATTTATCTCCCTAACCCATAGTGTAGTTTTAGGGATGAAAGATTTTTACACAAGCTCATGTATTGTATAATGGGATCATTTCCATTGACCATGAACAAGGACCAGCTGCTTTATTTCAAAAATCATGTGTGTCAACCAAGCTCCATAAATCAACAACTCAGCCAGGCTATAGGCTCCTCCAGAAAGGATTACACACTTGCAGAAACTTCCACTCATACAGCACGAAGAGTGGAGATTGATGCCCTGAACATTGCACAGTGCCCAGAAATAGGAAAAGTAAAACTGAATGTTTTAGACGTGGTTTGAATGGCTCATGACACAATGTGACGTTCAGTCAGGAAATCCAATGTGTTATGGATGCCACACATCATTGTGCTGTAAAGGGAAGCTGAATTAATTTATGGATTCATATATAGGTTGTGATTCCCTGCACTGCCTATACATACAGTATGTGTCCCGTGTAGGCAGAGAGGACAGGTCAAAACTTGCAATGAGATACAAGGACGCATGGGGCTGTGCGTACCCCCGTAGAATGTTCATGGCCTTCATAATTCATCTATCTTTTCATCAAATTCTAGATATTTGAAAGTAATGACACTCAACATTTCATTAAGCGTACGTGTTGTCTGCCACGATTTATTTTCTCCCAGGTCTTCTTTTTACAGTGATTTATTGTTTTGCTTGTGTTACAAGGTACGGTGGCTGAGTGGGCGGCACGGTGGCTGAGTGGATAGCACTCTCGCCTCTCAGCAAGAGCCTTTCTGAGTGGAGTTTGCATGTTCTCCCTGTGTCTGCGTAGGTTTCCTCCGGGTACTCCGGTTTCCCCTACCGCTAAAAATATGTACAATAGGTCTGGCATGCGCCTCCTGTACTGGCGACCCCGCTTCCATCTCTGTGTGGAGTGAGTGGACAAATGCCCAAAAAAATAAATTAACAATTGTAAACTGCTTTGAGACTCAGAGCTGCAGTGAAAAGGCGGTATATAAATGATTACTTACTTACTATATAAAGATGCCTGAAGGGCGTATTGTAAATACACGTGTATTGTATAACATGTGTCTCTTTGTGCCTAAGAGTGTTACAGGTAAATTCTTAAATGTTTGTTATACATTAATTATCACTTTGCCATTACCCATGGACTACAGATAAAAATCAGCTGGTCTGGCCTACATTACAATTATTGTGCATAGGCCATTTCAAAGAAATAAGAACATAAAAAAATGACATAAGGCTGCAATAAAAGACTATGGCAAGACACTTTAGATTTAACTGTCCACCTATGCATTAACTGACCTAATTTTACAAGTTATCTCACGAGGCTGTTTTAAAGGCCATCATAGGCTATTTTTATGCTTTTGTCACTTCCAGAAAAACATGACCCAGACTGGCTCAGGGTCACAGCTACAAAACAAACCTCTTGGGGCCAATTCAACCCAGTTCTGGCAATATGGCACAAATTAGCATGCAGTTAATTATGAAACTCATATTGTTACCTAAGGCACATGTCAGAGGGGAGACACATGACGCACTCCCCGTACGCGCGTTTCCCAGAGGCGCAGGAGAAAGTGAGAAGGCGCGGGTCGATCTCTGATGGAGCAGTGAGCATCCCACACTCATCCAGCCTGCGCGCAATGGCACCGTGCGCTCCGACTCCAAATGCTGCTCTCTGCGCGCTCCCTGAGCTCTCTACCGGACTACAGGACCGGGCAACTTTTTCCACAGCGCGGATGTTGTTGTTTCTCAATGGCTGCTAATGAATTCTCCACAACGTTACACTAACGGGTAAGTTTACTTTCGTTTAAAATCGCATAAAAGACACGTTTATTTATTTATAACTGTATCATTCATATCCCTGCATGCGTTCTGTACAAGGATTTAAACAAATTCGGGAACTAATTATCTCTATCTTTAACACATCTTTGCCTTCGTTATCTTTTTTTCAATGTGATTTTTGACGTGGTAATGACACGTTCCCGTCGTTTGGATTAAATTAATTTTTGATTTGGCTTTGACGTGTTAATATGCGTATCGCTGATCCAATTGGAGATAAGCCATTAAACTGAAAAGTCAATCAATTACAGTCAGTTACTGTGTGCTCATTGGAGCTAATGAACAGCTAAATAACTCTCAATTAGTTAAATGTGTATATTTAGGTACATGAATGTTACAGTCTCCCTATCTGTTGGACTGTACACTTCAGTGCAATACATAAACAATATAATCCAGCCGTGCGTGCGTGTGCTGAGCGTGCACATAGCTTTTTGCCACAGAATGCTGAAGTGATGCACATTGACATTGAGGGGGCAGGATCAGGTGGTGGCTTCATAGGAGATTGAGCACCTCCAGAGGAAAAGGCATGGAAGAGGCAAATCGGTTCCAATTAGTCCACAACAAACTGTTAGTGGGGAGGATTTCCAGTCAGGCCACATCAGGAGACATGTGTGAAGAGGTTTCTCACTACCCACACCACTCAGTAATGTGCGTTTAATTCAACTTGTCACCAGTAATCATGTGATAAACTGGCAAACCCTCATCAAGAGATTTCAAGGTGATTAGTATCAGTGGCCCGTTTTCTTTTACTTCCCCAGATTTTTCTTGGGAGACTAGAATTTGATACTGCAGCCATTTAGGAACCAAGTGGAACTATACACTCAGAAATCTTTAAAAAGCCTCCCAGGGCAGCGAGATCTAAAAATGATCTGGGTTTCATCGTGTGGCTCCCTATTTTCGTCCCATGTAATCATCCTTGTGGAGGATGTGGGTTAAGGCGAAGATGGATCAGTTTGTTTACCGTCTTGAGACACAGGTGGGGACAGAAGCAAAACGTCATTTGGATGTGGGCCAAGTTGGGAGGTTTGGGAATTAATGAGAGGAAGAATAGAGTGTAAGGAGCAGAGCCTGGGACCGTAGCCAATCGCACCTCTCAATATTTCAGCATAGACCTATTACTCCTCCCCAATGAGCTACCCCAGGAACATCACCACAAACCCCTATTAAACTGAAGCAGAGGTAAGTCTAATATGCATTTACCAGCAGCAGATGTTCAAAGTTAAAGGTCTTCTAGGAACAATCACTATATAACTTAAAAGCACATACAAAGTTTATGATCCTAATATCAAGATAATGTAAACCGCACAGGGGATGTAGTCTGGCTACGGTTGCTAGGATGTATCCCAGCAGACATGAGGCCTGAAATAAAGCCATGCAATGCTTTCATTAAAGGCTCACACGACTCCAAAAATAGAGTGATGAATGGGAAAACACAAAATTCACTCTTCTTTTTTGATAGGTCTGCCAAACTTCACACCTCCCATGTCATCGGGACATCTCCATGGCGATGTTTAGCAGTGCGGAGCGGCTTTGGAACGAATCGGAGCTCCTGGGATGGACCGAGGGTAATGAGAGCGTGGCTGAAGCAGGGGAAGAGGACAACCAGAGGAACTACTATGCCATGTTCTACTCGCTGCTCATCCTGGCCATCGTGTTTGGGAATGTGCTTGTGTGCCTGGCCGTGCTGAGGGAGAGGTCGCTGCAGACCACCACCAACTACCTGGTGGTTAGCCTGGCTGTGGCAGATCTGCTGGTGGCCTCGTTGGTCATGCCCTGGGCTGTCTACTTGGAGGTGAGGCAACTTTCATGAACAAACATGCAGGATTTGGTGGGTTGAATCTGTAAAGAAAGGAGATGCAAGTATTTTACTTAAGTTAATTTGTGTGGACAGGAAAATGGGCCTGGGAACCCTTGGGTCTTTCATAATTCAATATGATACACGATGCATTGGTTTTACATAGCGCTTTTTGGACACTCAAAGACACTTCACAAGTCATTGTTCATTCACTCCATACACAGTGTCTTATAACTTATACTGTAGCCACAGCTGCCCTGGGGCACACTGACAGAAGCGAAGCAACCAGTCCGTGCCATCGAACCCTCAAATAAATGTTTTTTTCTCAGAGATCATCTATGTCTTTATAAAAGCAAGGAATATCTGGCAGTCTTCAGTATGTGCCCAAGCGAATTCGACGCTTGCTTTAATTATAATAAAAAATCTGATGGAATCCCCTACAAAGCTCCCCCTAAAAGAAAGCATACTTCCTACGGGCACTACACTAGTTCACTTAAACTCTTAATATTTTGTCATTAACCTCAAATACAAGCAGTTGAATCATTTTCACCTTGTCACTAAACATTGTCATTTTGACAAAAAATGAGGGCTCTCTTAGAAAAAACACCAATATATAGTAATAACATTCAGCTCAAACTGATGGATGGTCACGGCGCTGCCACTGATATTGTTGAAATGCTACATCTTTCTTCTGTTGCCCCAGTTGTTTCAGCACAGTTGTTGATAATGATGCAGTAAAGCTCTGGATGATAAACTTGTTGGAGAATATGCAAATGTGAAGCTTATAGAGCCACATGCTTTCTATGTTTCAAACTCAAAATAGTCACCGTATGTAATTTAATGCACCCATAGACAACCAAGCCAGTTCAAGGCTTGACTTGGATAAGTGAAATGTGTCATGACACTAAAACCAAATGCCGGCTGAGATAACCGATATAGTTCCGATATAGTTCGATATAGTTTCTCTTTTTTTTTAACGCAAATCCAAGTTCGACCCCAACTGTGAAAGCTTTTCCAACTCAGACACACACATTCAGAGGAAGAAATTGTGACTAACGATCTATTTGGCCTCCAAGCCAGAAGTTTGGGATAATGGATGCTCTTTTGAACTATCGGCTCTGAAGGGAGAAAGTGGGAAAGAGTGTAATGTATGAGACAGAGCGGACAACAGCCTCCTGTTAATGAGGCAACGACAAGAGGAAAAAGGATGAGGCTCATTTGCTGCTTATTCTGTCGTATCACTTGTGTCATTCCAGCCATAACAATGATGAAAGCAATGTGTGGGTACAGGTATGTTTTTCAAGAAATTGTACGTGCTGGTAATTTCTCACAAATGTATTGAACGATAGCGACTTGTATGCATGGATAATTGGGAGGTGTAGAAGAGGCAAGCGTAACTGCATTCCCTCTTCTCAATTCTATACCTAGTCCCATAGTGTAAATGATATGCTGTGTGATTGCCGTGTGTGCGTGTCTAATTGTTGCAGTCTCTCTCGACACCTGCGCTGAAGTCTATAAGCCCCCCCCCTTCCCCACACACCCCAAGTAAATACATAGCAGAGGTGTTTATATGAGCTTTAAGACGGAGGATGAATAAGGAGCTGAGAGGGCTGAAAGAGCAACTCAAGGGCAGCTCAATGGTCAAGTAGGCAGCCCAGCATTCCCTCTGCTCGCTAATTAGTTTGAAATAGGTTATAGGTTTGACAGGAAATCAGCGTTTTTCTGCGTGTGCAAAGTTATTGGCTCCATTACTAGCTATTTGTCCCTCGTGGCACATCAAGTAGGGCTTTTGAATTGTTGCTGACATTAGTGAGCTTCCATAACAGATGGGCAAATATGAGATTGGGTCAAACATGACAAGGAAGACAAGGATTTTATGCAAGGCAAGGCATGGTTATTGGTATAGCACAATTCATACACAAGGCAACTCAAAGTGCTGAACAAAACAAATCAATTATTTAGATGGAGTCATTGTGGAGCAACACTTTAAGCAGCATTCCTATTCTTTCGTTTACTTTTTTGCAAAACAGCTTTCCCCGTCCCTATACTTGTTCAGAAAGTCTTTTGTTTGTGCAGAGATATTGAACATGTACACACTCTAAAAACTCAAACACGTTATGGCGAAAGGTTAACAAGACTGGAATCTGCTTGACCAGCTCGAGATTGCTCTCAGATGTTGCTGTTTGATTTCATTGTTATCACAGCTCACATGTTGGTTAAGTGGATTTTTCACCTTTCATTGGTAACCCGTGCTTAAATGTCACACGAATCATAGATAATCATATCTCTTAAAGCGGTTATTAGAGGTCCTGCAGAGCTCCTCCCAGGATCTTGTCTCGATTCAAGCTTTTATGTGCTTTACATTCAAGAGTTATTCATTCAACACTGAAGTCTATTCTGCCCTTAAAGAATAGGTCAGGAAAGATTGCTTCATGGCTTTAAAGTGCAATGCTCATTATTTGTCAGAATGGGAAAGGTCAGCCGTGTCAGCATCTAATTAAAAAAATAATCAAGAGATTTTTAAAAATGCACCGTGCAGTCCTGGTAATGCAGGTCTCAGCATTGTGCGCTGGGCAATCCAGAGGAGGAGCTATTATCTGGGGGTGACAGGCTGTTCTCCACTGCGCGCCCTCATATAAATGTCCTGGCAGGAAGTGCAGTCTCAGATGGAGCTCTCTCTCGCCCACAGCAGGTATAATCACGTGCCCTTGAGCAAATCACCTCTCACACAATGGGAAAATCTCTTGTCACTTACATTCAAAAGAAAGCTATTCTTCAAGGAGAAAATATTCAATTAGGAAAAAAAAATTTCAAAGGAGAATAATGCTTGGTTTTTGTAGTTTGGGTTTATGCCAATAGCATTATTGCTGGCTGCGGATTGCCACCATATAAAGCAGTGAAATATTTTTTTATTTGTATATATTGCTGTGCTTTAGCCATTTAAATGTTTTGAATATCAAACAAGCGATGGAGTGAGTCAGATTGTGTTTTTTATGGAATGAGAAATATAAATTATGAACATATTAATGATTAAACTCTTTATGCATGAAATCTAATAAAGTTGTATCTTGTGAATCCACTTTTAGGCAAATGCATGGAGATTTGGAAAGCTATTGCGAGCGTTTACATTACAGCCGATAACAGCCTTATGAATATAGATGTGTATATAGCACTACAGTATTTATGTGAAGAGGGAGCTGAGTCCAAAGGCACAGCTCCTGATTTAGTGGTCTACGTTCCCACTCTCACCTCTGATCATGAGATTTGGGTAATGACCAAAAGGACGAGATCACAGATATTGAGTTTACTCCACAGAGAGTCTGGGTGCTCCCTTAGAGATTGGTTGTGGAGCTCATAGTAGAGCCGCTGCTTCTCCATGTCTAGAGAAGCCAGTTGAGGTGGCTCGGGCATCTGTTGTGGATGCCTCCTGGATGCCTCCCCAGGGAGGTGTTCCGGGCATGTCACACCCGGAGGCTCTCAGCCTGGGAAAACCTTGAGACACTGGTGGGCTCGAGGAAGTGTGTGGGTATAGGGAAGTCTCTGCTTAAACTACTGCCCTCGCAACCCGGCAACAGATGAAATGAAAGAAAATGAATGGATGGATAAAGCACTGGTTTAAAACTCCACAACTGCAATTTTCCATCAACTAATAATGGACATTGTGTAGTCCTTTTAATCAAACACTTGAGTTAGTTTAATTTTAGTCAATAATTAGATTTGAAATGTACAATATTCAGATGATTTGTATGATTGGATTTGTTTCTTCATTAAGTGGACACACAGAAAAGGCCACAGAAGCAAGTTTATGGATATGTACAAAAACATTGCTCCTACTTGTCGGAGGCGGTGAGCTGGAGATCACTTATGAAGGTTTCATTGTGTTTGATGTCCTGTGGCATCTTTTCTGTGCCGCTACATTTCATGCAGTATAAATGTAAAGACCTGCCCACTGAGTCACTCTGGGATTTTCACTCTGAGCACGTCTGGCTTGTGTGTGTGTGTGATGTGAAGCGCTGCTATTTCAACAACTCCCTGAGAATCTTAAAATAGAGGTTTTAATTGTATTGTGTGGCTGGGACCATTCGACGGCTGCCAAATCAATGGATGATTGCACTTCAACAAAATGTTCAGGGTAATATGTTTGATATTTGGATGAAAAGACAACTCAATGTAGTTTTGCTTGTAAATAGCCCCGAAGAACACATTTTCACAAAGAGGCTCCTGCAATTCCCCAGCTGTTAGTCACTTTCTTTTATGTTGGTATGTTAGTTGTGACGAAAACACGTTGAGGTGGTAAAGTAGAATGGGCTTGGTTCTGATGGACGCCTGCTCTCACTACTGTGGGCACCAGGCTGCTCTCTGATATGTTGTCGACTCCTGATTGATGTGTTTCTCCCATTTCTTCCAGTCTATAAATGTACAACTGCACGTCTAATCAAAATCAAATCCAATTCACAAATTTCATGGTTTAAGTTCTTTCATGAGGTTATTTTCTTTTAAGTTCTTTATTAACAATATATTTAGATATTTTTCAATGGAACAAGCACGTATTTTGTGTCTTGTTGTTTTTATTTATTTTGATGTTTTCATTCCAAAGGATGAATAATCTTTTTCTGATATAAACAGACCCTCTCAAAATGTGTTGTGCTAGATTTCTTTAAAGAAAATAAAACCAACAACTTCTTAAATCAAGTGAGTACATAAAGTCTGTATATCTGAAATAAAAGTGTATGTTCTGTAGGTTAGAACTCTCATTTTCTGTCAGAATTGTGTATTAGGTAATTGCTTCATATTTATTTTCATTATTTTACATGCAGGATATTAGAAATCACATTGCAAATCCATCGTTGGTCTGAAATGTATACGTCTTTTCAATTCCTGTTTAATATAAGAAGTGGGCCTACTCTGCTAATATCTGTGTTTGTAATCCATAGCAATTAGCTTGTAAGGCATTGTGTATGGAGATCCATTTGTTAGCTAAATCTGTTCGTGCTTATTAAAATATATTAGATTAAACCCAACGGAGCTTAACTACAATTCCTATTTCTACCACGGAAATTATGCCACAATAACTCACACTGATTCATTTTGTGCAAATGTAGTGGAATTTCACGGTCAGCCATATTAATAACCAATGTATATGCATACTATAAACGTACATTTGCATGTCTTTGTACCTGCCATTTTTAATACATGAGGGACCATTATTTAGGTTTCCTGCATGTATTCCCAGCTCCTTGGCCGACACATTGTATATTCCCGTGCTGGAGGTATAGGATCCAGGAGTCAGGCGATGCAGCTTGGATCCCATTCATCTCTGTCAGATTGTTATTACCGGGCATTATAGACCTAAGTGAGAGGCTGTCGGACTGAGCGGCTGTGGTCCCTGTTGGCGGGAAGCTGTTTGTTGCTTGGAGGTTAATTTTCTCTTTGAGACCTGCAGACAACCTTGACAATAATTAGTCATAGAGTGTGACACTTTTCCTTCCTATTTTTGTCATTTGATTTCCTTTTATAACCCCCTTCATCACGTTTAGAGCACTCGGAAATGTGTACAAGAGCCGTAACAGTCAATAGTGGCACATATGCATGCAAATTTATGCCAAAATCATCCTGATTAATACATTAAATAACACACACACACATTCAAACCAGGAAAAAAGCCGTTTAGATGCCCCTTTTATGTTGCCGTGTAAAATCTCTAACCCTGCTATTTTTGTTAATTCGCATGTTCCATTGTCAACGTGTCACATGTATAGCGTGGGTGGTGTAGTGGGCATGTACAATGAGAAATAGTTGCTTTACTCTTTGCTGTGGAAATACCTAACAATACATGGTACTTGTATAGAGCTTTCCTGACACTCAAAGAGGCATTATTCATACACTCACATCACTGTGTTCTAATCCCCCTGTGTGTCTGTCCTGCTGCAGGTGGTTGGAGGCGCCTGGCTCTTCAGTCGACTTTACTGTAACATTTTCGTCACGCTGGATGTGATGATGTGCACCGCCAGCATCCTGAACCTGTGTGCAATCAGCATAGACAGGTGAGTCCAGGCCATGTGGAGCCGTTGCGATCGCCGCAAACAATATGGTGGGAGGATATGCGGTGTAACCAGAAGCAGCATTATAACAGGGAAAATACTTCACATCAAGTCAAGCAGGTGTTCCTCCTGGATCTGGATCTGGAATTCAATTTACACTTGTATAGAACCTATATCACAACAGTAGTCATCTCGGATAACGTAACAGAACAGTTGAATTTGCCAACACAGATCAGAGAATCAACAGTTCAAACATAAGAAATGCAATGACACAAAAAAAACACACAGAGCCATGAGTTATAAGGGGCAGATTACCATGTCCATAAATGTTGATAAATGTGTATAAACGTAAATGGGAGAGATTCAACAGAGCTCTTTTGGTTAACAACTGCTCTATAACCTTTTAATATTTGGGGTGTCATATTTTGTACATATATTTTTGCTCCAGATATTTGCTTGAAAATGTAATTGGTCAACATGTGAACTATTGCTTGTAAAGAAAGGCCATTTGAATCACTATATGAGGCTTCTGGCTGGGATCTAATTGGCTGGTGTAGGATGATCCTGATCCAATGTTGTGCCAAAGGTTTGATAGGAGGTAAGAATCATTTAAATATCTACTTGCCGGCTTTAATCAATAAGGTCTTTCTTATTGTGCAATTAATTCAGCCAAATAGCGTTTTAAAGCATGTTCTGATAACTGCATTGCGTGAGAAACTAATTATACCCCTCAGTAAAATGTAAGGTTTTATTTTTTATTTTAGTTTGAGCCAAAAAGGTCATTTGCCAAATCATATCAAAATGCCGACCAGGGAAAAAAAAATTAAAACAGTCAAAAAGTAACTCGGGGGAAATATCATAAGAGAAAACTAAAAATATCACATGCAGATCCCACACTTATCCTATTTTTCAATTAGAGCAGAGTGGTCTCATTATGCTGCTGAATCTAATAAGTGATTGCGCCCATAGCTAGCTGTACGCTCAGTATTAAGCGTTCAAAACATTGCTGTACATTCAGTCCACACTCAGCCGATCTTTAAATCTATACATAAGAACTTTGAATAGCTCTCATGTTTTTTCTCTGTATTGAAAATGTTGCATTACAGGTAAAGTGATAGACACAAGCTAATGGAATCCATGCAGTTTTTATGAATGAATGAAGGCATTTATTTGGACCATTTTGAATGAATGTACAGTATTTGTTTGGACCCTATTGAGAATACATTGTACAACCATTATGCTAAGGATCTTATACAAATAATATGTTCAATGGGACGAAGTAAACACTCTCTTTACTTTAGCTATGAATGGTTGTATTCAAAACTAGCTCATGAACAGTTTTTTTACTCTCATTGCCATATCTCTTTTAAAACTGGTTTGACCTGGTTTTTAGTTCTTGCTCCTTATTGTTAAATTAAACCCACTGATGGTTACACAAAAGCTTTATAATATCAAAGAAATAAAAATAATGATAACGATGGTCTTGATCGTAGAGGTTCAATAGTTGAAAGGCAGTTTCTTCCACAAAGACCTTTTGTGAATGACTCTTACTGTGATAAATGGTGAGAAGCTAAATCCATCTCTAACTTGTGTGACTTTTTGCACAGCACGTTCCTTTCTTGGCAGACTTCACACTGTTCTTGTGCCGCTGCGAGTCACGTTGTTGAGGTGCAAATGACGTGAAGAGAAAGCTCAATATTCAGGATTAGGAGTTCATGTTACTGAGGTTTTGGAACAGGGCCACACCTCAACCTCAAAGTTAGTGACATGATAGTGCTAAGTGAACCAACTCGGACTCTGAGGAGCACAGGGACTGGCCTCCTTCAAGATTCAAGATTCAGCCTTTTGCAGTAAAACCACATTGGAAAAATTGTGCAAGGCGACCCCAGTGTGCACCAGCATAGTACATACCAGAGCTCCTGCCATGGTGCTTGCTGGGACTCAGAGGAGGGCAGGGACTGGCCTGCTGGGACTCAGAGGAGCACAGGGACTGGCCTCCTGCTGGGACTCAGAGGAGCACAGGGACGGATTTGAATTCATTGCGTCTAATCGGGAACCTGTCGGGAACTCAAAGTGCTTAGTTTTAAGCACTTTGAGTTGCCATGCTCACTGTGCTATACAAATAATCTTGCATTAACCTTGCCTGCTCCTCCTCTCCAGCCAACTACATCTAACCTCCCTGTCCAGTTCTCAATTTTCCCACAAAAAAAACCTGGGAAAAACCTAAGACGAAGCCGAGGATCATGTGAACATATTGAAATTACGTCCTATTGCCGTGACGCGCTCCTTCATGTACACACAGTTGACATTTGCTGTTTGCTGAGATCGCTACATTATTTATTTACATATTTTTAGAGTGCGCATTAATATTCAACGTCCCTGAGATTTGAACTACTGACCTCAGGCTTCAGGAAAATTTACATCGGAAACGTGTGAAGATAAAACGAGGACGTGGAGCAGTAGCACCACATTGGACACATTGCTAATATTTGATTAAAGCCAAAATTCAATACAGTTTATTTTCTTCTACAACACAAACATGGCAAAAAGAGCTGATTTAAGTAACAACTAGTACAGTACACTTAAATTATTCAGAGATATGTTTCTGTATCAGGTTTCTTTGCACATAGTCTGAACATCACCAACTACTGTTTAAGCAACTTGTTAAATTAATAACTTTTGGATTTAACAGCATTTGATTGAATAAAAAAGTATTCTCTTGAACTAGCATTACATGAAAAGATAAGATAGATAGATAAGATAAAATAGACTATTGATCTCACACAGAAATGCGTATGTCACATTTGGCATAGATACTTGTGGCATAGGTTGTGCAAAAGACAGAAGTGTGCAAACATGTTTAAGGTTAAAAATATAGTCAGTGCAGGATATAATTATGTACAATAAAAAAGTGGCAATAAAAAAACAGCTGTAATAGCAGTCCTAGTGTTGTTTTTCTATTCTATAAAAATCACCTTTATCAAGAGCACAACGTTATTCAGGTAATATTTATGGAGATGATGATCCATGTTTTAAAAGCACGAACAAAACATAATTATATTTGGGTTTTTAACTTGGAATGGGGGAATGTTTTGAATGAATTCTGCATGTAGATTTGCTATTGTTAAAAAATTGGTATTCTAGCCCGTCTAGAGAAAGGGGTACACTTCGGAATTAGGGTCTGGCCCCCTGTCTGTGGTGAGTTATCACGTGTGCTGGATATACGTTTATCCTGAAGGCACTCTGTAATAAATATTGTTCTTCCGGGGATGCATTGCTTCTTTGCTGCAAGTGATTTGTGGTGATTGATTACCAGATGGGCTGACAATGCTGCCATCACATGCTTTCCGAGAAGTTAAATTAAGGAAGGATCACTGGGGGCATTACGTGTCTGATTAACTTTAAGAGTATATTGTTTATATAGCTCCAAGCTGTGGCTGTTGTCATAGATGCTGTGATTAATGGCCAATCAGTCTGGGCGCTGTAGTAAAAAAACGATGTCTGTGTGGAAAAGACAAAAGGTTGAGATCTACCACAAACTTCAAGGTGAGGTGTTTTGGGTATAAATAGTTCAGAGTTTGATAAATGTGCATATTATCTGCCCTATGTTTTATTCAAGCAGACAGCTTCATAGCAGGGGGATAAATCTAGTGAAAAAAAAATGTTGGGAAATGTTGTTTTGTTGCTTTGGCCCTTGATCTGCCCTGTGTTTGCCCAGTACCACCCCGGAGTAATTACTGTGATGAGGATAAGCAATCGTGGCATTTTTCTGGCACTGGCCACTTAAAGATCACGTTCATTTTAGGTTGGGGTCCTACGTAATTGCAGTCCCAACCAGGGCCTGATTCTCTCCCGGCTCATTATACACAGTTGGCATATAGTGTGCTGATGAACTCCTAAATCAAAGGCAGGTTTTGTGCTGAATACCCAAATTGACTCAACACAGAAATGCTTGGTATGCTGCTCCATTGTAAGCTCCATTATACTTATCTTCTCTGAGCACTTCGTTTTGGCTCCTCACATCTACTACTTTCCTCATGCTATTAGTTATATATAGGCCATTTACAGTTCTAGATTAGCATAGGCTGTGAAGGACACAAAACACCCTTGTTCCAGATGTACGGTTTTGCATATAGGGCTGTCGCTCTCAGCCCTGAAAGTAGAAAGTTTCACACAAATAAAAAAACTTTCAAGTAGTTCTCAATTCTAATAGGACGGTGAGTCCTTAATTGAGTCAGAATTGAAAGGAATTTTTTCTTCAATTTATTTTGTTATATTGTTTTGGCGGATTCTAGTTCATGATGTTGGTGCCTTATGAGCCGGCTCGGACTCTGAGGAGCACCGGGGCTGGCCTCCTGCTGGTGCACAGATTGAGGACAGTGTTTCAGGGGTATGCCCCAAAAATCTGGAACAGTCCGGGCACGTCCCACGGGAGTAGACCCCCAGGGAAGACCCAGAAAAAACACTGGAGGGACTCTCAGCTGGCCTGGGAACACCTTGGGGTCCCCCCAGATGAGCTGGAGGAAGTGTGTGTGGATAGGGAAGTCTGGGCGTCTCTGCTAGACTGCTGGCCCTGCAACAGATGATCATCATGAATTGTGCTTTATAAATAAACTTGATTGATGAATTCTTCAAACTAAAATCTGATTGATGTGGTTCTTTGGCAGGTACACAGCTGTGGTCATGCCAGTCTTGTACAACACCACGCATCGCTCCAGGAAGAGAGTGTTTGCCATGATCGCCACAGTCTGGGTACTGGCATTTGCCGTGTCCTGTCCTCTGCTGTTTGGCTTCAACACTACAGGTCAGAGCGGTGAGAATATAAAACAACTATGTATCATGCAAATACACACAACTGCTGTGACATTACAGAGGACACAACATCGACTTCTCTCGGCTTTGAGCCTTGTTGTAGTTGTATCCCTTGTAATTTACACACTGTTGTTTTTAAAGTGATTTAAATTGCATTTTGAGTTGTTTATTGTAGAAGAAATAGTATGCATAATTTTTTGCCCTTAAAAAATATAATAAGGCTGTTTATCTCCATGTTTTATAATGTTAATAAATATCTTAAGAAGAAATAATTTGGTGAATGTGTAAATAGTTGCTTTGCATTTTTAACGACCTATGCTACCACTAGAGGGAGGGGTGGAATGTGTTTTTTGTACATTCATAAAATACCAGCTGCAAACACAAACATGTGATTACAAAAAACAAAGCAAAATGTACAAAAAAAACATCTGAACCAAAAATCTGAACCCTGCTCATTCTACAACTAGGGGACCAAACCAGTCCTCAATGTGCCATTGTGGCTGCAGGTTTTCCTTCCAACCAAGCAGGGGCAGACCAGACTCCTTCCCATTTTCTCAAGTGAGTCCAGTCTGAACCTAGAGAATGGAAACCTGGAGGCACACTACCCCTCTCTGGAACCAGTCTGACACCCGAGCTCTACAATAATAAATCTTACTTTGGTCGAGATTTGTCTCAATCCAAACATAATGGAACTATTTTTTCTCAGAAATATCTTCCAGAAAAGAAAAGGTTGCTTTACAAATTCACAAACCACGGACACATTTTTGGAAATATGTCTTAATGTATAAATACAGTTTTTCATTGACAAAATGAGAGGGATTTTGTCTTGTATCACAATTATAGTTGTTCTTTGAGAAACACATTAAATCAGCAAAATATCAATGCTAAATATCATTAAGTCAATATTTTTAGGATAGATTTTAAAGACTTCCTAGAAGTCGCATGAATACAGTAGGTTTTTCACACGAGATCACATGAATGCAGCATCAGAGCCATTTTAAAAAGGACAATAGGCGTTTAATGCATTGGAAATCCCTCCCATAATACAAGGCGTATTGTATTTGTTTTGTTCAAATTGAATTCCCTCGACAGATACGATAAGATAAGCCTCACAACATATTTTAAAATTTGTTTGCTTTTAGTACTCTCTTTATAATACGAGGCAGTCGGGTCCTTTTATACTGAGTTGAAAGATTGCATTTAGGGCCACTATACTAAATGTGTCTTAAGTTGCTGAGAAAAACACGGTGCTGTCTGCTGTCATTAGTTGGTGACAGAGTGATTCAGAGAGCATCAAACACATCTTCAGTAGTTCTTAGATCTTGATTCGTATAATTTGTCAAATGCACAGCATTTAGATGGTCAAGTAGAGATCCAGAGTCCCAACTAAACACAGGGCTATGTGAGTGAAGGAGACAGCTGCCATTTTAACTTCTCATTAAGTGTGAACGAGAGCTTGTCTGATCCAATGCTCTTACATTAAATCAGCTGCACTGTGCATTACGGCTGAGGTGAGGTCTTATGGTCCAGTGGATTCTGCAAATTGCCTTTATAGGTCCTATCAGAAATCTCAGCTTCTGCTGAGTTGTTAGATGGCCATAGCTGTAGTATTTGCTTACTCTATGTTTAGCAAAAGTCCTGTAACTGCCATTCTTGTCTTTGGTTTTTTTTTTGGTTTTTTTTTCTGCAAAAAGTGCTATTTTTTTGAGAAAGTGTGTAACTTACTGTTTTGTTTTCATGCTTGGTTACCAGAAATGTTTTCTTCTTTCACAAACTATTTTATTTCTTTCTTAAACTTTGTTGGCCCGTCGTTGGTATCTTTTTGTATAATGAGCAGTGAAAAATATAGTGTTACTGTAGATGTGGTGTATCCTTAATTGTACTGGTTCCAGGTAATGGCTTCAACGTAACAACAGAATAAACAGAGCAACAGAGTCCAGTTCAAACATTTATTGTTGGAATCGTGTGTTGGAGTGGGAGGAGGCAAGGAAAGGAATTGTAGTTGATGAATATGGCAAAATAGGGACATGGAGATGGCAGAAGAAGTGGAGGGTGGAGAAACTGGTTGTTCTAGGGAAAAGGGAAATAATAGCGTCAGAATCTTCTGAGAAAGTAGAACAAAATAGTAGGTAAAACTCACAGGCATTTACGCAGTTCTCCACATGAAAAAAGGGAATCTCCAACCAGCTCAGGAGGATCAAGAAAGAGCAGGTGCCATTAGGCTGTAATTATAGACTTGGGTGGAGCCAGGCACCGCCCAGAGGCGGGCCCAAGACAGGCAAGAGATCAGGGAAAGGAAGGGATTTTTCACAGCCGCCCCCAAATATGTAAGACATATTTGTAATCAAAAAAAATAAATAAAGTCACAAAGATCCAATCTAGTGATCACCATCATCCCGGATCTCTGTAAGGGGAACAAGTCTGGTAACAGGGCGTATAAAGGACTTCTCCTTGATCTTGACCTCGGCCACCCTGACTCTGCCGTCTGAGCTGGGAAGAATTTTTGTTACAGTTCCAACTGGCCAGGAAGCTCGTGGGAGCAAGGGGTCGACTATCATCACAACAGTGTTGGCGGTCAGGTTGGACTGTTCCACCTTCCACTTCTGCCTTGACTGGAGAGTAGGCAAGTAGTGCTTGATAAAGCTGTTCCAGAACTGATCAGCAAGCACCTGACTATGCCGCCACCTTCTGGTCCCCAGAAGTCGAGTGTCTGTGTAGACAACTTGTGGAAGTGCAGCCTCAAGCCGCCCCATAAGGAGAAGGTTTGGGGTCACAGGCTCTGGGTCTGCAAGAGAAGATGACAAATAACCAAGGGGCCTTGAGTTCAAGATCTCTTCAACCTCAGTGAGCACAGTTCTTAAGACCTCCTCAGTGATTGATTGGGAGCCCAGAATGACCCGCAGTGTTGTCTTAATGGCTCTCACTTCACGTTCCCATACCCCTCCAAAGTGGGGAGCATGTGGAGGGTTCCTCCTGAAGTGGACCTTTCGACTAGCCAGCAGTTCTTGGAGGGGAAGGGCCAGTTCTTTAAAAGCTCTCTGGATCTCTCGTTCCCCGCCAACAAAGTTGGTACCTTGGTCTGAGATGACTTCAAAGGGGGTACCGCGACGAGCTACGAACCGACGAAAGGACATTAGGAAGCTGTCTGTGTCAAGGCTTGTAAGCAGATCAATATGGAGACAACGTGTGGTAAGACATTTGAAAAGAATCCCCCAACGTTTCTCCTGCCTGCGCCCAACCTTCACATGAAAAGGGCCAAAGCAGTCCATTCCAGTGGACCAAAAAGGGGGCTTGAACAGCCGCAATCTGTAGGGGGGAAGGTCTGCCATTCGTGGCGTACGGGGTTTGGCTTTCCATTTATGGCATTCCAAACATGACTGCTGTACCTTTTTAATTGCTTGGCGTCCACGTATGATCCAGTAACTCCTACGTAAGCTGGCCAGCACCCTCTCAGAGCCAGGGTGATGTAACTTTCTGTCCACACTCTTAATGAGCAGTTGAGTTATGTGGTCAAGGACTATTGGATGAATGGTTTGATAGCTCAAGGCATCGCAATGACGCAGCCTGCCTCCCACTCTTATGACATTAAGGGCTGGATCAAACTCTGGGGAAAGGTTGAGTAGACGACTCTGTAGAGGTCAAGGGTTTGCCAGATTGTAATAGGGTGTATTCTTCAGGGAAACTTTGCTGCTGGGCATGTTGAAGGAGCATTGTTTCGGCTGAGGAGCGGGCAGGGACTGCAGAGTTTGAAGACACGTATTTCATGGTTTCATTTACCATGTCTTCCCAAGTATGGAATTTCGTGAGATCAGTGGGAACGTTTGTAGAGGTGACTTGAGAGTTACCACAGAAAGCACCTTTTTTTATCTCAGATGCATCACAGGACATGCGATTGGGACATGCTGGCCACTGCTCTGCAGGCAATAACAGAAATGGTGGACCCTGGTGCCAGCGATGGGGCGTAGACAGTTCAATTAGTGGTTTGCCCCTTGTAATATCGTCCTGCTGGGTTGTTTGACGTGTCGATGTACCTCCAATCAGAGGCATCCGTAAGTTCCAATATTTCGGTGATACGATGAGCCACAAAGATTTTGTATTGGCAAGTCTCTGACTGGAGCCATGCTAGGACAGTAGTAGAATCTGTCCACATTACCAGCCGATCGAGTGGAAGCGTGAGCTCAGATCTCACAAGATGGGCGAGCTGAGCCCCAGAATGAGCAGCACACAGCTCCAAACGAGGTATAGTGATTTGGCGCCGTGGAGCCACCCTTGAGCGAGCCATGATAAAGCAAACTTTAATCTGGTTAGGATGAACAACACGAAGGTAAGCCACAGAACCATAGGCAACCTCTGAGGCATCACAAAACACATGTAACTCTCTGACTACTGGCTGACCATCATCCGTGTCATAGCACCTTGGAAGTCGAATCTTTGACAACAGGGGTAACTCACCCTCCCATGAGTTCCAAGCCCTGACGAAAGCTTCAGGAAGGCAGGGATCATCCCAATCGCGCTTCTTCTCCCACAATTTCTGGATAAGGATTTTGGCTCTGGTTGTAAAAGGGATGAGAAAGCCAATTGGGTCATACTGGCTAGCAAGAACCTTGTAGATATTACGAAGGGTAAGGGTATCATAGGTGACAGGCCGGTGCTTGTACGCCAGAGTGTCCGAACAACAGTACCAGACTAAACCCAATGCCCCTTCGAATGGTTCACTTCGATCATGACTCAACCAAAGCTCTGTACTCTCTGATCTAGCCTCTCTGGGAAGGTGCTGGGTTACAGAAGGGACATTGCTCATCCACTGCCGTATCTCAAAGCCACCAGATGCAAGCAGGAGTCTTAACCGATCAAGAAGGTGAATGGCTTCCTCCTCTGTAGGGAAACTTTGCAGGCAGTTATCGACGTAAAAGGAATGAAGCACAGATGAGAGGACATCCTCATGGCCAGGTTGATGTTCTCTAACATGACGCTGTACTGCATAAATCGCACAGCAGGGGC